ATAGGGTTATCCTTGAAGATGCGCACGCTGCGCAGCGGAATAATAAGCGGCCCGACGCCCCAAACTGGATGAGATCAACTGGGCTCCGAGCTGCTGACTGGGCGGTGATTGCAGAGTACCAGGACTGCTTAGAGCCGCTCAAGTACGCCACAAAACGCCTCGAGGGACGCTCTAAGGATGGCAAATACGGCGCAATCTATGAGGTTATACCCGTTTTTGAGTACGTACTCAGCAAGCTTGAGGCCCGGGCGCGCCCGTTCGAGCACGTCGACTTCAACGCTCATGCCGAGGCTCCAGAGGATCACCTCAACGTCAACCTCCGCGCCGCGTGGAGCAAAGCCAACGACTACTACAACAAGCTCGACGACTCGCCCGCTTACTACGCCGCTGTTTGCCTACACCCGTACTACAAGAACTACTGCGATGTGGCGTGGGCAGACAAAGCTGATTGGCTTACTAGTGCCAACGCGTCGTTCCAACAGCTTTGGGCGGCATACAAACCTCAACGAGCACGCCAGCGGTATACAACTGCGCCGAGTAGCAACAACATAGACGAGGCAATTATTGCTATACTTAGCCGCAACAATGACCGAGAGGCTCCACTTGACGAGTTTGAGCGCTGGAAAACACAAGAGCCGCAGTGGACGCAGGAGCAGTACAACGCAGATGGAAATCCTGTCCAATACTGGATACAACTACTGCCGAAATACCCGCATTTAGCGCAGTTTGCAATCGATATCATGACTATCCCAGCATCAAGCAGCGACTGTGAGCGCCTCTTCAGTGAGCTTGGCGACCTTCTTGAACCTAAACGACGTGCTCTGGGCAGTGAGCTACTCGCAGCTCTTCAATTAGTAAGGTCATGGGTGCGAGCTGGTTATAAACCGTACAACTGTAGCGAGGCTAAGCTTTCAGATGAGCAGCTTGTAGGAGATTACAACATACTAGAGTGGAACACTGAGTTTTGGTAATTTGTATGTAGCTTAATCTCTTTGTAGTAGTCAAGTAATCCAAGTACTTGCAAGTAATACAAGCAAGTCAAGCAAGTAAAAAAATCACCCCAAGCAAGTCAAGTAAAGCCTATGTTTGAACCAAGCAAGTCAAGTTTAGAGCGGTGACTTGCTTTACTTGCTTGTTGGAAAGTCTGGACCTCGCATTCTAGAGACGGCCTGTAGAGCGCCATTGCGAACTCTTTAACGCCTCGACATGCTGTGATTACTGTGGTCCGGAGCGCATATTCTCCCATATACTGCTGCCCAAGCGCCCTCTGGCATAACTGGAGTTTGTCTAGCATAATGTCAAGGACCTCATGGAGTGTCTTGTCAGGATTCTCCCTATGGACTTTAGCAAAGGATGTCGTCGTCCAGTCTGCATAGTAGTGACTGTGGTTGACGTCCGTGTCGAAGTGGTTCTTAAGCTTCGTGTATACAGTCAAGAATGTATCTGTCCGCTGATCAACGAAGTGGAGGTAGTAGTCTTGCGCACGGCCTTCCAGGATCCGTGGAAAGACTGCATGGAATTGGTCTGGCTGGATGTCTGCGTGATAGCAGATGCTGTAGAAGATCTTCAATTTGTCGTCTAGGAGGTCGTACGGCTTCCCTGTGTATTTCTTCTCACGATCCCACATCTTTGTAAAGACATTGATTGTCTTCGGATCTAGTTTCCCATTATTAAACTCGATTGGGGGAACTGCCTTGTATGGGTCTGTATCCCCTGAAGGTATAATTGGAGGGACGCTCGGTCCCTTTGGGCGTTGTGGGTATGCTGGCGTGTATTCGCGGAATCTGTCAAAGTTGTTGTACGTTAAGCGAGGTTGATGACTTTGCTGTCGCTGGTCCGCCTGGTGTCGCCCGTCTGCCTGTGGTGTCTGTTCAATTGTCTCTACAAGCGGATCTGCTAGTTGTTGGCTGACCTGGGTACGGGTGCGGGTCTCGTCTTGGACATCGGTTTGTTGATCCTCTGCGTCTTGGTCTCTTGACCTTGCAGAGGTTTGGCTCTGCGCTCGACTCGCTGTCCCTACGTTTGTAGGTTGTACCGATCCCGTAGTGTGTCGTCCTAGTAGCCTCCGCTGTTGCAGCATATACGCCGCTGACCGCTCGTCGAAGGCAGTAGATTGGAACTGATCGTCCGGCCACTTCGGACAATCCTCCTTGTGCAGTAGCTTGGCCACAGCTTCGCTTGGCGGCATGTTAACACGGCCAGTGTACACGCCCTTAAAGCGGAGGATCCGCTTTAGTTCCTTAGTATACGTTGCATGCGCGCGCATAAACATAGCTTCAGTCCAGCCTTCAAAGTCCTGACAGAACTCACCAAAGAGCTCTGCGTCTGCTGTTGGCCGGTCTGTGTAGTCTGCGATCGCACGCGCAATGTACGTTGTTGCTGCAGTTCCGTCTACCTCGTCGTCTGGGGCTTCGATCTCATCGTCCCAGATCTTTGGATCAATGTGACGCCACTCTCTTGCCTTTAGGTTTGTGGTCCCTAGCAACTCCTCTCGTGTGAGTGTACAGCCTCCATTACTGCTTGCTGTTTCGCTCGCCATTTGTTGTTGACGCGTGCCGTGCTGGCTGCGTTCGCCAGGGATACGTCGGTTGTCGTAGATTGTTGACGTGTGCCTTGCTGGCTGCGTTCGCCAGGGACTCGTCGGTAGTCGTGGGTTGTACACGGGTCAATGGCGCGACCAAGTGGGGGTCGGTGCGTGTATGGACTGCGTCTGGGAACGCTCTGATACGGCTGGAACGGTCGGTCTCAAGCCGGATGAGACGCCTGATACAGCTAACAGTGAACTTAGCACAGATAACTCCGCCGCTGATATAGGCGATCTAGGGAACGCGCGGGGTTATAGGATCTGTCTCTTCTAACCTAACTGTCTGTGACTGCCATGCAATCACTGATCAGTGTTGGTAGGCCTTGTACGATCGTACGGGTGAATAACAACAACGAGGTTCTTCTGGTGACTGGTATTGGTATTGATCTTCTACGAACATAGCTGCTACGAAGGTACACCTAAGCTCTGCGCAAGGTGGGCCGAAGTCGGGCCGAAGTGTCAAGCAGCCGACGTCTCTACCGATACTCACGATTCGACAAATAATAATAATAATAATAATAATAATAATAATAATACTCTTTTCTCCCAGACACAATGTTTCCCTTCTAAAATCTAAAATAATAGTGTTGACACGGCAAAGGTGTCGAATACTAGCAGTCGTTGCAACGAACAAAGTGTATAGTATTTGATTAGTAGTGAGCAAGAGCTGGATGGAGAGATCTCCATATGTACGGTTGCGAGCTAAGCGGGAAGCTTGGTCTAACTAGTGGTCCAAGCTTCCGGCCCGGAAAAACTCGCCGGGCTGGCTGTACGCGCATGTTCCGACAAATAGACTTCTAAGTAATGTCTCTGCCTCTAGTGTTGTGGTGAATGGGAAGCTGAGACTGGAAGTGTTCTTTTTTCTACTCTTCTTTTTCAAATTATCCCCGTAAGCGGCAGCGTATCGATGCTTGAAATCTACTTTGTCTACTTGTCCCAAACAGCAAATATTCAAAATTAACTGGGTGAAAAACCATACCTCCGTTCTCACGATAGAAAAAGAACTACGAAAGAGTACTATGTGCACTGCTGCCTTCTTCCTACCTACTGTGGTGTAGTAGCTTGTCACGTGTTCGGCGTTAGGTAATCGGCGCTAGGGTTGAGTATTTTAGGGCAACTCCGCGAGGAGAAGCTCGACATCATCGGATCATCTTATCGTACACCATTCTTAATACTACCGTTTGTTACTCGGATACCTTCTTGTTCTCTACTCTCTACCGATTGCGGGTCGGCAGCCTCTCTTCTGACTATTGAGGCTATCCCTCTACCACACTACGTTCTATGAAATCTCGGCGATACAAACTTTATTTCCTATCTCTCCTCTCAATGGCAAGATCTTAATAATGTAAAGCCTAATAACGTATGTTCCCCTTTCTATATACAACGAAAACAAGCTACTACGAGCTATCTTTCCTCGCCCTCTTTTGCTTGTATACTAAGATACTTAAATTGAAATAAAACTGTATGTGCTTATGCTCCCTTTCTATCCTTTTTCCAAAATCGCGGAACGCTCTACCATATGTGCCCCCTTTGTTCCGTTTGTGTCAACTGCAGTTACTCCATGCGCCATCACCTTTTACACTTTGTAAAGAGAAGATCGCTAGGACATTTGCCAACGCGCCCGGCTTTCTTACAAATTCATGTGTCTCTCTGTCTGCTGCTGTCCATGTAAACAGCTTTGAGGAGTAGTCCGCCTTCTCTTCTTCCTCACCACGTTCTGAAAGTAATTACTAGAAATTCCAAAATCTCCACGAAATGGGTGTATGTTTTGCCGCGCGCATTACCTGAAATCTAACACAATAAAACTCCTACTGATGTCTTGCATGCCCGCTCTTTATACATAAATAACGCTGCCGAGGGATCTGCTTTCTCCATCTTCTTTCAAAAAGCTAAGATTCTCACAAAAACTAAAAATGCAACGATTCCAAAGCCATGGACCGCTTCCGAGTTTTCTTGAATATGTTGTTCTTATACCCCATGCGGGTTCTCTGGATCCCTTCTCTCTCAACGCACAAAAAGTTGAACAAAAATCCGTTCATGCTTTGAAAGCCCAGAAATATCAAAATGCGGATACGAGAAGGCACATGTGTCTGTGACTATCCTCTCCAAAAAAAATCGAATCAACCCTTGTCAATGATCAAGTGGAATTCTTTCTCCCCTATCTACTTGAGATCAGCAAGATGGACCGCAAATGTTGACTGCCCTGTGCCTCTGTCTGCACAAAAGCCTCGACGCGAGACTCACTCTCTCACGTTCTTCCTTAATCTTCAGAATATGCAATAAAACCACTCAATGAAACGATGAATGTTTTGCGTCTTATTCTTTTTTTCAAAGGAACAAGCCCACAGTTTCTATGTCGGCTTCTCTGCGCCTTCTCAAACATAAGCAATCGTTGACACTACATCTTCTAATCTAAAAATCGAATATGCAAAAAATGACACTCAAAAATCTGTCGTTGTTGCTGGTATGGCTAAAAAGACTCAACACCATGTTAGATGTGGGCTGCTCTGTTTCCCTTTTTCTGCAAAGCATCTACATTGGATTCTAATTTCCCACATTCTTGAAATGCAATAAAATGGAGTTGAATGTTTCTGTTTTCTGTTTTCTTCCAAAAATCTCTGTCAGCAGATCATATGTGAGCTGCGTCGTCCCTTTTTTGAAAAGTACTACAGAGGCCACACAAAGGCCTTTCTTGATTACTTGATAATTTGTAAAAACCCCAATATTAGAAGCATGATTAGATGCTTACCATGTGTTAGTGTTCTGTCTTCCAAAAATTATATCACTACCAACTATGTGCACTTTTCTTACCCCACATTCACATACTGTATATTCAAAATTCGTTCTGTGAAGTTTCATGTGCGCTAGCTCTTATAGCTCCGCTTCTCGGACTCCGCAAATTTCAAGACTCCGATGAGACGTCTGTTCTATTTACTTCTCCACGCTCTCTATAAATCGCAGCTACCCTGTACCTGCCTCTTAAGCTCTTTCCATGTCGCTAAAACCGGAATCACCGAAACTTGAAGATGATGAAAGTATGTTCTGTTGACCTTTCGAAAAGAACAGCTGTCAGATCTGCCGCATGTGTGCGGGCCTACAAACCAATTTCCTTATATTTCCTCTCTCTCCCCACAGAAAACAAAGCATCTGGCTCCAGTTGTTCCGCTGCTCGTGCAGTATAAACCTTGGAGCAGAAGTGGTTATGAGTGTGTTGTCTCGTTTCCCGGGCTCTAAATGAACAGCCATTCATCTTACACTTTGTGCGTGTCACGTAGAATCAAACATAAAAACAGTGTATGGCATGTTCATGTTACTGGTTTTCCCCACATATCAATTTCCACACTCCCGGGGGGTTTCCGGAAAGAATGTGTATTTTCTAACTATCAAAAATGTGATATTGGGCTGGCGCATCAAAACTCCTGGAAGGACTGCATGTCTGAGACTCTGCTATCAGGCCTGTGTGGGACATCCCTTCAAAACCTGAAATATGTGCGGACCCGCGCTGAGTGCGGCTGCTTGCTTGAGATGTCTTCCTGGGCTACTGTCACATCTTTATCTTTTCTGCCCAGCCCAACCATCTTAGCATGCTGAGGGTCCAGAACCTATCCCCTAAAGAGCCCTCTACCCGTTGGTCGGATCGCGAGGGTTCCGCTCCGGATAGTTCCCATAGTCTCGCCTTCTGCGCCTAGAGGTTGTCGATTATTTCTTGACTGTAACGCAATCTACAGAACCTATACTTAACAGAGTCGCACATCCGCAATATAGCCAGTTCGAGATGCATCCAGGGGTGTTCCATGTGTCCAGTTTTCTGGACAGACCTACGCTTGAACTAGACCCCCTCTACGACCGAGGCTCGCACATGCTCACGTAACATCTGCACGAATATGTTCCCCGCAACAGTTTCTTGTGGTCTGGGCGGTTCCGCTCTGCATACGCTTTCAGACGGTGGTTGGATGACAGCCTAGCTTCGAAGGTTGGAAAGCTATGCCGTATGAAGCCATGTCTCCGCTGCGTGGACTACTCAAAACACGGTGACCGAGGTTCCATGTGTGCTATCTTCTTGGGATTGTACGAGTTGCTCTCTAAGAGTTTCATCTTCATACATGACGATCTTCACTATCTTTCATGATATCTCTGATACTTGGACTGTTTGACTGTGCGCTAGTGGTTGATAGGCCATTGGTGGCTTCTGCTCAGTCGAAGCGTCCTCCATGTGCCTAATCTACAGGATACTCACGTCATTATGTCGTCCTGTGTAGTCTGAGTCAAACAACTTTCCACACGCGTCTCCCTAACGCATCAAAACCGTATAGTGCGCTTTGCTGAGAGGCGCGAACTGAGAGGATTGACATCACCATCGACATGCATGCTTGCCAAGCTGATCTACTATCTGACAGTGCAGAGGAAGTCGCTCGTGTTTGTTCCCGGCTCAATGTGCTGCATAGTCGCTCTTGCCATCTTTTTGAACTCTGCGCCTCTTGCTACCACACTTTCCATTCTACCATCCACTCCCACGCCCTGCCCCACCACACCCATCCACATGACCACGCTTCGACTCACAATTGCATACTCTACTGCACCACCATTATCTGGAAGTCTCATGCAGAATACTCCTAGATTTCATGTATTGGCCGGCAGTCGCCCTATCATCCGCATTCGCGGCTGCAGTCTTCCGGGTGCTTGGTATGTTCGAATCGGTCAAGGTGGACAATCCTGCCTGCTTTTACCCTCCCCAACAGACATATGAGGTTGTATCCGCCACCATCCGCTCCTTAAGATGTCCAAAAGAAGCAGAGTGAGTTGAGAGGATCTGCGCTGTTGCGAGACAACCGCGGTACTGGAGCAGCCGCAAAGCACTCTAGACCCACGGCAGGCTACCGAGACTCCAGGATTGAGCTATGCACGCACGCTGCCTCGAAGTGAATGCGCGCCGGCTGCGACCAATATGCCCGACAATTCATGCACCAGACGTCATGGGTGTGGATGCACCAACATCGCAAGGGAGCGCTGCTTTCGACGAGTGCAAGATGGCGCTAGGGTCGCAGCCAGGGCGAAAAGAGCAGGAGACAGAAGAACTCGGACGACTATACCGAGATCTCTTGGTACCGCGTTGCCGACGGTGAAATGTCATCGTCAAACTTGCCGACAAACATGCCTCAACAGCCTTGCCCACCAGGCCGAAGCGCCCGCGCCATTGGAGCGCATCCGTAGATGGTAAGTTCTCCTGATCTGATGGCCAGATGCATCAATAGTAAGGTGGTTAGTGGTAGCACACGAGCGGGCAAGGAGGGCGGGTGGCTCCGTGAGCGACCGGGCGAAGCGTGTGGAGAAGTGGAGTTGAGGGCGAAGATCAAGGTCGAAGAGGTCTGGCGCCCGAGGCGGTGGAGCCTGCTGATAAGACGTAATCTTTGCGACCAAAAAGTGTGGCAGCCGCGGCATGTACGTGGGAGTATTGTCTAACAACTACACCACACCATGGTGTGGTAGGAGCTGTATGGGTAAACTTCGGCAGCTGGGCGCAGTGCACTTAGTCAGCATGTGACTCTGCGGGCTGCAACTGTGTGCATTGTCCCCTCTCGTGCGTGTGTGAGCCACCAACGTCGCACGAGGGCTGAGGATGAAGCCACACCACAGTCGACACGGGATATGTAATTACAGGCACAGGACGCCTCTCTGGTCTCAGGCTTCCAGGCACCAAACGGCGTTCCGTGAATCAGAGTGGGGCGGACCAAGATCTGCTACGCAACGCGGGGCTCCCACCAACCCGTAGCTTGGTCTCGGCCGCTGTCATCAGCCACCACGACGGGTTTTCTGGCCAGTGCTGGTTTCCAATCCTCAACCATTGCTTCGTAAAAGAAGTATTTGTGCATACGGCTAACCTGGCGCGGCCCATGACTAACGACATCGAGTCCTGACTACGGGTGCTACAAACGTCAACGTCTCGCTACCCCATGTGCCCCGCCCGCGCTACATGCACTACTCGCAAAGTCTTGTTGACAGCTTATGCCCAAGATAGTAGTACAGCCGTGCAACACCTGATGTCGACTTCTGCTTGTTGAGCTGAGGCTGTGGAAGCCAAACCGAGCTGAGTAGCCGGCATGAGCGACACCAGGCCGGACACGGGATGGAAGCATTGGGACGCCTTCTTATATCCCGCACGTGTGCCGTCTAGCTCCAGCCCCTGGCTGCATCGTGCATCCAGACTCCCCAGTCTATACGAAACCCAGCCCTTAGCAGATGCCGCTATAGCGTAATTCTCAAAGTCTTGGTGACGCCTGTCCAGTCTTATCTCTCAGACTAGTCGTCTACGCTTAGCCAGGCAGGTAAAATCTCGCGAGTCAGTCGACCTTCCTCTTTGCGAAGCTGCATCTTCGCGCACAATCAGGCATATTACAAAGTGCCGAATAATTCAATACTCGCAATTGGCTCCCAGTTGCTGTGGCGCCTGTAGTTTCTCGCTGCTCGTCGCCGACCTTGGACGTTTCGCCAACCGGTGTGATCGACATCGCGATACTGATATTGCTCGGACGTCTAGAAGAAAAGGGTAAGAGCGCTTTGGCCTTGCAACGGTCTTGCGGCCACGTGTGGTATCCACGCAAACACCAAGCAGATCAATTTGATTATCGCAGTATGCAGTGCACCCTCCAAGAGAAGAGTAGGGTACCATGAATGTAAACTCTTGGGACGAACGGCGCATTCCGTTTTGATGTAGCGTTGGATTTCCTCAGGCCATCATGGCAAATGTCCCCTATTCAACGGCATTTCTCCATCAATCGCAGACTGGTGTTTCGTTGCGACAGGACGTGCAACGGACGCCGTCATAATTACATGGAAGCCATAAAATCCGGGTAAGGCGTGAGGGTCGGGGGAACGGTCCCAAGGAGTATGCCCAGCTAGAATCCATCTCGGGAAGTTGTATCGTTTAGAGCAGGTGGCGGTCGAGGCACCACTCACACTATGCAAGGGACATGCGCCGTTCACCTCAGGTCAGTTTCAAGTCCTTCCTAACGATTGAGCCTACCGAGTGCAGGGTAAATGGTCAACATGCTGGCTATAACACACGCGGGTCGTCCCGTGCAGTCTCACTCGTGGTTCTGGCTTCCCCGAGGATTGCTTTTGTTGTTGTTGCGACTCCCATTGTGCTGGTCCACACAACATGACTTCAAGATTTCCAACCGCTGCGGAATTTGCAGCATTCCCACCCCCAAATTATGTGGACCCGGTAACCAAGTTCCCATTGGCATTGGCCATTGTGATCCCGATGACCGTCATCGTCATTGCCTTCATATCGTGTCGATTCTTTTGCCGGACAGTTCTCATACGCACACTAGGATGGGATGACTGGTCAATGTTGATGGCTGCTGTAAGTGACGCTGAAACACGTTTGGAGAGGCGAGAGCAGAGGACTGATTCGTGCAGGTGATGTGTGTGGCGAACAATATCATGCTCATCATATCGATGCTTCCAGCCTACCAGATGGGTTACCATCTCTGTACGACATCCGCATCCACAATTTGGCGCATCGCTAATGGGAGACAGGGGATATCCACCCACTGAAGCTCTTCGGTTCGATGAAAGCTGCCCAGGTACGTTTTGCGCAACGCAACAGGGGGACGAGGCTGACAACAGTGTAGATGGGCATGGCTACACAAGTGCTTTTCACACTCATCACCACTTTCATGAAAGTGGCTATTCTCCTCACATATATCCGTAAGCGCCACTGAAACGACCGGCATCTGGATCGGTTGGCTTACACACCGTAGGCATCTTCCCCGGGAAGCTGGACAGATGGTTTTGTCGCTTGATGATCGGATACACGGTATCACTGAACATTGCATGCTTCTTTGTCATCTTGTTCCAGTGCTCGTAAGACTCCTTTTGCGCCTTGTTCTCTGCGCATCGTGCTAACGACAAATGTAGGCCGGCGAGCACGTACTGGGAAGTTTTCAAGTACTTCCACACTGCCAAGTGTCTCAACATCAAGGCCATCTACTACTTCCACGGATCACAAAACACGCTTAGCGACTTTCTTATCTTCTTGTGGCCCGCAAAAAACCTCCTCAGCGTACAAGTCTCGTTGCGCCAACGTCTGACGCTGACAAGCATGTTTTCACTCGGTGTCATGTAAGTTGCTTCCAATCCACGCACGCCGACACAAGCTAATCCCGATAAAGTGTATGTATCGCTGGCGTCGTACGCATGTATTACACACATCTTTACTTGGTATCCTTTGATGCCTACTGTACGTCCACTCACTTCGCACCAACTCCGTCACAACCAACTAACTTCTCGCAAAGGGTACGGAGCCTCAACCTTCATCATCATGTCCGTCGAAAGCGGCGTCGGCGTCGCCTGCGGCTGTCTCCCCGGCTGCAAACCTCTCATGAACAAACTCATGCCCCGCGTCTTCGGCAACACATCACAAGCCTCGCGACGACGCCCATCCGGTCCCTTTGGCGCACCAAAAGCCATGCCATCCACCTCCTCGGCGGGAATGTCAACACAGGGATCATACCGCATGCAGCCTATCCGGCCGGCGGGCGCCGCACTATCTCCCGAGAAACGCGGCAGAGACATAGATGTGGAGAAACAGTTGCCTACCACACCGTTGCCGTCGCATCAGAGCATACGGCCACCGAGTCGGTTAGCGTTTCCAGCGCGGAGAGAGGCGTATAGGGAATTGGCGGGGAATCGAAGTGATTCCAGTATAGAGATTTTCCTTTTGCATCGTGAATGATGGAGGGGAAGGCTTCGCTCGATGTATACAGTATTGAAGCGAGAATTTTCAACTTTCATCATGTGACTTTGTGCGGTGGCGTTGTTGGTGAGGCTGAAGGTGTGGCCATTCGTGATACCCTGCATCAGCCACTATAGACGAAGTGCATACCGCTCCTGAGTTGCTCATCCTAGTAGTCTTTATTGTGCTTGTTTTGGTGACTTTGTTGAGACTGACATTTGGTGGTACGGCCCGGTTGTCTGGTGGAAACGCGATGAGAGGTGTACAGCAGTGTGTGTAACGGTGCGATGTGGGTAATGTGGAGTGAGGGTATCGTGTGGCGTGAAACTCAGGTTATAGAGAATAGGACCAGTCCAAAGAATGCTTTGTCGTCATATGTTGGTGGGCTGATCGAGCTCTTGCGCTGGATAGATCTAGCAGTTTTTGTCGGCTCATCATCTTCGGCCACGTGAATGGAAAGTCGAAGGTGAGGCGAATGTTAGTCAGTGTTGATGCGTCAGTGTCGACCAGCTAGGAACATTGTAGCGAGAATTGAAGTTAGTTGAATGTCACTGCGTAAGCGCTAGTGTGTCTTTGCGCTGCGACAGCTTCTTCAAAGTGAGAAGGGCTGGGGACGATTGAGATACGGGCCAGTACCCTTGTGAAGAGGTGTGAAGATTGTGATTGATTGATACATTAAAGAAAAGCCCTGTCCCATACCCACGCGTAAATCCTTGCCGTGAGTCACAGCCTCCCAATAACCCATCTGAGCATGAGCCCATGCCAGTATACCAACAAAACGAAAACAAATAAGATCTATTATGCCGCGCAAATCGAAAACGAAATGCTAGACGCTATGCCGCAGGAAAGTCTATGTCTATCCAAGGCTCCGAACAAAGGTCGGTAAAGACAGACAATCGTCGCGCCCGACGGCGAATCGACGAAGGATGAAAAGATGTCGGGGTATCGTAGAAGGAGGTCATGATGTACGTGTTTAGACGATGAGGAGCTTCTCAACGTACTCGCCAGAGGCACGTTCGCTCATACGGTTCCAGGCGGTGTAGGCAAGGACACCGGAAACGGCCCACATGACGGGGACAGCGACTTCAGCACCACCTTATAAAGCGTGTTAGCAATTAGGCGCCGGAAATTTTCTTGTGGTTATACATACTGGGTCGCTCGGCCTGAGCGGCCATCTCCATGACGCGGGCAGCACTGCTCGCTGAGCTAGAGGAGTTGTAGCGGAAGGTAGCGGGCGCAACGCGCTTGCCGGCAAAGGCAGCGGTGATGGGGACACGGGAGGCGATACGGGCGAACATGGTGATAGAGGTTTGGGTTTGAAGGTGTGTTGTTGTTTGTTGAAGTTTTGAAGAGGCGAAGAGAGAGTTTTGATCTAGCGGTGGCGTGAAGGCGGCGTGACAGTGACAAGTGACACGTATGGCAAACGACTGTTGTGTATTACGCAGGTGCGATTGAAAGAGAGTCGTGGAGGAGTAATGTGAATTGTTTGAGAGTGAATGCGGGGAAAGAGTAGTAGGACACAGACAGTGTTTATATAAAGAATGTGGACCCCCGAGGAAATGTGTTTGTTGTGGGTCCCTCGCTCTAGCCTCGAGTCCTGAAGGCTAGAAACAAAAAAAGGAGGCAAATAACGCGAAGCGAGGCGCCAGCGAAAAGATTTCAGGGCGTGCGGTGATCTGTGCAGGGGTAAGCTTGACCCTGACTGCTTGGCGGGCCGGGGATAGTGGGTCAAGGGATTGGAGATGGAAATCTAGAGTCTGGGGAAGCATCGGCTCCAGGACGACCATTTTAGGTTGGTTTTTCACGAAAAAGCAAGCAAAAAGGATTAAGCGAAATGATTATGACAGCGCATGTTGCGACGTTGCAATCGGCGCTCTGGAGGCTCTCCGGAGTTTCCCCGGCTTTTGCATCTCAACCCAATTCCCGCGCATTGCCGACCCTCTAGCGTAATATACCGACAATTAAATTTGTCTTCGCCACCTCTAGTCTCAACACCGCCTCAACACAACACTACGGCAGGTTGGCGCATACGACAGTACATCACAAGGGTTGCTGTGATAGCAGTTCGGGCCACGAAACCTTGTGAAAGGAACAAGCCTACCATTAAGAAGGGGGGTAAGTATATCAGAAAACCGGGCTCTGATTACTTGAATAAATTATTATCATCAAGTTTACCAAGAAAGTAACTTCAGAGGACTATCTCTACCTCTGCCGAGTTCCGTTGTGCGTACCTGCATGTGAATCTGTGATAGTATCGTGTATTGCCGCTTTTATCAGACGGAAAGCGAAACGTCGCGAACACCCGTATCCTTGTCGATCCCTGCCATCGCGACTATCATACATAGTCCGCTTACGATGACCGTTGGTATGCTCACCAAGTTTATCAAAAAGCTCTATTGAGCGTTTCCTTTTCCACTCAACTCCTCTTGAAGCCGACAGACGGTACGCCGATGTCATGGCGCCCTTGACATCTGTTGTTGACGATGACCGCCTTCCGCCTTCTCTTTTCCAGATCTATCGCGCTTACAAGCAAAGCACGGCTGTGGTATTGGACTGGCTCCAACCCCAAACAGATGGTTGCCTTGGATCAGTCGACGATGCTGCGCACCCGAAGGTGTCTATACATGGCATCCTTGTCGCAGCGCAAAAGGCAGCGGCATCTGCCAGACGTCCACCAGCCCCAGTCCATGACGCCTCCAAGGTCGCTCTCGTACACCGCAAAAAGCTGACAGAGTACTACGAAGGCCTTCCGACCAAGTCTGAAGAATCCAAAGAATCCACAGAGCGCCACAAAGCTTTCAACAACACGTTGGCTGATGCTTATGCGCTTTTGTTCCCAAAGCGGCAGCAAAGTGCAAAATGTCCGAAGAAGACAAAGTCCACGGAGAAAATCCAGCCAACCACGACTCCGTTATCGTCTAACTCGTTTGAATTACTGAGCCATTTCATCGAACACGAACCGGACTACGGCGCCTCCGTCTCCCACTTCTGGGCGAACATACGTGCCAAGGCCCCAAAGAAGCGATCGTCTGTTTCCGAGGACCCTATCGACACTACAATCGCCACAGAAGCATATGTGTTGGAGCTGAAGCGACTCTCACCAAGTCTCGAGAGCTATGGACAGCTGTTGCGCGCGGTGAAGTACCTATGGCTGTTGGTGGTTTCTCGATCAACTGGATGTATGAGTGGCTTCGGGAAATGGTGCGGGCTAATGAAGTAGGCACAAAAGAACCAACGCTTCTACCAGGAGTTTACATACCACGGAAACATGGAGTTGAATACGGCCGGTATGGTTGCGATGAGAGGTTGAATGACTTCATCGAAGACTGGGGGTTTCTCGCGGGATACCATGAGATATCAAAATTTCGCAAAACGTTGAGGAAAGACGGTTTCATTATAGCTAAACCAGAGAGAGAGAGGCTTGAAGACTACTTCGAAACTACACCGCCGGCTACCGAATCCAAACCGAAGACCCATTGTTCACCAGCTCTTCCGACAGGTCTACCAAGCTCTTTCGAATTTACATTCACTCTTTCGAAGGATCATCAAGTGCCAGACATTCCAGACGTTCATCATCAGAAAAAGCCAGAGACCGACCCGCAATCTTCATACATTTATGATAACTTGCTAGCCCAGTCCATTCTTTGCAGTGTGTATCGGGTGGTTGAGCAGGCCGCAATTACCTTCAAGACGGATCCTCTCACTGTCAAAAGCTTTCTCATCTCACGTGCGATGAATGGCATTGGCAATCTCATTAAACAGATGTCCGGTTTTCGCGACGGAACGGAATTCAGCCTTCACAACCAATCTCCCTGGATAAACGGCGGCCATATGGCGTCCATACTAGGTCGCGGCACTTTCGTAGGAATTGAACTACTTAACGACAGAGGCCACTTTGCTCTAGTTTTACATGTTTACAATATGCTGAAGCAGACCGCCTTAATGCGCCAAAAACTCCCGATATTGGAGGAATTAGAAACACACTTTGGATCTGCAGTGTTTACGAGCCTGACCAACAGGCCACGGAAGGATTACCTTGCTACTTATGACCGCTACCGAGGCTACAAACTCAAACGTCGTAGAACAATATTCGATGACACGGATTATCTCCATCGGGAACCTCCCAAAATGTACAAGGAGCTTCCATTTTCTCGAGATGGGCGTATCAAAGCCGCGAATCTATCGACCTTTGCCTTAGAAGGTGCCATGAACAAATACAGGATTAACCTATTGCTGGGCAAACTCGCCGATGAGGACCAAGGTCCCAAGTTCAAACACTATGACTTTGATCATCCAAGCCGCTGCAGAGCTTTCTTTGCAGACCACTCGCTTACGGACCTCACTGAACGAGCAAAAGACTGCATAATGAGGGAGTTCCAGGGACCACTGCCGCTAGCGAAAATCAACTACTTCGCAGTTATGACACTCTGTATGGAAATATGGGAGCAGGTTTGCAGGCGAGCTACACTGGCGGGCCATAGCGACACGCCTAAACAAACAGAATTCGACTTTCTCTGGAACAAGATGCCAAAACGGGTCGAAGACGCCGAGGCCATGTGTGGCATGTGGATTGGAATCTCTGCTCTTAATGTGGCTGAATATGGCAAGGATAATAGAAATCGCGCCAGACCTCTTGATAGCTATTCCCTGCCAATCATGGTCCGGGATGCCATGGTCGAAGTATGCGAAGGAAAGGAGTTGAGCGACTTTCTGTGGAAGTCGGATTGTTAATATATGTTGTATTTGTAGCACCTCTGGAGGGCAACGAGAGAGTGAAAATGTCATTCCTCCAGGTAACTCTGCGGTTTGGTTTTTTTGGTGAGATGGGAAGAGCTGGATATCCTTTCGTTGGAGGAGGCAAGTTGTCGTTTTTCTCTTAACTAGGAAATTTAATTACTTTTCCGATCCTTCTACCATAATTATTTTATCATCTATCAGCACGGTAGTCTCACGTGAACGCCTCCGATCTCCCTGTAGTACTTCAGCAGTGTCTGTGATACATCGCCAGGCATCATCCATCATTTCGACGACGGCCTTTTAGTAAGCGACTACCTCTACCTTTTTGCTGCGAACAATCCTCGCTCGCCACCTCCCAAGACTCAAATATATCCGCCTTGTAGTGATATAAGCAGCGTATCGTTCCACAACTCTATCAGCGCACACCGCACAAATCACGTGTATCCCCCATTACCATCAAATCGCGTTAGCCTGCGCTTACGTCACACGCCTTATCCGATATTCAGACAGCACATGCTCAGCCTCGCATCAAGCAAGTCAACACAAAACTCCATTTCCCCAAAGAAAAAGTAATCCACAACCTCCCCAAAAAGAAACATAGTCCCAAGATGTCCATAAAAAGCAAACCCTTCCCCGCAATAACCGGTAGCTGCATCTGCACCACAATCCGCTACCGCCTCCTAACCTCCCCCCTCTACTGCTACGCCTGCCACTGCCCCGACTGCCAAAAGCTTACCGGCAGCGCCTTCGGTCTATTCCTAAGTATAGAACGCTACAATCTGCAAATCATCTCCCCCACAGCCCCTGTCTTCGTCAAACGCGCAAAGAAACCCCCGTCCATAGATATCACAGCCGAGTGTCCCAAATGCTCGGTGCAGCTGTGGTCACATGGGGGGTTGGGAGAGGCGGTACTGGAGGTGAGAGTCGGAACGCTGGATTTCCCAGCGCTGATGCAACCTGATGTGCATATTTTTGTGGGGAGTAAAGTTGGGTGGGTGGGGTTGCCGAAGGGGACGAAGGTGGAGGTGGGAGCGCATGATTTTAGGGAGGTGTGGCCGAAGAGTAGTTTGGAGAGGTTGGAAGTTTGTATGAGGAGGTTTGAGGAATCTAAGAAGAAGAGGGAGGTGGCTGGGGGTGGTGCGGTACCGGAAGTTGCTGAGGAGGTTGTGGATGATGGGGCTGGTGGGGACGGCGAGAAGACACCGACGGCTGGAGAATTTGGGGGCGAGGATGATGAGGAGTTTGAGAGGAGGGTTAGGGAGACCGAGAGGGCGTTGCAGGAGAGGTTGGAGAAGCTGAGTTTGAAATTGGAAGAGGGGGATGGTAGAGAGAAGAAAGAGGAGAATAGTGTTGAATCGGCTGGTACGAATGCCTGAGTTATGAGACAGATGATAGGGGGTTGAAAATGGGGAGGTTATCATTCTCCATTCCGTGAATGGGCATCGACATAAGACAGGACTGGTGTACGGCCGCTCAGAAATCGGACCTGATCAACGACAGTCGACTCTTCATCACACGGCCGCCTTTCCTCTCACTTGGACTGCCAGTATATCACGCACAATTACGGTGCGCCCATAATACACCCAAGTACCATCATCTCAAGTGTCCGCCTGCGCAGGACCACCGATGGTAATGCTTTCGTAGGATCCCAACCAACGATCTGTAGCCCGCACCATGGCGGTTGTTATAGGACTGTTGGTCTACAAGCATACTTTGATATCAAGATTCTAAACGAGCTTTGGTTGAAAAGGAGGAACGACAGGAATACCAGTGTCAAGTCACACGGATTGGATCGCAGGAAGGTCGCAATGGGCCATCGTTGCCTTGAAATTGAATCATCCAAGAAGACTCATACATTCCAGAGAATATTGAGGTCTAGCATCGTGGAGAATATAGGTAGTGATTAAACAAATCTCAAATATCATCAACACGCGTAGTATGAACCAATACAGAGTGGGCTCAGTCTTTACTATGTGTAACTCACAACAATCACAGCACCCAATCTAGACCACCATGACCCAAAAAAAATTTATACAATACAATTACATACTGTACAAATGCAGCTCACGCAGCCGCGCGCTGAAACGGATTCCTCTTCGGCAACAACTGTGCTATACTACCAACACCGCTCTGGAGCTCACTCCCTCCCACATGCATTGCCCGTTCCTCCTCCTCCACCTCCTCGCTCTCAGCCCTAAAGCGCAAAGAATCCATGAGTCTATTAACCTCATTGGTCTTCTCAATCTCGTAATCTTCAGCGCGGAAGAGCAAAGTCTCACCGCGCGCCTTGTTGAGCTCCAGAGGTTCGTGCTCGATTTCCGCGGGCCATCGACCTGAGGCGTAGACGGCGTCTTGGATGTCGGCCCAGCGGACGGAGACGCCTTCCAGGGTGTAGGGCTTTGCGGGGTCTTTGCGGAGAGCTTTGGGGAGGACGGAGCGGGCGATGTAGTGGTCGCGAGCTTCATATTGGGTTTTTGCTTTGAATGCGAGTTCAAGGGTGGAGATGTCGCTTTGGCATTGGACGAGGAGTTCACGGTCGGTATCGAGGGCTTCCTTGGAACGGAGAGGGTCAGGGTTGTCAAGTAAGTCCTGTAGGACGTGGGCCTTGGTCTTCAACCCCTCTAGCTGGTCCTCAGCGCCAGGGTCGTTCGCAGGTTCCGCCCTCTTTTTCAGGTTTTCCTGTAGTTGCTTGAACTGCTCCGCCTTTCGTAATGCGTACTTTAGTTTCCCCAGACGAGTTTCTAGGCCCTCTTTGGCGGCCTTGAGTCTCTTTTGATCACCCTCTTTCTGGTTGTGCTTCATTCTCAGTTTTCGAGCCATGGACTGTATTTGACCCTCGAGCCACTTGACATTGTCTCCAGGCTTTTCCTTGGCCAAACCGGCGTTGGCGAGGGCGTCAATCTGCTCCCATCGCTTGTCTAGAAAGGCAGTCGCCTTTTTCTGTTGCTCCTCCTGCTCCTTTGTCTTTATGATTCCATGGGAACGCTGGATGCGCAGAACCTCGGCCAGGTCGGCGCTCGTATTGGCACGCTGGTTCATAATCTTCTTCATCCTCAGCTCGCGATCCAGCCGTCTGTATTCAGGGTTGGTCTTGTCCCAGGACAGCTCATGTAGTTTTCGGAACTCGCGCAGTTTTCGGAACGCATTTTGGCCTTGGGCGGGGGTGGGAAAGGTGACGACACAGTGCGGGACCCATTCGTCGGGGCGAAGGACGGGCGGTTTTGAGTGTTTGCCGATAAAGGGAAGTTGGTCCAAATGATGGTTCTTTATACAGTCAGTAGACAGTTCTTACGGGCCGTGTCTAGTCGCATACATCAAGCAATTCCTGCAGCGAGTAGATGATCTGATTCGTCTTGGTGTTGCGGAAAATATAGATGATTTCGCCGTGCTTGGTTGTGCCCTTGGGGTCTACCACATCCCGCAGCGTGTAGGGCTTGAAGGGTGACTGCACATGCTTTCCCGTGGGCTGTCGCCTTGCTTTTTCGTTTACAACCGTCTGCAATTTGAGGAGTTTGGGGTTCGATTGGCGCTCGACATAGGCCGTAACCTTGCGTTCTAATATTTGTTCGAATTCCGGGGTAATGCGATTTACAATATTGGGAAACCTGACGGCCTTTAGTGGCGGCTTATACCGGAGCCGGGCGAGGGAGCGAGGCATGGCCGCGGCAGTGGTTGGTGATGCAATTGGCGCTGAGCGGGCGTGGTGGAGAGCAAAAGATGCGAGATCTGATTGTGCACGAGCCCGGTTCCCGCAGCACCTCCGCTTGCTCCAATACGGCAGCCAACAGCTCCACGCGCATTCACCCCAGTAAGCTCAAACACCACACAAGAGTTTGGGCAACTACTATGAGCCGCCCGGATCCACGGATTGCTTCCATGAAGCCGACAAGAGACTGCAACTCTCTTCGCCTCTCCATCGGACGAGCTACATAATATGGCTGGCGAGCAGTCGCAGGCAGCCGGGCAGCCCGAGTCTCGTCCCCCGCGCGAGCGTCCGTGGCTGCTGCCTTATGTGCGTTCTACAACAGACTTGGGCCATCATGGCAGCTAATAGAATGGCTAGAATCGCAAACTGAGACATCTCCAAGGCATCACTCTCCGCAATCTAACCCTTACGCCAAACCCGCCCAAATCGCGCGGCAAGACCATTGACGATGAAGCCATTCCGAGCACACTCAAGTCGCCAACAAAGGCACTTGCGCAGCGAGATACCAGGGGATTGGCGCATTCGCGCTCATCCAGCCATCTCAACACTACCGACGACAACGTGCGCCGCAGCAATGGGGGCGCACGCGAGCCAGGAACCACCGACAAGGCACCTCGACCCGGGTATGGAACGGGCCCGAGGAGGCGATCCACGCTGGAATGGGCCAATTCGAGCCCATTGACCCGCCAGAAGAAGTTGCAAGACATGACGGCAGGGCGCATGGCCGACACCTTCTTTTCCCTGCACATCGAGGGCCATGACGACCCGGTATACATCTCCGAGGTCGCAGAGAAGGCCATGAACCCCAACTTCAAGTTCTTTGATCTTGCCTCGTGTGGACCTGGTGTCACGCGACTGGATAAGCTCACAGTCAAGGTGTGGGCCAAGACGGAGACGATGCAGGACTGGCAGTACCTTATCGACTACACGGTGCAGTTCAGGTCTCTGCAGTTCATCGGAAAGACACTTGGAGGATTCAGACACCCCCTTCCCCAGAACTGCATACTCTTCCACATGGCGGATGGAATCTACACCAGCTTTACGGATCTGCCCGTCGAGGAGCGAACACGGCCCGAGCTTCTCGCTCCGCCAAAGGAAAATCCGGATGGTCGGGTTCTTACCTCGTCTTCGTACGACGCTCTCATGCGATTGTCCACGCTAGACGACTGCATACAGGACGCTTTGACCACGCGGGATCGTATTGCGGACGAAATAGAAAGCATACTCGCCGCGAACAAGGAAGACCTCTGCACCGTCGAGTCAGTAGCCGAAACCGAAGAGAGTCTGCGCACAGTGCAGGCTGCGGTGACGGCCGAGAAGCGCCGGGTCGTGGCGACGCGGAGGAAACGAGACGAGCTACAAGCGAGCATACAGCATCGCCAAGACCTGATGAGATTGGGGCGCCTCCAGCAGTCGGAAATTGATGCCAAGCTCCCCGAGGAACGAGCCAAGTGCACTGACACCAAGCAGCTCCTGGAGAAGACAGCCGAGGACATCACCGGCCAGAGGCGGAGGGTTTGTGAAGATATCCTGCGGATCTTTCCCATCGAGCCAGTACCGGGAAAAGCATTGGCTTTTACGATTCGAGGCCTCTTGTTGCCCAATTCCGTCTTCGACGATGCCAAAGAAGAAGTGACCTCAGCAGCACTAGGTTACGTGGCGCAAATTGTGAATTTGCTGTCCCTGTACCTCTCCGTCATACTGCCGTATCCACTCTCCGTACACGGTTCGACATCGACTATTGACGACCCCTTGGCCGTTACACAGAACAACCAAAATCACCAACGCACATACCCCTTGTACATGAAAAATGTTGTTCGCTACCGTTTCGAGTATGGCGTTTTCCTTTTGAACAAGGACGTTGAGATTCTTTCTAATTCTCTTGGGTTGAGGCCGGTCGACATCCGTCATACTTTGCCAAATCTCAAGTACCTGCTGTACGTCGCTACTGCTGGCAAAGGCGAGCTACCAGCACGAAAAGCGGGCGGTATTAGGGGTTTACTACGACAGGATGGTGTTCTCTCTAGGACAGGGAGCATGGACAGTACAATTACTGCGAGCAGTATTGGCACCCCGACTACGGAACTCAAAAGAAGTCTGGAAATTGCTGGGAAGAAGATTGAACACACCAAACCCAATGGTACGCTTGCACATTCTCTGGGAGGGTTGCAACACAAGACTGTAATGCATACAGGCAGTCGGCTTCGACCGTAAGGATGACGCCGAAATGTGGTGTCGTTCCCATTGCATAGATGCGTTACGGGTGATACGATTGGCAGGGTCGTCCCGTGTTAGGGGACATGGTGTATTAGCTTAATGTAGATTACTGTGCAATGAGCACTCTTGCAATCATGGCACCATAATGACCACCTATAGTCTTTACCTGCCCCTTTACCATGTGCTTACTTGCTTCTTTGAATGCAGGTGGTGTGCAAGTGCGTCGGAAAGACTCCGGGCCGGGCGAAAAGCAGGCCTTCACCAGCGCTTCGATTTCGGCCCTATTATAGTTTGGAGCGGATAGGGTCGCGGGGGTTGACAACTGACATCAACGTCGGTATTCAATCTCGTCGCTGTTGATGTCGGTGCTGATCCCTGCGCCAGCACAAAGCCAAGAGGCCCACCGCTCGGAGATTGGGAGGCCATCGGTAAAGGAGTTGAACCGAGCCTTGGAACGACTTTTACCCTTCTACACATATCATCCGTGCCCGGGACACCTCGTTCTTGGGACTGTCGGTTGCTCCTGCACACAATTAATTGCGACACGGGTGTCTTTTTTTTTCTTTGCATCCTATATAGACTCAGCTGCTTACTACACAGCCACCACCACGACAGTACGACTGCGAACACGACTGTCACCATCGCCCTTGCTCACCTACCATGACGGAGCCATTTCCTTCCCTTAACGGTACAGCCGCAACGCCACATGGCCTCGCGGTCACAAATGAAGCACGAAGCGGCAGGAGGAGAAAATCAAGTGCGCTGGGCCACAATGTACCCGGCGATGGCAACGTGCCTGCCTTTGCGACACACCGGTCGGGCACCCCACCCATGAACAGCCCCATTAGTCCAGTAAATATGGATTTTGTACGTGGCACCCAGCGACGCCAGGTATCTTCAATGCGCTGACTTGGGCGCAGAAATCAGAGAAAACTATGCGCCGTTCAAAACGGAGAACAACACGCCGCTACCTTTCCAGAGCCAAGCGCATGTGCATACGACACACATGGCTGCTCCCACTCGTCCTGGCGCTTACCATCGTATCGCTCTATCTCATCTACCCTTACCCGTCGAATCCATTGTCCGCCTGCCTTTTTCTCTCGTATCCACTCGCACGCGACGATCCCCTCATCCCAGCCCACGTACGCGAAGACCCTAATGCGCCGGTACACTATGGAAAAGGCGGTCGTGACTTTGCCTTTGTCGGCTTCTATATCATTGTCTTGAGTTTCACCCGCGAATTCTGCATGCAGCGACTCATCCGGCCAATTGCTATACATTTCGGCATCAAGAACCGCGACAAGCAGTCCCGCTTTATGGAACAGGCCTACACCGCGCTCTACTTTGGCATCTACGGTCCCTTTGGTATCTGGATCATGTCTAAAACGCCCGTCTGGTACTTCAACACCATTGGCATGTACGAAAACTTCCCGCACCGAACCCACGAGGCTGTTGTCAAGGCCTACTACCTTTTGCAAGCGAGTTACTGGGCTCAGCAGGCCATTGTCCTATTGCTCATGTTGGAGAAGCCGAGGAAGGATTTCAAAGAGCTGGTTGCGCATCACGTCATTACTGTCAGCTTGATCTGGTTGAGCTACAGGTTTCACTTTACCTACATGGGTATCGCGGTTTATATTACCCATGATATTTCGGATTTCTTCTTGGCTGTAAGTCAATCTCCAGCCTTGCTTCATGCACATCTTAGAAATTACACTAACGCGGTTTCAGACATCCAAGTGCCTGAACTACATCGATTCGCCCATCGTTGGACCCTACTTCTTCGTTTTCATGTGCATCTGGGGCTACACGCGCCACTACATCAACCTCAAGATCATTTACTCCATTCTAACTACCTTCAAAACCGTCGGGCCCTTTGAGCTCAACTGGGAAACTCAACAATACAAGTGCTGGATCAGTCAGTACATCACATTTGCTTTACTAGCATCCCTGCAGGCCGTCAACCTCTTCTGGTGGTTCTTCATCTGCAGGATCGCGTATCGATTCATCATCTACAAGGACGCAGACGACGACCGCAGCGAGTACGCACCAACAGACGAAGAGGTCGAGGAGAAGGAAGCGCTACTAAAAGAGGATGTTGATGTCGAAATCGAGAAGATCGAAAATGCGCCAAGCACCCCAGCGAACGGGACGACAGGCGCCCAGCAATTCGACAGCATCGGCTCACGGCTGAAGCAACGAAAGAGCGAGAAGCAATAACTTCACGAAACAGAAAAACCAATATGACTGAAATGCCCCCGAAACGCGGTGTGTATTGATGACGGAGTTGCGGGTACGGATTTGCTGCGGCTCGAAAGAGAAATCTTTTCTTCAAATACTACTTACCAAACCACGATCTGGATCTGGGACAATTGTTTGCATAAAACTGGCGGCATATACTCTATACTACTTTCTTTGCAGCCTCTGTTATTCATTTCTACTTTTGTTAAAATTAATACGTGGCTACAGTGTAGGAGAGGATTAGAGAGCCTCATGATCTTTCTTCTTGTTGAATATAGGGTTTAATTTGAATCGTTTCAATCTTGTGTCGTGGCTTGGTGTAGGATTAAGTACAAGGATTACATCGAAGTGATTGCAATGCTGATCTATATGCGGTGCCTTGATGTGGTTTGGTATGGTTGCGGGGAAGTCCGCAGTCCTGTGTGGTTGTGCCAAGGCGCTAGGTTTGTGTTCCTTCCGAGGGTCTATGGACGGGCTTCACGAATCCTTTCCATCTCTTGTCTTTTCGGATTTCAATATTGCGCTCTGAATCATGTCTTTTGTCCCGATAGCGTTTGGTTCGACGATGCGAGTGTTCGCATGTGCGAATTTGGTCTACCGTTCGCCGCATGGTTTGCCTTGAATCTGGATCGTCATCTACTTTGCCATGACATAATGCTGCTGAACCATGGATGACGCGCGATCGCATGGTACGCTTACTCGCTCTGTGATTCGAAACATGTATTATCTGGTTGGGTTTTGTGGACCAAAGGGCTGAGGGCCCCGCTGAAGCTGAAGACACTAAAAGGGCTGATGCGGTTGTGTCGTTCAGCCATCTTCACTCACCGTGGTGTATGTAAAGACCTCACCATTCAGATATTATACAAACCACCATGGCGCCTCCCAACTCATCCGGCAAGGACGAGCGGCTACCAGCATCCCTCTTCACCGTCTACCAGACGTACAAGCGCGGAACTTCTATAGTAATTGGCTGGCTGATCGCCGCTGACACTGGCAGCCCCAAGGATCATCGCACTACCGACAATGCAGCTTCAACAGATACAGTTACGGTTAAACAGCTGCTAGAAAGTGCTCAAAAGGCGTCACATGAGAAACGAGTCCCTCCGAACACCGTTCACGATGCATTCAAGATCGTCCTCGTCAATCACACGAGGCTCACTAGATACTATGAGAGTCTTTCATCAATCTCTTCCGAGACAAAAGCATCAACGGTTTGCCACAAAGTCTTCAACGAGACTCTAGCACAGGCCTACAATATCCTCTTTGCCAAGCCAAAGACCTCGAAGCGTTCGCAAAAGAAGAAGATATCCACGGCTAGTGAAGCAAACCCCCCCATCTCCTCCAATTCATTCGAAGCTCTGAGCGCAGTAATCGAGCAAGAGGTTGATTTCGAGTTGACTGCGAGCCAATTTTGGGACAGTGAAATCACCCAGACCACTGAACCTCCAACCATATTGAATGATACGATCGCAGATGCCGTGGCGATGCATACTTTTGTGGGAGAGTTGCAGACTTTTGTAACAAAAATCAAGGAGATCTGGAAATCTGCTGCCAGTGGAGAGCTACCTCTAGCTGTAGCTGGATGGCTCACTAATGTCGGCCATCGTTATCTCCTTCTATGGGAAGAATACAGTCCGCAACATTCCAATTTATGGAAGGATCAAACCGGCTGGTCACTCGTATCACAAGGCCGGTGGATTGGCCCAGATGAGGATTTCATCTGGTCCGTCAATGTGCCCGAGCTTGCACGACTTGGAAAAACAGATGAATTTCTCGAGTTCACGCACGGGCATGGCCTAGCTTGGGCAAGATCGAAGATAGAACAGTTCAGGATTGAGTTGCGAGATGACAACTCTTCACTCACTTGTACTAAATTAACTGAGTTTTTCAAATTCGAGGTCTATTTTACTAGACTCTCAGAGGAGCATGCACTGCAGCAAGAATTTGCAGACGCCACCTGTCATCGTCTTGCCTCTAAGAAGAAGATGAATTCCAAGGAACATATCGCTATACTTAACGAAATTATTCATAAACGGTATCAGGCAGATAACCTCCGCGACCGATCAATTTTTCGCAGCATACACCATCATCCTCTATAAGCCCAACCGGTCAAGGACTTCCAATGCCACTAGAACAAATTTTGGGACTATTTTGATGAAGCTCACTTGGAGTGTTGTCATGTCGTTCCATTGCTAGATGTCTTGAGAACGTTTACCGATATCAACCCAGATATGCTAATCAGCATGGCTCACATCGTGGGAATACACATTTTTCTGGAAAATAGCCGTATTTTCACCCTACCTCAATCAGATGGGAACTCCCAAGCGACCCAATAATAGAATCCGGGTCCTCAGTTTCGCAAATACGGTTCGACGTGCAATTACAGATTTGCAAGGCACTCAAAAAGATCATTTCAAGCAAAAAAAAACTGGGAGAGAGCATCATTGAATTCTTATCAAGGACTGAGAAGCAGCTGAAATTGTTTACTTCTAGCAAGTCTTTCGATTTGTATTCGCAATCGCCCTGGGTTACTGGAAGCTATCTGTCTGTCATTCTCGCACGAAGTACCTATATCGGCCTCGAAATTCTCAATGAAGGTGGCTACTTGACCGAGTTGCTACACTTGTACAATATGTTACGGCAAATCAGAATCTTAGGTTCAGAAGTTTCCGTGCTTGAACATCTATGTAGAACTTTTGGCACAGCTGTATTTCTAGATGATCAGAAACGACCGACAAACGCCTTAACAAAGATATCCCTGCTTCCACAAGGGTTTATAATGACAGATGGCGGCAATGGAATCAGGTTTGGAAAAGACCAACCTTCAAGAAAGATGCTTCCTTTCCAGGGGAATACAAGGAATAGTGCAAAAAATCTGTCATTTTTTGCATTCTCATGCTTCAGGGACCCTTGCATCAAAAGTGCCACCTTTCTAGCTCAAATCACCGGAAAGAAGACAGCAAATACAATCACCAAGCTGTACTCCCGGTCTGAAATTGTTATATGCGCCAAGGAACACATTAGGTCTGAGTTTGAAGGTCCTTTTCCCGTTGCCAAAGTAAACTATTTTGCCATCATGGGCCTGGTACTTGAGTTTTGGAAAGAAGTCACCCTCAAAATCAACGCGTTCACTGCATCAAGTGCGCCAGCCAGAATAGGTATAGATAATGGATTGCCTGAAGTATGGCAAAGGGAACACGTTCATGCATGGAGGTCAGTAGTACAGTGTGCCATGATGAGGGTCGATCAGTTAGAGAACAGATGCGGGTGGCAGAAACAGGCCAGAGAGGATCGTTATGTTCAGATGGTGCGCGATGCCATAGTCACGGTCTTTAGGAATCTCAAGGTGGAAGATTTTGTATGGAAAGATGTTTAAGTTTCTTCGAGTAAGGCCAGCTTCATAGCCTTACTCAAGAAGTTAGAGACAGTAAAGGTAACAGAATCTTAGCAGAGATTTCATAATTTTTGTACAGTCAATAGTTCTTTAGTCAAAAGCAGTTCATGTGATGGGTGTTTGTCACTATCGTGCCCCATCAAGATCAAGTTTGATTTTTTCCATCTGTCTAGTTAAGAACTGTGGCTTACTAAGTATAAGTTAGTAGAATAACGCCTTAATTACTTTCTTATGTTGTTATTACAACAATACTGTGTTGTGAAAATCTGCTGCTAAGTATCGATATCACTTATATATCTATATATCTGTGTAATGGTAACTGTATTACCGACAGGTTCCGTGATTATGGACTGCAAATCATTGTAAAGATGACATCAATCGAGCTGAATCCATAAAAACCACGGTTTCTTGTCGGCGGCTGGCATGTGAAAGGGAAATTGAATGAGCGCATTTGTGCCACAGCCATTTATTATGTGGATAGCGAGAACATTTCCAAAAGCAGTCTCGCATTCCGTATGGCAACTCCGGGTAACTTGAGTGAAGAACCATTCAACTTTAGGCAAGATGAGCACGACTGGCTAGACCAAAATTACGGTGAGGTCTAGACCCGACAAGGACGACTACTGGGGGTTCCGAATAGTTGGTAAATGCATCAACTTATCATTTTGAGCTTCGCTAACATTCTACAATAGTCAGCATCGCGTTTCATCATTCAAATTGACAGACCCCACGAAGCCTGGCTATGTTGGTTTTATTGCGCTTTACCTTGTCGATTCCACTGCAAACATTCCGCCGCAGCAAATGGATTCGTACATCGACTCGCTACTTGGCACCGACAGAAAAACCAAGGAGGAATCTACCGCGAAGTTACTCCCTGATCTCGTCCAATTGCTGGTAGACAAGGGCGCTACCGGTATCACTGATGACCGGCAGGGCAGACTACCCAGAAAACTGTGGAATTGGGTGGGCGATGGTTTTGAAGAGGATGATCATATGCTGCCACTGACTCAAGAAGGGCGGCCATTCAAACAGTCACTCCTAGAATGTGTATTGGCATTTGCAAAGGCAGGACACAAAGGTAAACTATAGTGAGTGCATTCGAATTTAGTCTATCGGATGACACCAGACATTCTCTTCATTGATCTACTACGTGTCTAATACACTCTGTTCAACTATGCATCTTCCCCGGGTTACTAGGTGCCATGCTCCTAAGCGATAACGGTGACGTCCCAACAGTCTCATTCCAACGCAACTCATACACCTTATCTTGCACCTTGGCACCGTAGAAAGCGCTCATCAAGGAACCATCATCACCGATGAGCATAGCCGTTGAGCCATAGAAAGAAAAGCCAGAGGTATCAATTGTGTCGTTGCCGGCGCCATCGTTGGGAGGGAGGAAGCCAACGCGCGTGTCATTTGAGGACTGAGACGGCACAAACAGGTTGACTTTGGACCAGGTGGGTGTGTGCTGATTGAGTGTGGTGTTGGGGTTTCCGACAAAGTGACGAGTGGCGTCCGTTTGGACTTTGCAGTGTTAGCGAGGGGAGACAAGGAGGAGATGCAAGCGCTTTAGCTGCTGCTAAGACATACAAGTCACTACAGCAGCATCTGAGCTGTTGAAAGCGTTTGGGTCGCCAACATATGCCAGACCGTCGGCATAGAAAAGCGGGAAGCCACCGAATTCATCGCCATATGCGTATAGCTGGAAAGTTGCAGCAGGAGAGACATCGCGCTTAACGGCACCCAAGACTGCGAGTGGAAGGGCGGTCAAACAGAAGAGACGCATGTTGAAAGGCATTGTGAATGGTAAAGACTGGTGTATGTTGAACGAATGTCAAGAATTGAAAGAGAGTGGGATTTGGATACAGGTGGGGGATTAGAGCGAGGGTGGCAAGCTATCATGGACGCCTCAATCCTTTTATTCTTATGGACTCTAAAGCAGATAACATCTTCGCTAGTAACCCACTTAATTCGGTACGTAGATTCTCTGCCTAGGACGAAGGCGCAGCCCGTCCGACCTGTCAACCCGTCATTCCGGACTTAATGCGATGGACTAAGACGCGTTCCAATGAAAAAATAATCAGCACCGTTGCACGCGTCAGGCAACCACTGTCCAAGGAGGCGCGTGCGATGTCACTTCTTCCTGCGAACAGGACGAGGGGCCGTATGGTGTGACCTCTACAGGGCGTGCACGGATCTTTTCACGGTCTTCTGCAAGAAGAAAATAATAGCCTACGCAATGCAAACAACGCTCCCGACCTAGCGGGAGGGTCTGAATCTCTATCGCCCCATATATGGCCGAAAAGATCGCAACGTGGGTCTTATTCTGTAAAACACGGCTGGGCGTCACAGATCCACAATTGACAGTTTTGACAGATGCATCACGATGGTGGCCCCATTGAAACGCATCACTATGCCCGAAGCGAAGTAGAGAGTGGGTAGTATCATGGAAGACGTTGTAATAAACCCTGTTCGCATAGGCGGCTGTTCACAAGCGCCTTCCGCCACAGATCGATAGTCGAGCCGCTATCTGCGACTAGTACAAACGGGGCGACTAGTGCGCGTGTCAAAATGCCACCGAAAGTGGGTTTCATGGTGTTTCAATAACTTGGCGAATGTGGGTAAAGGGATCAAGACTAATGCCCAAGGGAAACTTCAATTCAGAAACAAACCTCGCATTAGGAAATTTTGACCCGAGTTTGGGATATACATCCGATGTTATGGTCATAGAATTGCTGGTATGGTGGACCCTAGTTGGGGATGAGTGATAGCGTTCTCGGCTGCATTGGCTGTGTTGGCACCAAGAACAAGACTACACGGCAAGGCATTAGAAAGTCTTGACGACATGACCGAGAAAAAATAAAAGCGATGTTGGTTATAAGGTACAGCCTCTTCATCGTTAATCAGTATCATCGCATCACATTCGTTTGTCCTTTGCTCGATCTACCCCACAGTCGCTCTCTATATTTGCATCTTTGCTTTTTACTAGTACTATAATCTTTGCCCGTCATGCTTCTCCTCGGAGTCATTGGCGTTGCAGCCTTTGCTGGCTATGCATCTGCCTCTCCTTTCTCCGCCTCTCCCTTCCCATCAAACTTGAAGCCAAGAGCAGCCTGCAGTGGAAACACCGCGACTACTCGCTCACAATGGTGTGACTTCTCCGTCTCTGACGATCCGTCCGTCAAGATTCCTGACACTGGAGTCACCCGCGAGTTCTGGCTCGAACTCACAGATGTAACCGTCTCGCCAGATGGTGTATCTCGATCGGCCATGGCCGTCAACGGATCAATTCCTGGGCCAACTCTGATTGTGGATTGGGGAGATCAAGTCATTGTTCATGTCACCAACAAGCTTACTACATCCAACAATGGCACAAGCATCCATTTCCACGGACTCTGGCAACAGGGTACCAACGAGAATGATGGTGTGAGTTCCATCACTCAGTGCCCAACTGCACCCGGAGAGTCGATGACCTACAAGTGGAGAGCGACTCAGCATGGCTCTACTTGGTACCACTCCCACTTTGCCCTGCAAGCTTGGCAGGGTATCTTTGGTGGCATTGTCATCAACGGTCCTGCAACGGCAGACTACGACGAGGACCTCGGCATGCTTTTCCTCAACGACTGGGATCATCAGGTATTTTACTCTTTGCACTTGATGTTTAATAGGCACTGACATGATATAGACGGTTGATGAGCTCTACCTCCAAGCCCAGCAAGTCGGTCCACCAGAACTTGACAATGGTCTCATCAACGGCACAAACACATACGAGGGTGGCGGATCTCGCTACAAGACTACCTTCACTGCCGGAAAGACCTACCGTATTCGTCTCGTGAACGCTGCCGTCGACACCCACTTCAAGTTCATGATTGACAACCACACCATGAGCGTCATCGGCTCCGACCTCGTCCCAATCAAACCTTACGACGCAAACGTCGTCAGCATCGGCATGGGCCAGCGCTACGACGTCATCTTCACCGCAAACCAGCAAGCACTCGCCGACAAATTCTGGATGCGAGCAATCCCGCAATCCGCATGTTCCGAGAACGGCAACCGAGACGACATCCGCGGCATAGTCTACTACGACACCGAATCAGCTGGCGAGCCAACAACCTCAGCCTTTGACTTCGAAGACAACTGCAATGACGAAACTAAGAACATTGTCCCCTTCAACCCCAAGACCGTCGGCGCAAACCCCTCGCTCACTGCCAACGAGCCCGTCAACGTAGCTTTCAACTCGGATAATCTCTACCGCTGGACCCTCAACAGCACCAGCATGGTTGTGCAATGGGATGACCCCACGCTCATGCAGATCATGTCCGGCAACAAGTCGTTTGAGCAGTCCAACGCTGTCGTCCAACTCCCTACCGCCGACGAATGGGCTTACGTAGTTATTTCAACTACAATCCCCGTGCCGCACCCCATCCATCTCCACGGCCACGACTTCTTCGTCGTAGCACAAGGCTCAGGCGCTTACACTGACGACGTCGTACTGAACCTCGATAACCCGTCTCGCCGTGACACCGCCATGTTGCCTGCCTCTGGCTTCATGGTCATGGCGTTCCAGGCGGATAACCCCGGTGCTTGGTTGATGCACTGCCATATCGGTAAGTAAAAAAACTTCATGTTTCTAGATCCCCCCTTTCGACGACGCAAATACTAATAGTAGAACAGGATGGCACACATCTGAAGGTTTCGCGATGCAGTTTATCGAGCGCATTGATGAGATCGCAGCGATTACGAATAAGGATGCGCTAGAGAGTGGATGCAATGCTTGGACGGGGCATAGTGAGAAGTTTGAGATTGAGCAGGATGATTCTGGTGTATAGACGGATGTGGATATGCAGAGGGAGAGGGTTGCTATGTTTATTTTTGACTCCTCGCGCGATTTACGACAATGAGATTCCCTTAGATTTGAGATTAGAGGCTGGATAGAATAAAATTCTAAGATTTAAACTATCTTGTGATATTCGTTGTCTTCTTCTCTCCTACGACGTGGATTCTGTGTTATGTTCCATTAGTTTGGCTCGCTAAAGAGTGCAATCAATCATGCCTGCAATGCGACAAGGACACTGAAGATGTCTCCAGAGGTGCTGGCAGACATCTGTGACGAGGCAAGGACATGGAAGCCAATTGGCGTGCAGATGCCTTGCCTCACGATACATTAGCGTACCAAACTAAAGAAAAACCTCCGATCACATGGTTTTGATGAACTGTCCATCGAGCCTCCCCGGCTTTACTTCCCTTCCCTTATCATAAATTACTGCACTACGTCGCGCACTGTGGTCGTTCTCGTCTCCCAGGGTCGTCCGGTCGAATGCCAAGGTCTATGACGTCACAGCACCAGTAGAGGCTCCGACGGTCGCGCTAGAGTACTGCAACACTTTACATGTAATGATGTTGTAAAGGGCAATCGAATGATCTTTGATGACAAGGAAAGAAAGATGGCAGGACGACTATAGATGGCTCCGGGGCGTTATCGTTGGCCCGGGACCGATCGGGATGGTGCTTGAAATAATGCCGGCCCACACCACAGAAATCAGGGTATGCCAGACCATCAAGCAGAACTTCGTTTTTCATCTGATGATGTATCCTATCCACGGGCAATTGTTCTGGCGGCAGACGCGACACGCATACTCGAAACACTGGGTGTTTCCTGAGGCTTCGTTCGACACGTGCTATTTCGCGGTTGGCAATGGATATCATCTCCCAAAGTAAGCCGCCATGTATTCCTTTTACATAACGAACTTCTTCATTAAGACGTGGTTACCTCAGTGGCTTTGCAGTCCTGGGATCTAATGTCATGGAGATCCCCTCAAATGCTGTCCACAGAGTCTGATGCAAGTTTCCCCCTTGTGGCGCTTCGGTTATACGCCAGAGGGACTGTGGGGTCTGTTGTGATCTCCTTACTACTAGTGTCTATTTTGTTTTCACATATGCTTAACTTCACGGTTAAGATGGGTTTCCGCCGGCATCCTACAATGGCTGCAGCAGCGGGATGATTCGGGCCAAAAGCAGAAAGGCCCTGGAGGTAATATGCAGCGAATATCGGGGGCTTGAGTCAAAATGACTAATCTTGCGTGTTCAAATCTGGGTATGGAGTCCCAGCGGCCTTTCATTGCGTAGAATTCAGGCAGCATATGTCGGAGTAGCTAACTCCAGTCTAAGGCAGCTCTCGGCCTTGCTACGCCCAAGTGCATTGTAACACTATTAACGCAGTCTCAGCAATATAATGGTCGACAGGGGAAATCAGAACTGGATTGAATTGATTGGTGACGCTTCGCACGTTATGACACCTTTTGGGGGCCAGGGAATGGCCACTGGCCTTCGTGATGGCTTCGGCCTATCGTGGCAACTCGGATGCCTCTTGCACAAAGACCAACGCCTCTTCCATGCAGTATGATAAACGAAAAACGGGGGCTTTCTTTGCAAAGATGGGCAAACGAGCGTGTCAGGCGCCGGATATTCGAGAAAGGCTGAAGCTGACAGGAGTATCCCTTTGGGGAAGTATCGCGCGACAGACGTCTTGTTGCAGCTAAGAAACGGGATCTAGGATCTTCAAGCCTGCATCTCTTCTGGGAGACTTGATAGACCGAAAATAGGTAGCAGATATCCAATGGTACCTTGGTGCTGAGCGCGGTCTCTTTCTAGACCGGCGCTTCGACCTTGAAACCAACAGAAAACGCGCCTATGGGGATAGTCGGAATGGGCGGGTGGAATATCACACAAGTATACATTGAATTGCTCCTGGAGGCTAGCTCTCACTGACGAAGTTTTCTAGAAAACACGAAACCCTTTCACCTTTCTACGCAGCGCAGGAAGCCTCTGACATCATGCTCGCCCTCAACTCTGCAGATCTACCAATCGAAACCATGGTGAATAAAACAATGGATTTGGACGACGCCAATTAGTACAATGCCGATGGATCGTGGTTGGGTCGCTCCTCAGAAAGGGTTGCGCCTTGAGAGCAGAGTTGCTATCAGTCAGTTCAGTCAGTCCGGAGCTCTCTGGACTGACTGAACTGACGTCCTGAGGTCACTGAACTGGACTGGACTGACTGCCAAGACTTTTCAATTAAACTAAAACTGACTGACTGAACTGACGTCGCCGCGGCCTGCGGACTGACTGGACTGACTGAACTGAGTTACCTGACGTCGAACTGAGATAAATGCTCCTGTACTTTTGAGATTTCTTCCTCTGATAGTGTGCGCGCTAGCCCAGAAGCTGAAGTAGTTGTTGGCTGTATACCAAGCCTCTTCCAGCTCTTCAAGCTCTGCAAAGCTGAAATAAGCTCTGGCTTCATATGGAGTCTCCGGGTGCCTAACATGTCGCCAAGCTCGCTGAAAGTCCGCTCACAGTCTGCCGCTGCTGCTGGTATTGTTAGGACGTCAATAGCGAACTTTGAGAGTATAGGGAACTGCCCAGCAACTGACTCCCAGTATAGAAGCGGATTAAGAGACAGCCAATCCTCCTCAGCTAACGCTGGTTGCCGCTTCCATATCTCATACTCATCCTCAGCAAGGCTTGCCTCTAACTGCCGTGTGCTTTGCTCAATTGACGACTGTAGAAAAGCTGATCGCGACGTTGAAATCCCTAGCCGGGGCTTCTTACGCGGCGGCGTTACAGTGTGAGCTGAAGTGGCTGCAGAGTCCTTCCGCCCCTGCCACATACGCAGGAATGCCCGGTGGTTATTGTCAAGCCAGCCGTCGCGATAGTGGACACCGTCACGGGCAGTGACATGGGTGTCAGGCACCTTCCAGAGCGCTGAGAGGTGGTGTTTGTAGTGCGGGTGTAGTATTGTAGCAGTGTAGTAGACAGGCGCGTTATCGAATTTTGCGTAGTACTCAGCAAGCTTACAATGCGCAAGGTTAACGTTTGTAATAAGATGATCTTCAGGCGCATCTAGATCTTCGTAATTTACATCCTTAAGGCGGTCTTTGAGAGCCTCAAGCTGGTCAAGAAGCCACTCAAACGTTACTAGAACTTCCCATATAGCGCCGTGTCGGCCGTGTCGGCCGCGACCTTCAAGTAGCCGTGTAGCTTCGGCAAATGGCTCAAGGAGTCGAATGTATTCTGTTATTGTCGCCCAGTCCTTGCCGCTTAGACCCCCTTCGCGTATATATAACCGTGGCTGGGCAGCAGGGAGCTGCTCACGATTCTTCCGGCGTCGTGAGGTTGCTGTTGCAGCACTATGCTCCTCAAGTTTACACTCAATATAGCCATCGATAGGGCCGTGTAGCTCAGCTGCACGGACAAACGTGTTGAAATAGCTATTCCAGCGTGTCTTAACAGGCTTCACAAGCTGCCGGATGTGGGGTGTAACACCTAGAGACTCTGCCTCCTCGCACTGTAGGCGCTCTAGTAGTTGTCGAGTTTGAGGCGTACAGATAGACGCAATCACGTCAAAGAGGACGCCAACAGGACCGTATTTGCGCCACTCATCCATGTACTTCTCCTCTTCCTCAAGGTGTGCGGCTTCATTCTCGTACGCGCTACGGTCTTTGCCCCAAATTACTAATTGTGCGCTTAGGTTGAGTATATGGCAGCAGCACCGCAGCCGCCGCTCGCTTGCGATAAAGCCAAACTCCTCTGCTAAGGACTCAACTGCAGTATCATTGTTACTTGCGTTGTCAAGCACAAAGTACCCAACCCTCGCGTTGTCAACGCCAAATAGCCGAAGTATTGTTGTTGCTGCAGCGGCAATATTATTGCCAGTGTGCGCCCCGTGTAGCTCAGGCAACCCAAGCAGGTGGTCAACTAGCTTGCCCTCGCTGTTAAGGTAATGTACGCAGAGGCCAGTAAAAGCATACTGCCCACCAGTTGAAGTCCAGTTGTCGAATGACACGTGTATAAGCGACCGGGCTTCGCGAAGGTAGTTGGCAACAGCTAGTATGTATGTATTGTACTCAGTAATAATATGATCGTGGAGCGTTTAGTGGCTACGCCAAAGGAGAGCTTCGGCTAGCGGGCTCACGGCCGCAATCATGGCTCGAAACTGCGGCGTTTCTATTACGCGAAGGCTCTGGTTGTCCGCGACTACCCAGTCCTTCAGCGCGTCCTGAAATCGAGAGGTTGAAAAGCTTGCTGCCATCTCGTTTGCTACCTCTTGCGATACTTCTATCCCTTTAGACCTCATAATATATACTTGGGACTTTGCGAGCGCGCCCATAATATTGCCCTCCCGGCTAGCAATTGGTACAGGTCCGTTAGGTCCGTGTGAGTGTCCAGGCTTGTTGCTTGAGAGGTGTCGGCCGGCGTTTGTAGTGCTGTCAGCCTCGTAGCAAGCCTCCTGCTTCCGTCGTTGATGGCAGTACCGGCAAAGCCAGTAGTTTTTCTTGTACTTGCGGTGCCAGACGGCCCAGCCGTGGCGGTAGATCCAGCTTTTTGGCCCACCGCGACTATTACGCTCAACCTGGCGCCGCTCAAGATACGGCACACGCTTAAAATCAAGCCCGTCGTAATTGTCGTCGTCGTCGTCGTCGCCGTCGTTGGGGAAGTCCGCCTGTACTGCCAAGGGCTCATCAGCCTGGGCCTCGCTCGCAGTATCGCCAACAGTAGGCGCGTTTGATAGCGATGGTAGAGGAGAATTGCGCTTGTCGCATTCTACAAGGCGGCGAAGGCCTGAATTAGAGGGAGTAGACATGAAGTACACCAAGAAGTATTATGGCAACAGTAGTCTAGCGTCGTGTGTATAGCAGACGCGACGCGACGCGACGCGAAAGGCTTACTAGGTGCGCACCGGGTAGCGCATTTCCGCAAACTCTAATTAGCTTAAAGCTAGATGCTTTAACTTATATAGGATTAGTGTCTTTATATCTAGGACTAGCGCGGCTTCGAAGCCGCACTAAATGTGGCTTTCACAACTCTAAAATACTGCTTTAAAAACAGCTAACGTCAGTCTATTGTGGTTTTCGAAATACCTTGAGCCGCCTGGATCTGGTTAGCTTGGTGCCCAAGAACATCAACTCCCATAGTAATTTGTTAGTAAATTAATGCAGCAGCCGTTTCCCACCTCCAGAAGCCCATGAAGCTAGTCCTGTACTCTAAATCGTTCGTGTATAGCGTTTTGTTTGTGTGGAGCTTGTTGCGAGCTCAATCTAGCTGCTGTTGGGATGCCGCCCAAGCGCCAGCGTAAGCCGAAGCAGCCATTCGATCAAGGCGTTAACCCGTCCTCCCAGAAGCGTAGAGCGCCAGCAACTAGACAAAATCCTACCCATTTAACGCCTAAACGTGTCCGCCGTGAGGCGCTGCCGTCGCCTCCAGCGACTGCCCCGCCGCGCCGTCAAAGCCCGTTGTCCGAGCCTGAGCTGCAAGCCACCCAAACAGCTGCCTCCGCGCAAGCTGAAGATATCGTTGGCGAGGATGAGGATACTTTCGAGGATGGAGATGGCGATCCGCTGCCTGAGGATGAGGATGAGATCGCTGCTAAGGGCGCTGCCGGTAGTGTTGAGGATGAGGGAGAGCCAGCGTACCGACGTCAAGAAGGCACTCCATGGCTGCCTCGCTCATCGCAAGCGCTAGAGGATGAGGTTAATCCTGTACTGCGCGTTAGGTGGAGGGCTTGCCTTGGTGGTGATATGGAGAAACACTTTATTCCTGAAGCTGCCGATAGCGAGCACGGCGTACGGCTGTACTCGCTGCATTTCGACGACCTATGGCAGTGGGTAGATGACGTTGTTGCAGAATTACGGCCAAAAAGAGCGAAGATCTCATCTGTTTGCACTGTTGTTTACCCAGCTAAGCAGGCCAAACGCGAGCGCGCGATAAAGCGATTGCGGCGAGGTGTTGATGCAACGTGGAATAGCTTTCAGCGCCTTGTTGTAGAGGTTGATAACTATGTCAGCGAGCCAGTAAACGTCGATTTCGAGCTCATCTTGGCTGAAATTCCAGGGGAGCAGCAGCCGTTGCCAACGGTTGTCGACGGTCCTCGTCGACGCACCGCAACGGTGATTCAAGAGGAGGGGCTTGCTGGTGTAATAGCAGCTGAACAAGCAGGTAGCGGGCATGCTATTGCTATCCGGGATAGATGGCGCTGTACAGATACCCATTGCGAGAACTATCCTTATTGCTGCTGGATGGCGCCAACAGCGAGGCAGCCAGCGCGCTTCGAAGATCACCTCTTTGTCAACGGCAACATTATCTCCATGTGGGCAAGAGCAATTACAGCGAGAAGGGCAACGTACGATGAGCCATCTGATGATGTACGGCTTGCAATTTTGAGAGCAAAGGACCTGCGGGTGCATGAGAAAACGCGCAAGTTGCGGGCGGCTGGAGATGGCGACGATGATATCAAAAGCTTAACAAAACTGCTCATCGTTGGACAGCTTGAGCGGATGAACAGGCAACCTCAACAGGAGTCTAACTTGCAGGCAGCTGCACCAACGATAACAAGAGCTGAGGTATCTAGTGCATCTCAGTGGGCGCCTATCCGATATGATCATGAGCAGGAGATTAACGAGCATACTAGTAATTTCTTTAACTACCTTAAGTTAAAATTTCCTACAGTTGGAGAGGACATTAACGAGCTTTATAAGACTCTTGTTATTGACGGAGCTATGGATATCAACCTCTTGATGCAGCCATCTGGTGATATCTTGAAGTTGTGGACGCAGCATTTCAAGCAGCCTCCTGGCTGGTTTTTCACGCTACAAAACACTGCAAAAGAATGGCAAGCTGGGTACCAGGGTCTCACAGATCGTAACTGGAGACGAGTCGAACGTTGTAAGAAAAGAGAAGAGATTGCGCGCAAGAAATTGGTGGTTGAACCGTCTAGCAGTGTTGTGGAGGATGATGGCGAGAATGCTTGAAGCTTAGTGGCCTGAGCGTTTTTGGTGACAGCGGCCCGTGCCCGCTATAGTGTTGAGGTTTTTCAGGCGTTTCAAATGCGCTGCAACAATAGTCTATTTGGATAGCCCTATGTACAACACTACAACGTTATGCGATTATAACAGGTTAACTTCCTAAGATAGTTCTATATGTATAGAAATAGCTCTTATTTTTTTAGAATTATTAAATCGCTTTTGTGGGTTGCGCATTAAGGTGTAATCGTTCGCATTTGTATGGTATCATCTACCTATAGAAACGTACTGTGGCATCCATTTAAAAGCACAATTAATAGGGATAGCCACACCTATGGAACCAGCTTCTGCAGTTAATATTACAGCACACCAGCTGCGCTGCATACTCAAGAAAGACCCCAAAGTCAATGAAGTTCTCCGCTTGCGCTGAATTCCTTTTCATCCACCCCTTGAGCTGCTTAAAGCTCTTCTCGATGGGGTTGAAATCTGGTGAGTATGGCGGCAGATACTCAAGGAGTACTCCAGCACTTTGGCAAAGCACCCGTACACGCTCTGATCGATGGATGGAGGCGTTATCAAGCACGATTACTGAGGCTGGCCCTGGGTGAGGATTGCAGAACGGCAGCACTTGAAACTCTAAGAAGTCTTCTAGGATCTCAGATGTAATCGCGCCTTGAAAGATCTTATAGCTTATGTAGCCATCTATCGTCATGGCTGGCAGCAGCGACCACCGTTCTGATCGCCTGAAGCTGTGTGATAGCTCCACCGGCTCCCCGATTGGAGACCAGCCATACTTGCGGTCGCCCGTACGCTCATTGCAGGCGCTCTCGTCCAACGCAACGATCTGCTCCGCCTTATAGTGTTGCGCCATCCTGGCAAGATAGAGGCGGCGGAGTGGCTCACTCTGCTCCTTTGCCCGCTTTGTTGCAAGCTTGCGAGACCATCTCATCTTCTCTAGCTCTCGGTAAACGCTCGCAAGGCTTATCCTAACGTCGTACTCGTCGTACAAGAAGTCCCTCATCTCATCCATGTATGCGCCCGGTGAGCCATTGAGGTATGCCTGAAGGCCTTCGCGCTGAGCTTGCCGGAGTATAGATGGCCGCCCAAGTCGAACGCAGCGCGGCGGATAAGGCACGCCCCAAAACTCTAAGCTCAACCTCAGCTTTGCTACTGTGTTACGGCTCGCACCTGTAGCTCTAGAGATGGCTCGATCACTTTCGCAGGCAGCAATTCGGTCGAGGATAGCCTGGAGAACAGCGGGCTGCAAGCGGTGGCCGGTGCCTGGCATCGCGATGAGATGGGCTCGAGAAAATTGCAACACCAAAAACGCGAGTCAGTAGAGGCGATCGCAGCAAACAATGAACTTCAAATACGTTGTGGGTGTTAGAAAGCGTGGCTGCATCGATTTACTAACAAATTACTATAGGAGTTGATGTTCTTGGCCACCAAGCCAACCAGATCCAGGTGGCTCAAGGTATTTCGAGAAACACCCATAACGTCAGTCAGTTCAGTCAGTCTGGAGGCTTCTGAACTGACTGGACTGACGTCCAGCTGCCTCAAGAACTGACTGACTGAACTGAGTCTTGGCAGTCAGTTCAGTCAGTTCGAACTGAGTTACCTGACTGATAGCAAGTCTGATCGTTCTACCCTTCTCGAGACGGTGGTTCTATTGCGCGACAGCAACCAAACCCAGCAGACTCCGCAACAATCAATCGGATCGGCATGATTGATTCCTATCTAGGTTAAAGGCTGCCTAATGAAGTAATTCTTTAACCTATATAGGAATCAATCATGTCAATCGATTGATTGTTGCGGAGTCTGAAACCCAGACTCCGATGCGATCTGGGATGAGTGGGAGCTAACGCGCGTGTACCCAGCCACTCGCGAAGACATCATTAAGATGGGTACCGATCCTTCTACAGTGGCCAAGCTAAAAGACGATGTATGGGGCTTAGGAGACGACGCGTATGCCACAATTTTTGACGTGTACCACCAAATCCATTGCTTAAACTCACTGCGACACATCGCATACAGCAACTACTACAATCTCAGCATGGCGCGGGTGCACACAGTCAAGCAGCGCGAGATTCACCTCAACCATTGTATCGACATCCTACTCCAGGGGATTCAGTGCAATGCGAACCTGGATCTCATTCCGCTGCACTGGGTGGAGACACAGGAGTATCCGTTCCCGGATATGTCGATCAACAAGAAGTGTGTCAACTTTGACGGGCTGACAGAGTGGCGGAAGGCGAATACTGTTGATATGGATAAGTACGTGAAGGTTATGAAGATGCCAGAAGTGAATAAGCCGGGGGTCAAGGAGCTTCCTGCTGCAGATCAGTACTATGAGTATTGGGGATTTGACAATCCGAACCATAAACCCGAAGCTGAGGGAGGACACGGGTTGCCGATGGATGTCGACTCGAACTTGTAGCGTTGAGTCTATTAATTAGCCTTATTGTGATGAATCCATATGGTGTTTCTAGTAAGCAAACCAGGCGTGTATACCTGGCGAATGTTCTCTGAAATGCTGCTTTTGATGGCGTGTTCATCACTATTCGCAAGCGCCTGAGCCTTAACAAGCAAGAAGTGTATTTCGTTATATCTGAATCTAGCCTGGAAACTTAGCTACGTCCGATCCCCGTTATTCCGGCTCAGAAAAACTCATCGTTCTTACGGCCTGCAATCAAACCGCATCTATTTCCTAATGTATCACTTTTCCCGTGTAGCTCATCCTCCATTTATCCCACCAAGATAACTCTTGCTCCATTGCAATGGGATATGTGTAACGATGTGTGGCGGTGTTCTTTATGCTCTTTTCTCCATAATATGTACCCCGACTCAGCCCCTTAAATGCCATATTCATACCACTCTTTCGCAAGGTCAGCACAGACGGTTTCACGAAGATATCGTCGTTGTTTATGTATATCCTCGATTTCGTCGTAGTCGGAAGGACAGCAGTGAAAATCGTAGCGTAAATTCTCTACATTAAGTTTCGCAGTCCCTTCGGTACCGTGGGCCCATTGTTCGAACCTGATCCCGCATGGCGATCCTTCGATAAATGCGACGGATCTTAAGTCTTTTCTGCGGATTGCGAACTTCAGGAATAAGCCACAGAGTACCATCCCAATTGGGGAGGGGACCAAGAATTTACGGGATTCGTAGCGAACTTTGACATGCTCATGCTGGCGGCAAAAGTCTGCTACTGCAAGCATCAGACTCCGCAACAATCAATCGATTGACATGATTGATTCCTATATAGGTTAAAGAATTACTTCATTAGGCAGCCTTTAACCTAGATAGGAATCAATCATGCCGATCCGATTGATTGTTGCGGAGTCTGGCAAGCATGGGGTGTGTATCTTCAAGTAGCTTGTCCATGAAAGAAGGAAGGTCGCCTCCGAAGACAGTAGCCTGCCATCCAGAGTCCCACAATGCGTCTAGGCAAGCAGTTGACCCAGCCGTAATCATCATAAAGTGTGACATTACGGAACCATCCAGCTTTCTCCTTGGAACAAGTTTTCAGGAATTCGACGAATTCGACAAAGTTTGCAGCCGGACCTCCGATTCTTCCAGTGTAGGTAAAGTACGTTGACTGGTCTGGACTTCAATGCCTGCTGTTTCCTGATGCAATTGACGACAAGTGTACTTCAACTGGTTGAATTCTTCCATACGGTGACTCCGACATAGAACACGTGGAATGAATCATGCTGAGAGTAGGCCATTATTCCATAAAGGATCGAAATCCAGGTCTTCGGGGGCGGTGAGGACAAGCTCGTAGATGCAATTGCGCCAGTTCTGCTAGAAGTCGCAGCAAGGGACTCGTTGGAACCGTAACGGTTGATTCGATTGATGCTTCTCTCATGGTATTGGAACATTTTTTTGTGTATAGCAGGAAGGGATGGAAGAGAGATATATCGAAAGAGGAAATTGGCTCACTTGTACAATACAAAAGTCAAGCAGATATTTTTCATCTCCACTACAGTACCACGGTACCCCTTCCTGGCGTACAAGATTGAATATCGATTACAAGATATTGACGAGAGCTCTACTGAGATTTTTAGGGTTGCCTCCCGCCACGCTTTTCGTACAAGAATTTACTTTACTGGAGATCAGCGCAAGGCAGGAGTCAACGTACGCTTCATGCTTCCAGCTCTCGGGTACAAGTCTTTGCCACAGATCTTCTCGTTTGAATTAGAACGTTCCCTACTAGATCGCGTGACCCGCAGGATATTTCCCATGTACTATCAGTAAAACAGCTTCTCGTTTCGAGTAGGCTTAGTCATGCTCTGGACATGAGGGTTGGGAAAGCGCAACCTGATGAGTCGGAGCAATTGACGACGAGAATAAGCCGGCCTTCTCGCGGCAACAGTCCATTTCGAGTAAAACCATAACCCTTGGAGGTGGGAAGATCGCTTCCTAAAAAGTGCAGGTACTTGGTATCCTTGTGACATTCGGCCGCTCGGTTGGTGCTTAGCGCACTTGGCACCTGCAGTACAGGATAAAGTGGGAAGTGCCACCATGAGGACTTGTGTCAAATCTCGAGCTGGCTGACATCGAATACAACATTCGCTTGTTCATCTCTTCTCCCCGCGTCTTGTGTAACGCCACAGCATCTATCAACGTCAGAAGATCTTCCTGGTGCCAACAATGTGGTCGATCGCAGCGACGACAGCGCTCATAGCGCTTCTATGGCAAGCTGAGGTTGTTACTTTTGGTTATGGGGGCAGCCTAGAGCCGCGAGAGTTCTTTTACGTTGGGGGCGAGTATGCAAACCTCACAGTAGGTGTTGCTCATGCGTTATCTCCAAAAACTGACCATGTAGCTTGGAACCTCTACTGCGGAGTACATGGTTAACCAGATCTACGTCGAAAAACTTATTCCGGCAAAAATTACCCAAAGATACCCGATTCTTTTCATCCACGGAGGCGGACAAACTGCGACGAACTTCCTCGAAACGCCTGATGGTCGTCCAGGATGGGCATCTTTCTTCCTATCGCATGGTTACACTGTGTATCTCAGTGATCAGCCATCACGTGGTCGATCCCCATGGTTTCCTACAATGGGAACGATGTTTGTAGTAAATACGGCTCAAGTGGAACAGCTCTTTACAGCAACCTCGTCACATGATCTCTGGCCCCAATCAAAACTTCACACCCAGTGGCCCGGTACCGGCAAGGTGGGCGATCCAGTCTTTGACGCCTTCTACGCAACCCAAGTGCAACTACAAGTCGAGAATAGGTTGTCCGAAGCCCAGAACGGGAAGGCGTATACGGCGCTTCTGGATAAGATTGGGGCAGCGCATATCATCACTCACAGTCAAGCAGGAGCGTACGGCTGGCGCGTCGCAGATCTGAGACCTCATCTTGTCAAGAGCATTGTTGCGCTCGAGCCTTCTGGTCCACCATTCGTTGGTAAAATCTATTCGACTGGGCCTGCACGACCCTGGGGTATCACAGATCTCGAAATCTCTTATGATCCACCTGCAGGCCCGAACGCAACTCATATCCAGACTGTGGTTGTTCCAGGAAAGGATGTGAATCATAGCGAATGCATCATGCAGGATGAGCCTGCAAAGAAGCTGGTGAATCTAGCGCAGATCCCTGTATTAGCAGTCACGTCGGAAGCGAGCTATCATGCGCACTATGACTATTGTACTGTAGGTTATATGAGACAGGCTGGTGTTGATGTGGAGCATGTTGAGCTGGCCAAAGAGGGTATCCAAGGAAATGGGCATATGTTCTTCATGGAGAAGAACAATCTCGATATTGCCAAAAGAGTCTTGACCTGGATGAAGAAGCACTGATGCGTCCACATTTCATATAGGCCAAAGACCTGAGAGACATTCCGAACGAGTGGACGGGTAGATATGCCAGCTTCCGCTTGTTTGCAGGCTTGTTGATAAGATTCCCGGCTTCACTTGTTAGTAGGAACGTCTTGACTCGAACATCTGGTAAATGGTATGTCTCGAAAGTTGTACGACCAATGTATCTGATTTCGAGATTCTCAATGGGAGCCGATACTTTGGCGGGATCAATTTGTCTCAAATTTAGAAACCGACAGCCGGCAAAAATCTGGACAAGTGTGTGAGTGTCGAAGAAAAGGGTTCGTTTCCTTTCTCGGTCATAAGAAAAAGAGAAATTCGCGATGTGTCGGTAGGCTCGCGCGAACGGGAGAAGACGCGTCGAGCCGAGATCGGCAAGCCATATCCGCGCTAATAGTTGGAGTCAACATCGTCATCATCCGCATCATAGTCGATATGGAGACGACATTGTCAAATCCGGTAAAGTGGTCGATCTACCATCACCTTGAGTATCAGAGCCTATCCCTCTCATCTCAAAGTCTTTATACAAACATTTTTATCTCTAGCATCACAGACAACGTTGTACAGTCTAACCAACCAACATGGCAAACACCAAGACTCCCCACGACCTCAATTGCCTAACCATCAGCGAGCTCGAAAAGCTCGCTGCCGAACGCATGGACAAACAAACTCGCGACTACTACAATGAAGGCGCAGACTCCGGTTCCACACTCCTTGAAAATATCACTGCATACCAAAAATACCGCATTCGACCACGCGTCCTGCGTGACATCTCATCTATCGATACCAGCGTCAACATCTTCGGACATGAGAATAGCATTCCCCTCGGCGTCGCACCAACAGCCATGCAATGTCTCGCGCACGGCGACGGCGAACTAGCAACAGCGCGCGCATGCAAGAACATGGATATTGTAATGGGACTAAGCAGCTTCAGCACAACGACTCTCGAAGATGTGAAGAGCGAATTGGGATCCCACCCCGGTGCACTCCAACTGTATCTCTTCGAAGACCGACCGAAAAGCCAGAAACTAATCCAGCGCGCGAAGAAAGCAGGCTACAAGGCTGTGATGCTAACCGTCGACACCCCTGTCCTCGGTCGGCGGAACCTAGAAATCAGGAACCAATTCACTCTCCCCAAGCACCTCAAGATAGCAAACTTCGCCCATGATGAACACGACAACGAGGCCGTCGATTTGGAGGAGAAAGATACAACATCCACGATGACAGAGGAAACGAACCACCGCACACCACCCCAAGGCCCCATAACATTCCATACCCACGCCCCCAACCCGACACTCTGCTGGGACCGCGACATATCCTGGCTAAAGTCGCAATGCGGCCCTGAAATGCAAGTCTGGCTCAAAGGCATCGCCACCGCCGAAGACGCGCTGCTAGCTTGCCACCACGGCGTCGACGGTATCGTTGTTTCGAACCACGGGGGTCGGCAGCTCAACGGCGCGCTCGCTACCATCGACGCGTTACCCGAGGTAGTCGCTGCTGTGCGGTCACATACGGGCAAGAAGGTGCCTGTCCATGTTGATGGTGGTATTCGACATGGGACAGATATTTTCAAGGCGCTGGCGCTGGGCGCGGACTTTGTGTGGGTGGGGAGGCCGGTGCTGTGGGGGTTGGCTTATAAAGGGCAGGAGGGGGTGGAATTGGCGTTGAGGTTGCTAGCGGATGAGTTTAGACTTTGTATGGGGCTTGCGGGTGTGACTAGGGTGGAGGATATTGGGAAGGAGTATTTGATTAAGATGGATCGGAGTGGGTTTGTTAGTCGGTTGTGAGATGATAAAGTAGAAGGCGACGTTTCTGACACTCATGTATATCAACGATAATTCGTTTAACCTTCATGATTTGATTACATTACAGAACTGTGTCGTTACGTTTGATCCATTATCTTTCTTGTCTCCTACGCCTTTTGGCGTCTGCTTTCTATGAAGTCGACGTAGTCGAAGAAACTCTTTTTGTACCTCCGCACCATTGTCGTACGATTGACAGTCTGGATACCAAATTGCTGGGCATAATCACCAAACTCCCAGTTATCCGCCCAGGACCAAGCAAAAGCGCCAACAAACTGTACGCCATCTTCCCAGATGGCCTTGAGACCTTCGTTAAGATAGGTCTGGTAGTACTGGCTTCTTGGGCTGTCAAACTCCTGGTCCTTTTGCGCTTTCTGCGATTCAGCGAAGACGGGGAAACCAAACTCGGTTACAGCGACGGGGGACTTAAATGTGTTCCATAGGTAGTTAAGGTAGGTGCGGAAGTAGGTAGGTGTGATGTAGACGTAGCTTTGGCTGCGGTATCCAATGTTCCACCCGGTTGTAGTGGTGGTTTCCTGGGTGACACAGTAAGGGCGAAGCGGGTGGGTGATGTTGGCGGCGCAGTTCGCAATGGTATCGTTGGGAGGGGGGCTAACAACAGTAGCGGTGTAGGGCTGAATAGAGTAGAAGTCGGCAGTGCCGTTGATGTATGCTAAGTCTTCGGCACTCAACGGTACGTAGTCAGCGGTGCTGCTCTTGAAGGACTCTGGGTAATCGATTCCAAGGAAGATGGGGTTGGAAAAGGTAGCCAGTTGGAAGGAGTTGAAGTGGTTGGCTGCGTCAACATCGGCGGGATCTTGTGGATTCTTGGGTACACCGAAATTATCGTTGAAGGTCAACGAAATCTTTCCAGTACCCTTGATTTCGTCGTGGTAGAAGTGAGAAAGCCTTGCATGCGCTTTGATAACAGCATCAATGGACTTTCCATTCCGCGCACCGAGCAGCGGCTCATTGAACGACCACCAGATAGGAACACGGTCGGCAAAGTGCGTCATTAGGATCTTTCCATAGTTCACAAAAGCATCTTCAAACGAAACATTCTTGTAGCTACATTGAAAGCAAGAGTCCAAGTAACCGATAGCTCCAGTTCCGGGCACGTTAAAAATACTGCTGATATTGCCGTTGTAGAACTGGAAGGGAGAATCGTTATGGTAAATCATGAGAGCAGGTAGCATCCCCTTCTCCAAAACAAAGTTGATCAGCTCGTCGTAGTGTGCTAGGCCTTGCTCGTTAACTGGTGTGCCCGGAAGGATAAAGGGAAGGATTCGTGTCCAGGGAACGGAGAATCGGTAGTACTTCACTCCCATGGCTGCAATCCGCTCAATGTCTTGCTTGTACAGATAGTAGTTCTCGTTTGCGATCCAGTTTGGTGCTTGGCCCGGGTTGATTAAGGTGCCAACATCGTTGTGGACCGGTGTCCGGCCTTCGTCGGCGATAGCTCCCTCAATTTGAACGGCTGAGGCTGCTACACCGAGCATGAAGTCCTTGGGGAAGTAGTAGCATGACTGGGGAATGACAGGTTCAGGAGGAGGTAGGATTAGCTCGCTCGTCGGTACTGGAGTCGGTGACACTGTTGTAGAGTATATGCCCCTTGTGAAGTTAACCCAGGGAATCGTACTCCAAAGTGCAGACCACGACGCGTTTCCGTACGGGTTGGCGGTATCGGTAGCTGTTACGCTGGCGTTGGGGTACCAGTTGCCCCATTGCGTTGTCGTCAAATTGGGTACGAAGCTGCTAAGCGACGCATAGGGTGGAGCGTAGGTCGTCGTAGCAGTGGGAGCCGGGATCGACTTTGCAGTACGAACCGTCTCGGTTTGCGTGAAGCTGAACTCTCGGAAGGTGTATTGAGGAACTGCAGTGGCGTATGTGCAATTTTCCACGCATTGCGGTCGTGATACTGGGCCTTCAGCCGGGATGTAGACTTGCTGAGCAAGTGCTACGGCTCCGCATGCCAGAAGAGCTTGAGGTTTCATGGTACCGGTAAAGAAGTCATAGGGATGTACCCTTTCCTCGTCTTTGTAGCGTATTTATACTACATTTACGTCATGCAGAGACTTTCAAGGTTACATTCGGACCGGGATGGTCGTAGGGCGCACGACCTGTCGGGTATTTGACAATGCCGAGTTGGAGAATGTACATGTGGAGTCAATGTCCATACCTACGTAGGTACCTGGGGTCACCATCTGAGAAAGACGCCCCTCGGTCGAGCTCGGTCGGGCTCAAGTTCGGCGATGGGGTAGTAGTGCTGTGCGGGGACCACCTGCAGCGGTGGAGCGGGGTACGGTGTCATCAAATATGGGGTGCATGAATCAGGAACACTGACAACTTGATGTTCGATTTCATTTTGTCCGATGTGCTCCATGCAATTCCTAAATGCCGGAGTTCTGCCTTGTCAGCTGTCCTTCACATGTTGTTGTTTTGCGCATTGTTACGTAAACAGGCTTGGTGACTGGTATGCGATGTGCATGTTCGGGGCTCCGATTGCATCTCGTCTTTGAGTGATATACTGCGGTTCGGTGACGGCTAACCCGCCGTCCCAATGTTCGGGCCGATCTCCACATCGTGAACATCTGGTGAGTACCTATAGGTATGTCCAAAGATGCCTGATTCCAATCGCGATCCACTCCGAGGCTAGTAGAATTATTCCGGCTTTTACCCAAGTAAAGGATTATTCTCGGTATGCCCTGCTTCGATGATTAGCGTTGTGCGCGCCTCCTACCAACGTCCCAGACCCATGCTCCACCCAACAGGCGGATGATGGGAGGCAGCAGATGAACGGGGAACGCTTTCCGCCGCATTTGCTATCGTCTCCTCCACTGCTCAGGTATATATTGCACGTAGACAGGCATGGACATGATTTTAAACAAAGGCATGCACATTTCTTAAAAAGTTCATCATCTCACCTGTTTGAGTATGACGGCAATATCGACAATACTGATACGGAGAACAAGATACTAATCCGCATAGCGCAACTGCAAAGCTAATCGGAGAGGGGGTGGGATTTGGCAAGGAAACCCTCGTAACCACACCAATGGGAGAATCTGCTGCTTATAGACCGACGAAGATCCAGTCACACCAAAAGGCGAACCGATGCCAAACGTAAAGGGCGAGACTAGCTACGTCTCTCCTCTAGCAAATGGCGAGTGACTCACGAACTCGCCGCGACTAAACCAAACATCGCCTGTCACCCGGCTATATATCCGTAGCCGCATTGCAGTTGGGGATTTAGCTGGCAAGCCGGCCTCTCTCGCATCTTCTCTTCAACTGTCCTATCAAGAGATACAGTCATAGTTCTCAATATAGTCAGAACAATAGCTGTTTTACTCGTATTCAACAACTTCCCCAAGCTAAAGCCAAAGATGACGTTACTGTATAGCTGGATTGTAGTGAGACTTCTGGGTTAGACTGGAACCAGGTCATGAAGAAGTATACTTTACGATGTGCGGGAAGCGAGGCCGACGATAATACCGCGTCGTAGAATTACATACGCCTGTTCTTTCTGTGAAAGCAAAGATGCCGGAGCCTTCCGAGATGTTGTACGTTCTGGTGTGCATGACTATGAATCGGTGTGGGCATGATGTACATGTTCTATCACAACTTTGTTATTCGGACGTTTGTAAAGTGCAACTTTAGAGTCAGACATGCGAAAGGACAGAAAAAACATATGCATTTCGTTTACAAGCGCAGAAATGAGATTGATGAAACCCTAGAATACACGCCACCAAATGGATCGCCAAGTGCACCTCAACCGATGCCATTATATACCGCCTCCTCGCTTCCTGACTTTGGGAAGCCTTCGTTGTCCGTCCGTTCGCAAGATACATGTGGGTAGACATACAGAGTGACGCGAATGCTGTTGATACGCGCCACGTAGTTGGAACATATCGTCGTACTTCAGGTATCGATGCCGATGTTGCGTGTTGCAGATTGTGTTTGTCGGTTCTTGTCTGCAATCATGGGCCGCGTAAGCGTTTAGCATTGAGCCTCACCAGCCTTGGAGTTCATGAGAAGGGCGACAATAAGGCCATAGAGACCTGGTGTATGTTAGTGAGTGACTGCATGCCGACATGTCTAGTGCTTGACGTACCCAAAACTTCAGCGAAAATGAGGATCAGAATCATTCCGACGAAAAGCCTGGGCTGCTGAGCGGTTCCTCGTACACCAGCATCACCGACAATACCGATGGCAAAACCGGCAGCCATACCCGAAAGACCAACGGAGAGACCAGCACCGAGTTGGATGAAGTTGGCGAACAGCGAAGACTCCTGTTTCAGGCCGTTGGAGATGAGGACAGACACGACGAGACCGTAGATACCAATAATACCCGCCATGACAACGGGAATAATGTCTGCACAATGCGTTAGTTACATATCGCCTTATACATGCCGGGCTGATCCGGGCGACGATGCTCAAACGTACTCTTTACAATCAGGTCAGGGCGGAGGACACCCATGGCCGAGACACCAACACCAGCCTTAGCAGTTCCGTAGGCCGCACCGAAGCAAGCGAAGACGATAGCGGACGTGCAGCCCATGGCACCGAAGAAGGGCTATTCTCTCGTTAATATACTCTTGCGCTGCTACGGAAGGAGGTCGTGGCGTCGCGGCGCCGATCGCGTCGAAGGCGGAGCGCACGTGGTTTCTCGAGTACTTACGGCATAGACGGGGCTACATTCATCATGTTAGCTTGTGCTCATCTCATAAAGCTTCTCCGGTGTCGTGATGACAGTCGCGCGCCCAGCTCGTTCCTAAGAAGCAAGCTGGAAGCTGCCTGCATATCTCGACAAGGGAGCTCCGCGTGTACTCACCAAAGTTCGGAAACCATATTTGCGGTTTGTTAGGGTTGGTTTGTTGGGTGTAGAAGAGCGTCGAGATCTTTCCTGAGATGGACGGAAGTGGTGGATGCGGCGATGGGGCGGTTGGGAGATGTCGAGGAGTGGTGACGATGGTTGGCGAAGAGCTGGTCGCCTTTGCATGACGCACTAGTCCCAGCTTGAGACAAGCGCCACACGTGATGTATGCCAAGGTTCTACCTAGGAACTTTTTTTCCTAGACCCCTACACTCCACCATCTTCACCAACCTTTACCTCGGGCGAGCAAGCAGTGTATGTCGCATGCATACCTATACCTTATTTCCAGTCAAAGACTAACAGTTTCTAGGAATCCTACCTCGGACGAGCTTTAGCAGTGAACCCTACGACCAATCTACAACAATTCATCATGGCCGAAGACAACGTAAGTCGCAAGCTGCGCTTCCACCTCTACGTCCATCCTATCACCCCCCAGCCCCTACGATAAAGACGAGCCGTTGGTAGCTCGCTTGGTATGGTAGTTTCCGCCCATGCGATCAGTAACGCGCTCATTTTTCCGTAGGGGAGGAGCTATCATTCTTATTCTTTATGCGCCGCGGAAAATTATTTCAAAACACTAACGACAAACAGTCCGCAGCCTGGCCCCAAGCCGATCAGGCTCTCTCGCAAGAGATACTTGACCGTTCGTAAATAATTACTCTTTCTACTACCTTCATATACTAATTACTTCAATTAGTCGTCCAACAAGCAAGTCACTACAAACAAATCAAGAAGGGAGCCAACGAAGCGACGAAGACCCTCAACCGCGGAATTTCCGAGCTAATTATCCTCGCCGCTGACACCTCCCCACTCGCTATCCTCCTCCACCTGCCTCTCCTCTGCGAAGACAAGAACGTACCCTACGTCTACGTCCCTAGCAAGCAGGCTCTTGGACGTGCCTGCGGAGTTGCTAGGCCCGTCATCGCTGCGTCCATCACCACCAACGAAGCGTCTGATCTGATGGGTCAGATCCGCGCCCTCAAGGACAAGGTTGAGCGTCTCGCGGTCTAGTCGCGATGCGCCTACCTGCACCGTACGATCGCCTGGATATATGGGTATGCACCCGGGTGTCATAAAATATTTGATATCACTGGAGTTAAAAGGCCACGGTAGTCGCCAGATCAAGCACATATTTTGACACTCAGGTCTTTGAAAATGAAGGAATGGAGTTCGCAATGTTGGAAGTCTATGTAGGATCAATAACAGGGCATCTGGATGAGATATCGCTAGATCTTCTCTGTACGTAGACTGAGAATGAAGTGCCGAGCGCAAGACGGCATCGACTCTACTAAATCAAAACTCACGTATTCAACATAACTAGCACTAGCACTGCCTTCGCACTTACTTGCATGATTTCTTTGTTGCCACAATAACCTGATCGAGACAGCAGATTAACATTACTGTGGCCTGGTATTTCTTTAATAAGGGTTCTTAGCGGCCACGCCAGCTGCTCAACATATGCATGTGCATGTCAAACTTCGGGTACCTGCCGCCAGCCCGCTCTCCCCGTCACGCCGACTATATGCAAGATAAAACTCTGTTTGTGTATGTTGGCAATGGGGAAACCCTGATTTGAGCTAGTAGATTGGGAGAGATGAGCTTGTTTCAGTTGGTATTCAACAATATATCCCAAGTCAAACTGTATTGATATTCTGTTGTATCGAACTTGCTAAGCCCGCCCCAGAAGAGTGGCTGCAGGCACGATTACCGTAGTCATAGACGAGCTGGTCGATCGAGAAGCCACCGCTGCAGCAACACCACCAACATCATTGTTCCGACACTCACCCCCATCATCCTCACACCTACGATAGATACTCATACTACCAGCATTACCACACACTTGCTCCTTATTCCCCACACACGGCATAGCGCAAGATCCCATAATCCCCTCTTTAGGCAGGCGTTTTACATCAAGCTCGTTGTTACAGAAACATTCATTGCCATTTTCAGGCGCGGCGTAGGAAAATTTGCCAGCAATGCAGTAGTTGATGCAGCTCTCCACCGTCATGGTGTCGTTGTATGTCCAGGCGCCCGTCATGGCGCGGTCAGTCACAGAGTCCGTGCCGCAGCCGATGTATTGCCACCTTTTGGTTTGGGTGAGATCGATGTGATCGGAAGGGCCGGCGGCATTGAGGGTAGGGGTGTGGGATGTGCAATTTGCTGCGGAAGTGGTGGTGGCACGGGTAGGGCCGTATGTGAGGGTGTTGCAGCCTGGGAGGGCAGTAAGGTTTTTGCTGACTTGTTCGTTGAGTGACGAGGGGATTTTGCACGCGTTGCTTTCCTCGGTTGTGTACATGGTAACTGCGGCGCACTTTTCGACTTGACCAGACATGTCTGTGCAGGTATTGACGGCCTTTTGGAGGACCTCTACATCCCAGCCGTTGAAGAAGTCGCCGTGGAGTCCGTAGCCTGTTGCGTCTCCTTGGGAGAAGACAAAGGGATTCTTGCCGTCATCCCATTCACTTTCGAAGCGCGCCGTGTCGTACAGGATCTCGTAGAATATGGAGATCATGTGGACGGGGTGCGTAGGGGGACAGTTGCCACCATTGTACACGGTACCCGATGGATAGCTCATATGGCTTTTGTGGTCAGGTGAGTCGAGATTCTTGCCATCCCAGCATTGAGGGAAGAAGACTTGGGCTCGCAGTCCTCCCGGACACGTGTAGTTGGGCATACCGTTCGTCTCTAGTAGGTTTGCGCCGAGGCAGTTAAAAGAAATGCCTTGAGCGGCAAGGCTACCGTCAGAAGAGCGAGTATCCGGATCGCCAGCAATCATACGGAATCCTTCTGGAAAGGCGTGTAGTTGCTCGGTCTGATTGTCTCCACGGCGCTGGAGGTAATACACGGTCATGCCACCGTTCGTATCGTCCCCGTCACCCATAACAGGGACTGGGGCAAATCCCGTCCCATTCTTGTACTTCACGTAGAGTTGGGGGGTCCAGTAGTTTGATTTGTCCTCCTTTACTAGATGTCAGTCTTGGAATAGTGACAGAAGCCTTGTATCCTACCTTGATGGAACATGATGAGCACAAGGAGGCTTGAGTGTCCTGGTATGTCATATTGGCCTTGAACCCTGATCCACCAGATATTGTGTGTACATGGTCGGAGATGCTCCCAGGGTTCATTATTGGGTCGATGCGCTCTCTGACAAGGCGCCCAGGGCATGACATGCGGAAGAATGCATTTGTAGAAGCTGCAAACCCTAGGGCACGTATTACGTTCCTGATGAACATACTAAAAGACGCAGCTAGTAAGTGGTGGCTGAGTGGGAAGAATAAGGTGAAAGAGGGTTCGAATGAAAGTAGTCGAAAGACGGAGGTCTATGGAGAGTTCTAGGGTTATAAGAACATAGAGAACATAAATGAGTGATTGAGAAATGTCAATGTAAGTGACACCAAAATGAGTGTGGTTTCTAACGCCTTTGTTCATTGATAAAGCTGTGAAGGACAAAACACAATATATGATGGGTGGCATGGTGGTGGAGAAAACCAGCCCTCGGTTGATGAAGCACAACACCTGCTATTGTACAATTCTCAAGTTACTCAACATACTCACATGTTTGACCTGCCATTGATGATACAGAATCTATACGGTAGCATTGTTTGTGGCTTGTGAAATTGGTATACCGTAGAAGACGAGATACCTAGACGCGCGCTCTATGATGGCGCCTATTTCGTCACACCAGATAAACAGTGCCTACGTACCTCGGTATGTGCCAACGCACGTTTGTAGCACCCCTGCGAGACATACTGTTGCCGTCGCATTCAGGATCGCAGTGACATCGATGTTCAGACAAAGAAGAACGCACACGGCCAATTCGCGGTGAGAAATAGTACCTCGCTACGCTCTGTTTGGTTCGCTGCTAACCATTGTATTGGATCTGATGTGGTGTGCTGCGCCAATTTTCTGGCCGTCACGAAGCAGGATATGCCTCACCGTCTTTGTTACATAGGTCTGTGTGTGGAAGATTGGCTATTGGGGCCTGCTGAAAGTACGAAGGATGGTTGTCTGCAGACTGTGGCGCGAGCTGCCGCCCACGAGACGAGACGGTAGTACATTTACCGTTAGCGGAAAGCACAGACGCTAAGCACCCTTGCCTCCTCCGGGGCTCTGTACTCTTCCAACACACCCCTCAGCTACAGGAGCAACTTGCGCAAAGTAAGTGATCGATCTTCCCTAACCATGCATCAAATCTGCGATCTGAACATCTGCACAACGACGGTACCCCTTCACAATCAGCATCAAGCCTGAGACAACCACTCCGCGGATCACTGAGCTCATGAACCTCATGCGTCAGTAGTTACCACTAGAGTTATTGGGCTAATGGTACTTCGTAATGGCCCGATCAAAAATCGATTGGACGTGAGAGGACGGCGTTTTCGCACCGCTTGGTGCATAATCTAAAACCTACGCGGTCCTCAACCTGCATATCGCTTTGTCGGTCCAGACACCTGGAACCCCATTTTTTTCGATCTTCAGCTTTCACATGGTGGTGGCTAAGTTCAAGATATCTGACGCCACAGACCCATCGGATCGGTCCAGCCCTATGACGACCAACAATGAAAATGGGAGGAGCGACTGAGGCAGTCAGAAACATAGGACGCGCAGAGTTCATGGCGTGGCTCGGCTATGTTGCAGACAGCCCCTGAGTTGAACGATCGAACTACTGTTATTCTCAAAGGGACAAGTCTAACCAACGTGGTCAGTAGCAAACCCTATAGGCCATGCTCATCATTACCGACCCCACGAACGCACCGAGCGCTGTATAGCTCTTGCCAAAGTTGAATCCACCGGCGGGTGATTGATGGATCGACAAACCGCTGACCTCGCAAGCCCTGATCCACAATTTCTCTTACCGGATAATGGGAGGCTTCAGCTGAAGCACATGCAGGGGGATGCTGTCAAAATTGCAACAAACGCGGGGACGGTGCTGGCTAAACAGTCGATTAGTATATGGCTTGCAAGCGCAAGTACTATTCGTGGCAGACAGTCAACGGTGAATGTACAGATGATGAACCGTCCTTCGTCAGGCAGGAGGCAGATTCACAATCTGTTGATGCTGAGGCGCAAGAATGGCAAAATGGTATTTTCGGAAGTGCACGAGTATGTGCGTTCAAGTCGAAATCAGGCCATGGCTACAAGGAAGCGCCTTTGTTTTTGCGTCCAGATCTAGCTCTCGGTTTGATCCCGTTTCGTTGAGTCTATGTACCCTGTACAGATGAAAAAGCAGCGATTGACAAGCAAGGGCGTCTATGAATAGCTTTGCTCATACGAATCCTCAGGGCGACGAGGACTACAGAGTCGCAGCGGTTAATGGGATTAGCTAGCGTGGCTATACCGACCAAGCGTAACTTTCTGGTTCGAGTCTTCCCCTCAGGGGCGGCCCGCTGCCAAATGATGACGACTCCACACAAGAATCAGCCCCCAATGCTTAATACCGATAGCGACGAGACTGCACATCCACCCTTCCTAGTATGGGTGTCCAAGCTACTCTCTACGCCCACCTGGGTAACGAAGGCGATGATCTGTGGCTGGTCACGTGTTTTCGCAAAACGTGAGTCAGGTGCCCGCGGACAGATGAAGTGGGTCTCAATCTCGGGAAACACTTAGTAAGCTACTATGAACCCCTCAACCACTCTACAGCTCACTTTCGATTAAGCTAGCCACGATATCAGCACTCGAGACTATTCGAATGAGCCCATAGTGCAGTATGCACTGTGATGCTGGCCTTCCAACCAGACAACGGTTCCACTTTTACCTGTAGTACGCGACAGTTACGAAGATCCCGGACCCCGCGGATTCCTGTTGCTATCTACCAGCCACTCTAGTCATACTTCGTAATCGCCAGGTGGAATACGTTACTAGCGGTTACTGAGCGGTCGTCGTCAGTTAACGTTTGACTGTGATCTACATACGTGGCTTCACCGCATCGTCACCGACGACGCTACGTACTCATCAAGGACATGGTTGCGTTCTCCTATTTTCCCTCTTTTTAGCGAACAATGCTGACGTAGCACGATAGAGTGCTACAGACCTTTCCCTGGACCTTCCCTATGATAGATAGAAATCGATCTTGAAATCTCACTATCACCAACTTACTACCGAAAGAGATAAAGCGCTCCAAAACATAAACAACATGAACGGGCCTGATAATCAAATTTGTAGTCCTCATGGCGACTACACTCACGATGCCTAGTGCCAAGCTAGATGTCTAACATCCGGTTGGCGAATACCTTCAGCTCAAAAGCTATCGTCGCGCGGATGAACTTGTCTCATCGGACCGTTTACTGACTGATTCAGCGTTTAATGTCACCGTCATGAAGTCACCACTAAGATCTTCACTGCGGCTAGGGCTACTCTCTGCAGCGAGCCTCCAGCCTCTAGTAACTTGTATATGCAGGGTGATATACTCAGGTGCTCATTGCAACTACTTACACCAAGAGACCAGGTGGTTTCGCTCTGCGGTTAATCAGCGCCGTCTGTTCAAGTTTGCCCCGCGGAGCACGCAGCTTGACGCAGCCAAATGCCATGGGGATGGTCGCTAGCTTCCGATCAGACGACCCATGTGGGACGATGCAGATTCGTTGACTCGTATAACAAAGACGTTGTACAATAATACCCCATATCAATTGTACGCCTTTCATGGACTGAAAACTCTAGCACAACGGCGGTCAGACCACTGAGCCACATAGTGGCATGTACGCCTGGTCGGTTGGCATCGGGCCCCAACAATACGGTTCTCCCTTTCATCTCACATGGTTCACTCCAGCTGATGCAACGAGCTAATGCTTACGGTTCCAGAACAAGGACTTTGCCAGCAACCAGCCGCCACGTTGTACTCCAAGAGCATGGAGCATGTGGCTAGAATCGAGGCGTGGGGATGCGGCGCGCCCAACGCTATATGTCCCACGGGTCAGTGGCGTCTCTGCGAAACATACGGCTTTGATACGTACCAAAGAAAGTTGGCCCAAGAAGACCAAGTGCACGTGCAACCGCGAGCGCCATAGCCGAGATGCGTGATGATCGATGCGCCTACATACTATAATCGGACTGCGTTTCGTCCCGCGTCTAAACCAAACTTCGTCAAGTGCAGTGCACTTCCTGGATAACTTCCAAACCTCAGGACATTGGATTCAATTACCGACAGCTTGTAAATGCAGGTCATACTTACAGCATGACACAACTGTCCATTCTATGCGATTGGCGATTGCTGAGATGGAATTCATATGCTCAATGATGATCGACGTCGGGCATCCCGAGAGCTAAGATTGTAGCGACACGATCTAGTATGAACGCCAGTGTAAGTGGCAAGACGGATGGGGGTGAGCACTGCTAGAATGGCCCATGCGCATCGACATCCCTTGACCAAGATGGACAAAGTCTACTCGGCACGTCAGATGTCAGATACCCCGATCCGCGGAAGACGGTGTTTGGCCTAAGCCATTAGCAGCTGTGCGCCTGATTGACGAAGGGGAGGCCCGTTGTCCCCGCAGCCGAGCCTATCTCGATGGTTTAGGAAACGTTGGTACACCATGTGCACCAGCGTATACGCTAATTGGCTACAGCACGTTGTCCGTTCAGGCTGTTTACAGAAGTTTGGTTAGTTGATCACGTACCAGTACTCACCACCCGTTACTTCCTCTTTAATCCCGCGCGGCTTCATCGATCAAACGGCTCGGAACCGCTTCAAAACGGAGCGCTGCACGAGATAGGGTCACTCATTTCACATGCACCTTGTCTCTAGCTCTGAGCTCATCATGGTCCTTGATACCTAGCTTGTTCAGCACCTTGACGGCCCACCGATACCGCAGATTACCAATCCAAACTCTCGCTTGCATCCAATAATCAAAGAAGTGATGGAACTTAGTGATGAGGGGATTACGAATATGCATCTCAGATGCGCAGGGACCAGCATCTGAGAACAGTGCAGCGCCCAAGTTCAGACGAGGGGGAACGCTGGGCGAACGCGTTAGTGCAGCTGAATGATGGAAAGCTCACTTAGTTGAGAAAGGGACCATGGCTTGCGAGGCTGTTGGAAGCTGGGGTCTAGATGCCAGATGATACGATGAGCATGTCTGCCCAAACACCCTCCCAGTGGACATTCAATGCGCCTCTCCTTCACACATGAGGTGACATGAGGTAGTTCCACCAGGATCAATATGACGTCCAACTATTGGCTTCAGCCTCTAGATATGCAATGACTCCACGATTCAATGAATGTGGAGCTATCGCGAGTCAAACAATGGAACTGACGATGAACAGTTTGAGTGGAGCACTCTATTCACTTGTTCGCCCAATCTCACTCGTCACTACAACTGACTACACGCAGCCCTGCACAAGCACGCAAGCAGCCACCCGAAAGCCCCAAAGCGTCTCGCTACCCCATGTGACTCGCTTCCCCAAGTCTCTCCGTTTCCCCAAGCCGCCTATCGCTACTTCGAACCCGCCTATCAGTTTACGTGCAACGCCAAACGAGACAAGTCCAGTTTGTTTTTGGCCCTTTGCCCTCTTCGTCTCCTCTGCCCGCCTGTGAGTGATTTAGGGTTCGCGCTAAGGCCTGCCACAGAGTGGGCCCTGATCCCCCCCCGAAAGGTTTTCTGGGACATGAGGAGCAAGCAAAAAAGCAAAAACACACGGATCCAAGGCTAATGGTTTTTTATTCTCTCTGTAACAGTGCTCGTTTGTAGATCGATCGAATGGGACTGGGGCAACACTAGTAGCCCCTCCCTAACGACCGCATGCGGCTTTTCGGACTTTTGTTTTCTTGTGGCATAGTACGGTAAGTATGTTTCTTTCGCAACGTTTGTTCGGGATTTGGGTTTCGGTTGGAGTGGTGCGCGGTGCGCAAGGTTGGGTTTTGGTGGTGCCTTACCCGTTCAGGGGCTGGGATGGTGGACGCGCGTGTGTGGGAGGAGTGGGGATATTCTCTGGGCTGGTTGGTTGGTTTGGATGGTTTGTGGTGAGGAGTGGCACGTATGCAAGTTTCGTGTGGTGGTTGCGAGAAGACATATATGGAGCGGGTGTCTCTCGATATTCGTTTTACGGCCTATCATAGCAAACAAGTGTGCAGCAAGAACAAGCAACTTCTCTCTCATCTTCACACCACATCCAACCATAGCGAACAGCTACTCCGTTCTTATATATACATCTTCGTTGGACCCTTGTACACCATCCACATTTTGTGTCATACTACCTTCGCCGACATAACCACTACTCTACTTTCATCCTCTGCATACGCTACAGTACTTCACCACACCCTCAGTTGTAACAAGACTGCATCACTACTGCCAGCCTACACACAAAAAATCCAACAACAACTCAAACGTCACAACGACATTACAACAAACCCGTTGAACCAACCAACCAAACCAACACAACCCAACAATAACTCAACCAACCTCACAACCACCGACATCCTATAAAATGGCTCCCCGACCATGGACCGTTCTCCCCCCTTGCCCCGGCCCCCCACCAACCCGCCCTCTTCCTCCTCTACCAACAGCATGAAACAACAACATCTCTCTTTCCTTCTCAGCAAGGAAAGGATGAATGAAAACTACAATGACGAGCCACCGCGCCGACGGAAGCGATGTGTTCATCTTCAACACCATCTTCGACAACATCTTTAAACGGCAAAGTCTTCGACTATGATGGAATGATGGATGGATGGGTGGCGGGCGCGACGCGATGCGATGTACGCACGCGGGCCCGAGGGTGGATGAAGATATGAGGGAAGGGTGGGAGAAGGATTGATGATGATTTAGGTGTTTTTTGAGTTAGCATGTTTATACCAATCTTGCGATTTTGTACTTCTAGGTGTGGGCTTTTGAGGAAGAGAGGGGAGAAGAACGAAGCTGGAAGCAGACCAATGATATCAAACAACCAATTTCACACCTCTCGTCTACAACGACAGAGGGAACTTCAAACAAGAGACTTTATCCACATCATATATTCACGTGACATCCTTCTAACTTATCTACATGGAGAAATCATCTAGTCCATCAACCCCTACCTCGCCAGTTCCCTACAAACCCCCAGCAAACAACAACCCATTATCCCTCCTCACCTTCTCCAACACCGCCAAAACATCCCTACTATGCCTCTCCAACCGCTCCACCTCCTCCATATCCCCTCCCTCCAGAATCCCCGCAAAAGCCCTCGCCTCTTCGATCAAGTTCAACTTCTCCGGCTGCTTGACCCTCTCCACGGACGTCTTCGTCTTAGTCTTCGGATCCCAAAACACCACGTCGTCGATATCCGTCACCGTCTTGATTGCCAACGTACCTTTTTCGCCGTAGATCTCCGTCGGGGCGTCAGAATTGTAGATTTTGGAGTGGCACAGATGGACGGTGAAGTTGGGGTACGTGAGAAGGAGACGGCCAGCGCCATCTGCGCCCGTGGCGATTTTAACGGGCCAGTACTGTGCGTCTTGCGGTGCGCCGAAGAGGTCAATGGCGGCGGCTACGCAATAGACGCCTAGGTCTACGAGGGCGCCGCCACCCATCTCTAGGTTGAAGATGTTGGGCACTTCGCCTTGGAGTACTTTTTCGTAGCGACTGCTGTACTGGGCGAAGGTGATGCTCGCGCCGTAGATGGGACCAAGGTCGGGGAGCTTGCTTTTTAGGAGTTTGAAGTTGGCTTCTTGGATGTGGCGGAAGGCTTCGATTAGGACGACTTTGTTTGACTTTGCGAGGGCGAAGAGTTCTTTGAGCTCGGATACTGTGCTGCAGCTGGGTTTCTCGACAATGACGTTTTTGCCGACCGAGAGGAAGAGCTTGGCTTGTTCGTAGTGGAAAATATTGGGGCTTGCGATGTAGATTGTGTCAATGGAGGAACGGGAGAGAGCTTCTAGGTCCGTGTAGGTGGTGATTTGTTTGTCGGTGTATTTGGATGCAAATTCCTTTGCTGTTTCTTCCTTGCGCGAGTAGACGGCGGTCAGGTTGTACTTTCCGGTAGCGTGGGCCGCCTCGACGAAGGAGTGGGTGATCCAGTTGGTTCCAATGATTCCGAGGTTGATCATCTTTGCGGTGTTGTTGCGGTGTTGTTCGATGGAGAATACAGAGCAAATTCTGGCGACTTATATACGTCTACTCCTGCAAAATCTGTCAGCGTTGAGTCGAGGGGCTGTCGCGTTCCCCGACCCCACTAGCAAAGCTTCAAGCTCCTAGTGTGATGTCATTGGCTGGCTGTTACGACTTCCCAAAGTGGAAGTACGAGGCAAAACTGACCACCAGCCGAGGAGAAAACAAATTCTTCACATAGAAATAGAGAGACGACAAGGATTTTTAATAAAGTATTGTATTCGGATGGGCTACCAAGTGTATGCCGGATTGAGGGACAGACTCCATAACTGCTGCGCAAAATCACAGCTCCTGTCGAGGAGGGTATCATGTTGCTGACCATGTGTCGTCGTCGATATGTAACATACCGCATATGCGTAAAAACAAAAAACATACAGACCCACATCGTCGACTGCGCCTAGACCGAGGCTTGCTGAATGTTGGACGATCGTAACGTAAAAGACAAAAAACAAGACGCGAACCAGCCCTAACGAAAGACCGGGGTGAGACTGCAGCAAGACAGGCTCCAAAACTCCACACGCTGAAAGTAGGATGCTCCAAGATATGCAATAACGCCAACAAAATGCCAAGAAACCCGTGACCGCATGGTCTGGGTGTGAATCAGTCTTCCCAGATTGTCTCAAGATCCAGGTCTTGTCGTCGTTCGGCTCCGCAGACACTCCACCTCTTCCTCGAATCCCTCTTGCCAAAACCGAGACTACGTCCACGTCCTTCGGGTACGTCCAGGCTGGACCTTCGACCCTCTCCACCGTCTTCACGGTCAGCTGCGGCCTTGAGCTTCCTGATACGATCCGCCTCTATGGCCTCCTCCTCGGCATCTGGACTGTCTTCAATAGTTTCGAGTGATGAGATGGAAGGGCTGCGAGAGCGCATCGAAGTCGGAGTAGACGGGACCGACGATGAAGCCAGCGACGACGGGTAGTTCTCGTTGAACCTGGCAGGCGCAAACAAGGGTGACGATGCTGTCGAAGTGGGCTGGCTGCCAGAGGGGTTGCTGGTAGGGGGTGTACCAAAGGATACAGAGACCTGGTAGAGAGGAGAAGCCGGTCGACGGCGTCTGGAGAGCGAACCCGTGCTGCTGTAGAGACTGGATACGGTGTTGCCTACGCGGGGCGTAAGCTCTAGCTCGGCATCCTCGGAGATGTCGCAAACGCTCGGTGCGCCGTCGAAAGAGCCGATGGAGGCCGGGCGGTTGCCCGAGCCATATCGCTCAGGGTGTGGCCGTGGCTCCAGTGCCCGCGGGCTCCGGCTCAGTTTCGGTGATCGCAGAGGGGAGGCGGGGCGGGCCAGTGGCATAGGTGCGGATGAGAGCTTGAGGTTGCCAATGGGTTGCATGACGGTGGGCAGCGAATGAGCGCGCGTCATGGGAGGCGCGTTTGGCAGCGCGGACCCGCTGTGTGAGCGAAGGTGAGAGCGAGCATAGGGCGAGCGGTTCCGGGGCTTCGTGGTAGGAGTGGAAAGCGACGACATGAAGGGCAGAGAAGACAAGGTGCTTGGCTGGGGGTCTGTCTGGGCGCGTGGAGTAGATGGCCTGCGAGAAGAGAGGATATTCTCAGCACTTCCTTTTCCCATGGTGGCGTCGGGAACAGTGACAGCCGTCTTGGTAGTAATGGTGATTTGCTGCTGCTGCTGTTGCTGGGTCGAGCTAGTATGGCGTAGTGTAGGGAGACTTTGAGCTTTTGTGGGCGGAGAAGGTGCTGGACGTCTTGGGCTTGGGGGCGGCATCGGGGCAGGGTGGTCGGTCATGATGTCTTCTTTGTAGGGGCTTTTGCGGGTTAAGCGTGGTGCGGTCCTCATTCAGTGTGGGCGGGCGCGGGCGTATACATAGTCTATGGCGACAACTTGTGAGGCCGAGGTGGAGCCAAGCAACGCAGGGGAATAGTCTGGTGCTCGTGTTGTTCTGGGCCGTGTCCCAACCGCTCGACGCACGATGCACCTTGCAGCGTTTCAGCCGCCGGCAACTTTACTTTCGCAACGCGATGACTGGCCAGAGACGGCCAAGTTGTTTAAAGCGAGGCCGGTCACATGCGGGAGCGACAAATAGTGTGCGAGATCAGCTGCAGTTGGAGCTGAGAGAGTCGGAGGTTGCTCACGATGCGAAAGGAGCTGCGACTTGAGCGCGGAGGAGCGGCCAGGCGTTGGTACCTGCCGCCGCCATGCCCGCTATCGACGTCTGGGGCAGGCGCGCCCACCCGACAAAGCAACCGCGACTCAGTGCACCACACCACACCACACCACACCACACACACCAACACTGACAAGACACCTCTCACGCACTCAAGCACCACCAAGCCACTGTCAGTGACACTTTAGTTGTTACACTGCAAACATGTACGTCAATGTAGGTATCCATATGTCAAACCGTCAGTCCTGCTGCTTCTAATGTCCCTCTCTGGCTGCCATGATCCCTGGCCGACGCCGACGCCGAACCTAGGAGGACCCTGAAATAGCTCCAATCGAGCCTAGCGCCTCCTCTCCACATATCACGTGCACGCTCCACACTAGGAACGCCCGCACCACTCCCTGCACCCCAAACGACGCAAAACGTCCCAATCACGCCTATGAACGCCGTAAATTTGGCCGTTACCAAGACCCCGATTGCCTCTCTGCCGCACCATATGCTTGCCCAAGGTCATATTTCAGGACAAGTCCTTATTTATGCGCCATTGCCCCCACGTCATCGTACGCATTGCTGCCAATTCGTGCCAATGTGTTGCTTGCATTACCATGCAGGGGTATGTGATTCCCGTGGTCGGCTAATGACTTGACCGCCATATCGTATGGTGTAGATACAATACCCTCCCCACTGTGCCTGAGGAACTGCATGTCTGTGGCTTTGGAATCTGTCAGACTGTCAGGCTGTCACTTCATGCAATTACTCGACCAAGTTTGTTTGCGAGCCTAACTCGCCATTTGCCCAACGACATGCTATACCTACAGCTCGCCCTTCGACCACCACCAATATCATCCAATCCATCCACTCAACACCCGCCCTCCGTAAGGTAAGCCCTTGCCCTAACCAGCCGAATCCATTCCCTTGGTAGCGGCCAGAACCTTCTCTCTCTTCCAGCAGAAAGAGGACAGATAATCGCCTTTCTCGCACTCAACAAGAACCGCGCTACAGTTGCTCCAGCATAACCTTAGGCTCCACCAAAAAAGTCTGTCCTATTTCGGAAATTTACAACCAATGCAACAACCCAGGTACCTGGAGCTAAAAACTCGGTAAGCTCTTCGGCGCGACCAGCGAAAACGATTGGTTGGCTTGAGCAACAAATACCTCACCTCACGCATCCTCAGTCCATGTCATCATACAAAATGCTCGTCCGTTTACCAACTGCCGGGTTAGTTAAGCTGATGATTCGCCTCCCGTTCCGTCGGCATCATCACAAATACTGTATTTGAAATTTCCAAACGTTTCCATGTTGTATCCCTACCACGTCCCTCTCCCACATCAAAACCAACATGCCTCCTTACACACACACTCACGCATCCACTCGGTCAAACCCCCCGCGCTCAGAAAGAAACCCCACCTAAAAGCGGTAAAGTTTCTCAAGCACACACAAAAGCAGTCCGTGCGTAGCTTGCGTAAGTAGTCTCACCGCGTAGCCTCGCCGCGTACCTGTAGCCGCAGCTTCGTCCGTCCCTCTCACTCACGCTCCAAGCGGTGAAGTTCGGCCTAACCTCTACTTGACCGCCTCTAGGTGCCACCCTTTCCTTTCCAACGGAACCTCGGTTCTAGCCTTCCCGTCTCGCACATCCCGCTTCATGGTAAGGAAGGGAGGGATACACGGTCTTTCTTGACCTACAATAGCACACCCGTTCTATCGATTGTGGCTGATGTAATAAACAACCTTTGGCACTACTATCTAATGTTTATTGTTTATCACCCAAGTTTGTTTGTTTGTTTACGTGCGCGGTTTGGTAGGCTGGTAGGCTGCGTATCTAAGCAACCGGCGCTGCCGGTTTAGTGGTTGCTAGCGCTGGTGCTTGGGTATTGTTGAAGGGAGCTGGAGCACGTACCTGATAGGGGCGACGAAGACGATATTGCTAGGGTACTTGAGTGCTGGTGACTCGCCTTTTGGAACGACGGCTTGGGGGTTGCTATCCCGTTCTTGAGGTCAACATCCGATGCTGCATCGCGTTGTCTGCGCCTCTTTAACACGAAGGAACGCGTGACTCGCAACAGAGCGCTTAGGAGACGTCTCGAGGTAGGAGCTACGGTGTGTGGTATAGGATACACATCTCGATAATGGTGACATCTATACATAAGTGAACTAAGTATGAAAGGAATGAAGATAACAAACACAGATTAAGCGTTGAGGTGGGAATACCAATAATCTTTACACGCCCTATGCGTAATACACTAACCTCGTATCTATCATGTACACATCACCTTATACGCCTGTCTCATGCTGCATCCATTCCACGTCGCCCTACCATACATCGACCCGAAAGAAAGAACGCCCCAAATATCAACTGAACACCTACAAATGCGTGCAAAGTCATAAACAGTCAAAGCCGTTCTCATAACACTTTCTACTAGTCATCACCGCTCTTCTTCGCCTTGGCAGCTTGCATCTTACCCAGAATAGTCTTACTCTTCGCCTTGCCCTCAATCTGCTCCGCCGTGCTCAAACTGCTATAGAACAGCCTCACTTTCTCATGCGCAAGCACCTTCCTAGGATCGAAGCGGAGGATCTGCAAACCCGCCATGCTCGTCGCACGGGAGAGCGCAACGTACGCCTGACCCTTCTCGAACACACGGCCAAGGTCGACGCGGACGCGCTCCAGGGTTTGACCTTGCGCCTTGTGAATTGAGAGCGCCCAGGCGAGGATGAGTGGGATCTGGGAGCGCGAGGCTTGCACTTCGCCGTTGGGGAGCTCAATCTTCCAGTCTTCGCGCTTACAGAGTAGATCGCGTGTTGTGCCATCGGCGATGGCGAAGCGCACTACTGGATACACCTGATTGGTGTTGATTCCGAGCGTGGCCTTTCCCATTTCCACCTTCAGGGCAGCTTCCGATGGGCCGGCCTCGAGGAAGGCTTCTTCGTCGTCCTTGTAGATGTTGAACATTTGCTCCGTCATGAATCCGGTTACCTTGCCGAGCGAGCCGTTGACCAACGTATCGTCCATGTTCTTGACCAGCATCACTTGCGCACCCTTCTTCAGATGTATCTGCTCTGGGACCATGCAGTTCTGTAGAAGCTTGTCTCGCATTTCCTTGTTCTGAATGGTACCGCCGTCACGGGCGTCGAAGGTAAATGTGTTGCCGTGAAGTTGGAGCATGCGAGAACTGTTTGCACGATCGACCTCCTGACGTGTGGGGAACAATTCTGTTGCTTCGACGCTCTCGTCGGTTGTTGGCAGAGGGCGCTCCAGCTTCTTGAACCGTGCGATTGACTCGGGTGTTAATCGACCCTCTCGCATTTCATTGAGCATACCGGCAAATACTGGATCCTTCTGACGGAACACGTGATGCAGGCCAATAGTGTGCTCGATACTTGTGGTCCAGGTCCCCGCGTCAAAGGCAAACTTTGCTTGCCGCCCATGGTCTGGAACAGGAGGTAGTTGGAAGAAGTCACCCGTAATGACGAGTTGGATACCGCCAAATGGTCTGCCGTTATTGCGGATAGTGCGTGCAATCTGCTCCAGCTTGTCAAACAGATCGCCGTCCACCATGGAGACTTCATCCATGATCAACACCTTGGTACGCATCCACCGCTGCTTTGCTTTCTGGTTGCGTCTAATCTTCTTGACTAGATCCTCAGCCGGTTCCTTACCAAGACCGATACCGGAGAAGCTGTGCAGGGTGACGCCACCAATGTTGCAAGCAGCGAGACCTGTTGATGCAGTCACAGCTACTCGGTCTGGCTCACGAACGTACTTTCGTCGCAAAGCCGCTATGATCTCTCGAAGTAGGACTGATTTACCAGTACCTGTCGCAGTCAGTACATGTATTTGTTTCAACGCTCAAGTCACGTACCAGCAGAACCAGTGAAGAACACGCTCTTCTTGTACTCCGTCACAAGGTTTAGTACATTTTGTTGCTCTTCACTCAGGAAGATCTTATGGACGGCGTTCTTGTTTTTCTTCTTGATGGCTTCCTTTGCATCGTCTTGTGTGCTCTGGCTGATCTTCGCCTGTGCTTTGGTTTCCCTCAGATTCTTTTGCTGCTGCTTGATAGCACTGGCTGTAGTGTTCCAGAGGTATTCCGACTTGGGCTTTGGTGTTGAGATAACCTTGTCAGCTTCCGTTGATGGGCGTTTACTAGGGCGTGCAGCTTGTCGTTCTACTTCAGCTTCATCTTCTTCTTGTATGGACTGTGTCTTCTGGTCCGATGGCCACGGTAGCTTTCTTCGCTTTGTCTTCAAAGGCTCGGACTTTACAGGTGCCTTGAAATGTTCGGGTGGAGAAGACGACCAGGGTACCGACTGGCTACTCTTCGTCTCGGGTTTGATGTTTGCTGTCTGTATCCGTGAATTGTATCCAGAGTCTCTTGACCCAGTAGACGAGGCACTAGGTAATGTGGGGTAAGTAACAGTGCCTTTTGTCGCCGGATCCTCAACGTCCAGATCCACATCGCTATCGAAGTCGTCCTCGTCGAACAGCGCCGTTGCTAGACTACCGGTGGTGCTGGTGTGGAAAGACGCGGGCAGCTCATTCTCCTTCTCCATGCCGGCGATATTAAGCGTGGGGTACTCGAATACATCCTCTTCAGATCCCAATGGCTTGGCGGAGCCATTTGAAGTCCTCTTGATGCCCTTTGTGCCGATGTCCTTTGTGCCGGCACCCAATGACCGCTGCGGCGGCCCCGCATCGTTTTGTTTTATCCCATTCCCCAAAGGACGCGCCTTGAAAGTATTTCCTATCGACGATTGCTTGAAGGCATTGTTTGGCGGCGAGGTGGACGCGACGGAGTCATAATCCTGCACAGCTTGCTTGAACATGGACATGGTGGTGTGTGGGCGAGTAGCGAGGTATCCGAAGTAGGGTTGCGGTGAGGTTGTCGCGTTCGGAACCTTGAGTGGTGCGGTCGAGAAGCGCGTACGAGGGAGATGCGTTTGGGAGGGCCGTGTTAGTGGCAAGTGCGTCCGGCCGGGTTGTGGCGTAGAGAGCGGCGACCGTTTTGGATTGTACGGTTTAAGCGACGCACCTCTCCTGGCAAGGATAGAAAGCATGCAGCAAACAAAGAGCGCACCGAAAAAAGAAAAGATAAGTGAGATTGTGTCGAGAGGGTGCATGCCCTATGGCGCGGTGGGGGTGCCGTGATGGAATGTTGCCCTTAGTGTGTAGCCGATCCACAAAACGCGACGCGACCTCTCAATTGGGATTTTCTAGAGTGTCACGTGAAAGCAAAACTTAACAATAGTGATTCGGGTGGGTGACGATGCTTGTTGTTTTCCTCCAGTTTGGCCCACATTAACGGTATCGAACTCCAGATCCATCTCAATCTGTCTCATTCGCGTACTTCACCTCTCTGTATCACGTGCAAGCTACCACGTCAAGATGCCGGCGCTTCTGCGGTCTTTTCAACTTAGTAGCTGATACAACTTGCAGGCCCCAACTCGGAGAATTAAACCATGACGCAGGTACACGTTCCAGGCGAGTTGACAGCGGCTTAAGGCACATGGTACCTAGTGCATAGTACCGTCGATTCACCGATCAGAGCACCAACGTCATCGAAAAGACGTGGCTCTTCGTAGTATCGACTTTCGATCAATGTTTGCAAGTCAAGTACGGTTTGTAATTACTTAGATGTGCTCAGATTACTTCTATTAACTATGGGTAAATATGCAACATCAGCCTGTCTTCATTTCTCTGCGACCTGCTAATGTATGCGCCCGGTTCAATTATCGTGATTCGTGTCGTCATATCCCCAACATAATGTATGCGCCCGTTGGCAGAATCATAGTCTTTATATCGCCAACCGCATACTGCGCCCATCTCGATACTCATGATCCATATCGTCCAGTCGTAAAAGCCGTGCATGCGGTAAAAGATGCAAAATATCATCTAGATTAGACAACATCATACAGGAGATCTCGTCGAATGCCACACCCATAAGCAGAAACGGTGGCGACCCTGGCCAGCAGTATAACACCACAAAGAGAAAACATCCTGTTTTTTGGTATCAATAAAAGGATTGAACGTCATAACAAGATAGTGAAGAGGTAAAGTCGACAAGCCGAGGCCTGGTTCAAAAGAAAATGCTAACACTAGAAAGGAGATTCATTTTGAACCCCGCAAACGACCGTAAAACCATATTCCTCGAAAAGTGTACTTTGTGGTACACAGCCATACCGTAAGACAGCAACCCTCACACCATTTTGGACAACGAGACTAAAATAACGACTTCCCTAAGAACATAAAACCAGATAGCTGATGAGATATGACCGAGAAATCGGAGCTATCCAAAAGAGCGCCCTTGTAAACAAACAGGCGTGTCAAAACAGTACATGGCACGGTGCTCAACAGAGCACGTAGGCTGTTTAGCCCTGGTATCCGCCGAAGCCGTTCTGGCTGAAGGCGGCTTGAGGAGATTGACCCCACTGCGGCTGCTGAGGAGCACCACGACCATAGCCACCAGCGCTGCCCGGTTGCTGCATCTGCTGCTGGTAGGGCATGCCGGGGTTGCCAAAGGCCTGCTGCTGCTGCGCGAAAGGTTGTCCGCCGGGGCTAGGTCCTGCCCGCGCATTAGATTGCTTGTTTCGATACTGCAGCTTCCTCCGGTGCCGCTCACCTGAGGGTGACATGGGACCACCTTGTGGCCCACCACCATACTGAGGAAAGTACGCGCTGGGCGTTTGAGGGTAAGCTGAGTTGGGACCGCCAGCGGGCGAGTAGCCCTCAAACTGGCCAGTCGGAGGACGGTCTTTGCCCCACTAGATAGAAAATGTGAGCTAAGAAATAACAAAAGAGAGACGATTCAACCTACGCTGCACTTCAGAGGACGGCCATTGACGTTGTAGCCGTTCAGCTGGCAGATGGCCATGGCGGCATTCTCATGCGTGTCCATCTTGATGAAGGCAAACCCACGATCCGACTGGAAGCGCGTCTCAGTGACATAACCAAAGTTCTGGAAGAGAGGGACTAGATCGGACTGTGAGGTGTAAGGGGTGAGGTTGCCGACGTAGCACGTAGTTTGCCAGGCGGGAGTCTGGGCGACAACCATGTCGTAGCTCTGGACGCCATGGGTGGGGAAGTGATGGTGTCCAAAGGGAGTGGTTGGCGTCATGCCCATTGAGGCCATGGCCTGTTGCTGCGAGATGGATGGCTGACCCTTCTGGTTGGCCCAGTTGCAGCGGATGGCGCGGGAACCAAGCCACTCTCCGTCCATGGAGCTGAGAGCACGATCAGCATCGGCGCGATCCCTAAAAGCGACGAAGCCATAGCCGCGCGATCTACCCGTCTTCATGTCCCACATGACGCGGGCTTCAGAGACGGGTCCAAAGGTGGAGAAAGCCTGGAGTAGAACCTCATCATTGACCTCGTTGGACAGATCACCAACGAAGATGTGGAAGTGGTTAGACGTGTCTTCCTTGGCTGTGTTGTTAGATTGGTAAGCCCAGTTTACGCGAATTTCCTAGCCTGAGTCAGAAATCACGCCAGTCATGTCATAGCTTCAACGGCTGCACGACTTACATTGTTGTGAATGCGACGGCCATTGAGGGTGGCCATGCCACGCTCGGCCGCGCCCGGGTCGTCATACTCGACGAAACCGTAGTTGAAGCCCTTGGAGTTGAACTGTTAGCGGTCAGCGGCACACGAATGTTGCAGCAATTGCAAGATAAGCCCGGCCCGCGCCACAAAGCTGTCAAGAGTTATGCAGCGGATGCGGAGTGTTATCTTACAGAAGGAGAACTTGCAGTCTTGTCTGGAATGATCTTGACGCTCTGGACATGGCCAGTCGTCTCGAAAATCTGACGAAGAACGTCCTCGGTAACTCTGGGGTCCAGTCCACCAACGTATAGCGCGCGCTTGTTCGGCTCGGGGGCAGCGCGACGAGGGACGTAGCCGGGCTGGCCGCTGGTCGGGGACATGGGGTTGCCTGACATGGGCGAGCTGATGGCCGTGGGGATGGGGTTGTTGTTCTGCGGAATGATGACAGGCGCGAGCGGCGGCGGCGGCATGTGCTGCTGAGGCTGGCCCTGATTTTCGTAGCCGGGCGCGCCAGCCTGAGGAGGAGGGGGGAGCTGTGCCCCGGGGTTCTGTTGGTCGGCCATGGCTGTCGCGAGGATGCGCACAAGGCAGATGTCGCGTGCAGGCGCGGGTGAGTAAGTGGCAGTTGCGAAAGGTCGGCCTCTGATGCGACCGGGACGGCGATGCAGTAATACGACGCCGACTGACCACGCGGAAGGTGGCTAAGTGCGGGCGGGGTGAGAGCTGCTGGGTGGAGGCGGCAAGGAAAGTCGAAATGGAAAGCACGAGTAAGGCTACCTCTACAGACCCGAAAGCACTAGGAAAGGGAAGAGAAACAAAGAGGAAGAGAGATAGGAGACGCGAAAGCCACACGCCGAGCTATGATAGCAAAGCTAGGATATCCACTGTGGGGTGAAGAAGGAGAGGAGTCGGGTGGTGAGCGAGGGTCGCGAGAATTAGGCTCGCAGCGCAGGCCACAAGCGCCGAATGCAACGGGAGAGCTACTGTAGCCTGTCGACTGCCGTGCCTCTGTTAATCTTACGGGGGTTGGTGTCTCGAACGAATTATTCGTGCGGGTACACGTATCGTTAGACCTCGACGAGTTTGTTTCCGCGTATTGAATTATAAAAAAGTGCTAGTGCCTGCCTCGTTGCGTGTTTTAGTACCGGGCCCGTGGTCCCACCGCCGAAGCGCAGTACTAGCAATTTAGGCGGCGGACCCCTCGTCCAGACCTGCAGCAGTCCCGCAGCTGTCAACGCGTGCCCAGCACCCGTCCGCCGGCATACCGACAGCAGCTCGCAGCTTCCCGAAACACTCGCCTAGGGCCCGCCGAGAGGAGTGACGTCTGCTGCTGGGTCTGAAACTGAAACTTTGGGGCACAAGCAGCCTGGGAGCGCCGACGTCTTGAACCTTGGTTGGCGTTGCGCCTAGCGGTAAACTTATCGTGGGCGCGCCTTCCTTGATCCTTCACGACTGTCCAATACAACAGGCATCACCACCACCAATAGGCAGGAGTAGCCAACACCCACCAACTGCAGGAAGGAGCAACCGTCAACCAACAACAACAACAACAACAACGAGAAGGAGCAGCCCAGCGCTCTTCCCAAATCATGACCACCAACCGCGCCAACAAAGCAGGACCAGTCGAGCACTCCTTGCCAACCCGCAGATCGGCACGCTTCGAAGGACATGCTCCATCTCATTTGAATGCTCACCCATTACCCATCTTAATTCCATCTCTTGCTAACCTCTCAGTTCAAACACTCTGGCCTCTTCATCAAAGAGCTCCAGGCTGATGGTGGTACCGGCCGCATGAAGCAGCAACTACAGCACATCGTACCGAACGCCACCGAACGCTTTCACGATGCACTAGACGAGCTCGAGAACGAGGTACGCCTCGCACAGGCAGTAATACGCAGGGACATGGCATTGCTGAAGCAAGACCGTAAGAAGAAGGAGGCGGCCGCGAAACAACAAGAGGTGGAGAAGGCGCGACTGGCCGCTGAGACGAGAGCTGCCCCTGCTGTTCAGGAAGTAGCACTCGTCAAGGTAGAAAAGACAGTCACGCCCGCACCGCCTGAACCTGTCGTCATGCAAGAAGCGCCTGAGCCAGCAAAAGCAAAGGAGCCCGAGCCCGAACCCGAAGCTGCAGTCAAGCGAGAGGTCGAAGATACAAAGGCACCACCGCCGCCCATCGAGACAAGCATCGAGCCGCCAAAAGATCCGCTTTTCGATGCCACACCCACAACTGGCAATCATCAGGAATCCGAGTTTGACTTTGATGCCATGTTTGGTGATCACATGGATGAAACCAGCGACAACAACGCGCACGATATGATGGATACCACCGACGACATCCATTTCAACCTCGACGACGGCAATGATGAACCTTCACTACTGCGCGGTCTCGAGGACTTTGCAAAGGACAGCGTCGATGACAATGCGAATCAAACCTCGAACATGGATATTGATTTTACCATGCCTGATCTCCCAGGCCTCAATCTGAGCACCGACAGCAAGACGAACATGAACACAGATATGCACAGGAACGTGACTGCCAAACCCCCACCAGAGCCAGAGCCAGAGCCAGCGCCGAAACCCGAAGAACCAAAACCCGCAGCTCAGCCGCCACCTGAAGAGAAGAAGGAAGAAACAAGTACCAATGACGACATGATGGGTACCATGGCTACTGATGACCTCGAAGACCTTTTCAACATGGACGAATACGAAAATCCTGAGCAGTCATCCTTTGACGATGCATTCTTCAACTTTGACCAATAAACATTCCTTATCCAGTAGACCTTTGATCACGGCGTTTGATTGGGCTAGCACCAGGCGTATGGTTCCATTTTGATACCCCCGGCACATACAAGTAGCCGTCCGGTTACATTTCTAATACATCATAGTGCAAATCAATCACTTTTACTATTACTTTCGGTCCATCGGGGTCTCTTTATTCTTGTGAAGTTGTGAGAACACAAAAGTGAATGTTTACATTCTTCTCGTGAAAGTGATTGCGCTCACGGAAGGCTATACGATCTATTCAAACACGTGAAAATGAGTAGTAGACTATAATGCGATCACAAACCCAAATACTCGTATTGCCCACTATATACTACTCCTCTACACCCACATCGCGAATCAGAGATATTCGCATGACTCCAGCGCCCGGACAAGATCGCATAGAGACAACGCAGGCTACTATGCGCTTCGCTTGATTACATATGTAATTACTCGTGGAAAGAACTAGGACAGAGTGTTGATGTGCTGATGTCATCCTTCGTACCTTGCGATATAAGCGTTACATGACTGCTGTGGTACACCTTCAGGGGCCATGCCTAATATAATTGTTGTCTCTTCACTCGCAAAGATACTGCCGGTACTCCCTACAGTAATGATAGCTGGGTGCAGGTATGTCTTGCTCTTTTGGAGTTCCCAAAGTGTGTGATACACGGCACATGTACTTCACTATCACCAAACTAGTCGTACAAAGGCAAGATGGTGAGTTTATATCAGAGTATAAGAAAAAGGTTCCAGTTCATTCAAAAGAGTGGTGTATACATGTAAAAGTTTCACAATTCCACAGTTTAAAAGTCGATCACGTGTATGTCAAACTTCATATTTTTGTTCTGATACATATGTCCACCCCCATCAATCCAGTTACTCCCAAACCGCATTTCCTTACTGCGATGAGCCACCGGAGATGGTAAGTACCTGCCCGTTTACCCAGCCACCGTCCTCGGAAGCCAAAAACGCCACCACTCGCGCCACATCTTCCGGAACCGCACAACGTCCAAGAGGGCAGTGGTTCGCCATCAACGTCTCAATCTTCTCAGCAGGCCAGTCAGGGCTACCGCCTGGGATATAATGCCAAGCGTTCTGTGTGAACATGTCTGATTTGATGCCTCCTGGGGCGACACCGTTGACAGTGATACCGCGTTTTCCAAAATCAGTTGCAAACGCCTTGATAAAACCGATAACCGCCATCTTAGAAGCGTTGTAGAGAGCGTGGTCCTTAACACCCAGTAGACCAGCAGCAATGGAGCTCATGAGAATGATACGGCCGTTATCCTCAATGTGCTTGTATGCTGTCTGACCGACGAAGAACTGTGCCCTGGTGTTCAAGTTGAATACGTGATCGTACTTCTCCTCGCTAATCTCCTCTGTGACGTCCCAACTCTCAGTGCCCGAGTTGCTCATAACGATGTTGATTTTGCCAAACGCCTTCTTGGCCTCCTCGAATAGTCTGTGGATCTCGCTCACTTTGGAGACGTCTGCTTGGATGGCGATGGCATTCGCGCCGTTGTTGAAGCCCTTGATTATCTCGCATACTTCGTTGGCTGGGCCTTCGGAGGAGACATAGTTTACGACGACGGAGGCTCCGCGCTTGCCCAGCTCGATGGCGCAGCCTCGTCCGATACCGCGGCCAGCACCGGTGATGAGGGCGACTTGGCCTTCGAGGGAGGCGGTAGGGACGTGGACAACCATTTTGATAGAGTCACGTGGGTTGGTGATGTGATGTTGGGTTCGTTCAATCGTTTGACCTGGAGGTTTGGGAGTTGGTCACAGGATAGAACTTTGATGGTATAGTAGGAATTGGAATGGATATCTTGAATTAATTCTAGCTTTCATTGCCCATCTCTATATATGTATCTATGTCTTGCTTTACGGTTTCAAACACTGGGACTTCACCGTAAGCGGACGCGGGCGGGGATCCGAAAATGCGAACACCGAGAATAGGGTCCCTGAGGGGACCTGCGGCTCTACGCTCTCGCGTCCGGAAGCGTTGCCTGGACTTAGCTGTACACAGCTAGCTCTCCCGGTCTGCAGGAGCTTCCAGTTCAGAGGTTGTGTATCAAGTGCCGGCTCTGTTGCGGACTCGGAAGGGGGAGGGGCCATGGCTGTCCTCCCCGAATGCAAGTGGTGAGCGTTTGAATCATGGAGATGCGAAGTGAAGTCCGGCATCACTAAAAACGCCCATTATCAATTCCTCAGTCCTGTCTATGTCATAAGTCGCGTTGCCCTGAAGCTAGGTGGTCGGAGGTTTGCCGGCCATATGAGCCCTGATCGTCGTGGAACGCAGGGAGCATCAGCGGATCTATCCATGGCGCAGGTACCGGTGACAAGTCATATAGCTTCAATTATATTACAGCACATCGATACAATCTAACATTGATAGTGAAGATGGCCACGCTATATCGCAGACACGAGCGTGGTGTTGACGTGATTGACCGGGGGCGGTGACCAACTCGGGACTTTATCGATAGCGCCTGTCGATTCTGCCCCTCTACCTCTGTTGACCTCCAATCCACAACAAAGGACTTCAGACCTTGTAACTCTACTTCTATATACAAAGCATGCATATCCTTGTAAGTAACGTTATGTAAGATGACCCAATGGCAGCGACTAATGCCGGTATAGGTGACCAACGACGATGGCCCGCCATCAGACCAGTCCTCGCCCTACGTACACTCGCTGGTGTCAACACTGCAAAAGTATGGACATACCGTATCGGTAATTCTTCCGCATACGCAAAGATCGTGGATAGGCAAGGCACATCTTGTTGGCAAGTCGGTATGTGCATTTTCCAACCGTCCTTGAGACTTCTCCCACCGCTTCTGTACCTCACCATACTCACATTCGTAGATACAACCAACATACTACCGCCCTGCTCCTCTCCAAACCACCCCGGAAGGCCGCCTCACTAATCACGGTACAACGCACAACTCGCCGCTCCCGCCCTCGTCCAACGAAGAAGAATGGGTGCTCGTCGACTCAACACCCGCCTCATGCGTACAAATCGGTCTATACCACTACTTCACCGAGCGCGGTCCCATTGACCTCGTCCTCTCTGGGCCAAACTACGGCCGTAACTCGACAGCCGTCTTCTCTCTCTCATCGGGCACAATCGGCGGCGCAATGGAAGCAGCCGTCTGCGGCATGAAATCCATCGCCCTATCATACGCCTTCTTCGACCGCAACCACGACGCCAACATCATCAGCGGTGCTTCTGAACTCAGCGCAAAGATAATCCAACACCTTTGGGATAACTGGGACGCCTCCACGCATCTCTACTCCGTCAACGTACCTCTGGTCGAGAACGTAGGAACCCGCAAGATTCTATGGACAAACATGCTTCAGAACTCATGGAAGTCTGGTTCTTGCTTCCAGGTTGTCGAGGTGCCGTCGGAAGCCGATGATACTCCCGCGGACATTGAGGGCCAGATACGCAGACAGGAGGAGAAGTTGGGCAAGAAGGAACTTAGGTCCAATTCAGGCATACAGGGCGGCACGGATTCTGGGACGGAGACGCCATCGGGACTGGCGCATGCGAGGTATACCCATAAACACTTTAGGTGGGCACCATCTTTCAAAGATGTGTATGAGAGTGTGGAGGCGAGTGAGCCGGGGAATGATGGGTGGGCGGTTGCGCAGGGGTTTACGAGTGTAACCCCGTTGAGGGCGAATTTCATGCATGTGAATGGGTTTGAGGGCGAGATTAAACTCGGGGAGTTGTCATCGTAGGATGAAGGAGGTTTGTATTAGCCAGAAAATGAAGAATGAATAATAGCTTCTGCTAAAGTTTACTGTCGCGCAGCAAACACGTGACTTGATAAGCAGAGAATTAGATCGTACGGCAACAACTACTTGTGCATAAATCCATGTTATAAAAGCTCTAAAAGTTTAAGCAGCTATCCTACGCTGAAACCCGTTACACCACTGTTGAGGATACATCAGACTCCTCAACACGTACTACTCATCCACATATTTACTTCTTGCTTCCACTCCTTATTCCTACTCCCTCTTCCTACTTCTGTGCTAACTAGCTACACTGAATATGCGCAAACTTTAACATGAGGTCTACTGCTATTCTAAGACCGTTGTAATACAGTTAGAGCCTTGGAATAGGCCTTTAACAATCCATATAGCATGAACGGTCGTTGCAGTCTTGATGATCTAGCTGAGCTCTTAACCAGTCTTCAGATGTGTTTTGTGCACATGGAAAAGTTAGATACGGATCCGCATGCTCTTGCATCTCGGGATAGGGCAAATTTGCATGACGAGGACGCTTCAGATTATGCAAGGCCGTGTTCTTGGGAAGTAGACGATTGTATTCCGCCTGGAGACGACGATTACGGAGGTGGTACTTGGCAGAGAGATGGTATTGAAGACGGCCACACGAGTAGAGAACGGTAAGGCGAGGCAGGCATACTGTATCGTGAATGTGTGTATAATACACTGTGTGATGATGATGTTGTGAAGGAGAAGAGGTTGGTAGGGGTGTAAGTGGGGAGTGTGGGTAAGGAGTGTTGGGGGTTTAAGGTAAGAAGACAGGCAGAGGAAGGAGGAAGGAAGAAGGAAGAGGAAAAAAGCGGGAGATAGATGACGATAAGGAGGGCGCCAGACAACTACACACCAAGCATTGGGGAAGTATACAACAACGGAGAGACCAAGCAACTACAACACCCGTGTCACATCAAACATACTGATCAGATATACTGGCGCATTACAAAGCATGTATTTTGCACGCTATCGCCCAGATTAGGGGGATGAGCAGCCTCGCTATAGAAAAACTATCTAATTATACAATTGCAAAAACCGCTACTATTCGTGACCTTGTCGTTTCCTTTAAATCGTGTTTGTACTGCTGATGATGCATGTGCACCAGTCTTTCATGTTTCCATCGCTGTGAACGCCTTCGCAGGAGGGAAAAGCAAAAAGCTGAAGTGAAGTCTAGAAAGGAATGTGAAAAATCCGAAAAGTCGCTGGGTATGGAATCGCACAATCATAAACACCATAATCATCTTCACACGGAAGTAGGCTCCTCTGGTGTCTTACCAACGCACTGACTTTCAGCTTCCGGGCTTATGGGTACAGCGGGCTTGACATCGTCCTCGGTGTCCTCTCTCGCGGTATTGTTCAAGTCCATGTCCTTGTTCGACGCACCGACCACCTCCTCGATCATGGCTGCGAAGTCTACAGTCATGCCACCGTAGTTCATCTTGAGCAAGGCAGCTGCATCGGGACTGTTGTCGGCATCAAGACTACCGCGTCTGGACCCGTTCTCCATAGTCAACATCATGGTTTCGTTACCGAAGATGTTCTCCCCATTCCACAGACCAGCAGCGGAAGATGTATTGGGGTCTTCATAGAGATCGAAACCTGGGCCTAGCGAGCCTGTCTTTGATGGAGAACTATTCACGGGCATGTCGCTTGAAAGAAAGTCCTCGGGCAGGAACTGACTGAATTCGGCAGCGCTACGACCGGGCGTAGTGAAAGTGGGGAATTCAGAAAAGTCCATAGTTTGGGAAGGTGACGAGATAGGATGGTCAGACAATAACGCATTGAGTGAACGTGTAAACGGCGTCTCGGGTGCGATTGTCGCCGCGCGAGTTCCACGAGGAGTGAAAATGCTGCGGCCGGGTGTTGCAGGAAGTTCACCTCGTTTTGGTGTCAACGTGGCGCGCTGTCGGGTGCCTGGAGTGGGCGTCTTCAAGAGATCTTGGGAGCTCAGATCCTTCTTTGGCGTAGTCTTTGGCGACACCGCATCTTCAAAAAGGTGAGCAAGTTCATCTCGTCCTGTGGAAGAAGGAGGTGGACAGTTCTCTTTGTCGGGATTCTCGTCGTCAAGAGTGGCGACTTGTACTACAGGCTGCTCAAACCAGTTTGCTTGCTTTGTCACAATGGGAATGCAACCGTCATGGCCTATTCCAGCATGTCGACAACGGCCACAAGGTCGCTCCCGGTCGCAACCCCGCTTGAGCTCTTTGCATCGTTGACAACGGGGCCTTTTTGGGGCGTCATCATCATGTACATGCATGGGAGTGGCGATAGGAGGCGGCGGTTGCTGAAGTGTCTTTTGCTGGCCTTGCTTCCCGGGTGAGGGGAACAGTATCCGCCTAGTAGGCTTTGGTGTAAGGTCATGTTCAAGGTCAATGGGCGAGGCCTTGGATCCTCGAACACCGGCAGGACTAGACTGCATAGCTCGCTGGAATGCAGCCTGTTCACGTAGACCAGGCAGACCGTTTGGTGGTGCCATTGCTCCATCATGGTTCTTTTCATGAGCGGTATCACCCAGCTCTTGCTCGGCTGGCATAGCAGGCTCAGATTCTGGCAAGGGTGCGTCAGACATGAGCTCATCGCCGACAATGGACTTGGAGCGAGCTCCCATCTTCTGGTCCCTCTTGCGTTTCGCCAACCGTGCAGCCCTATCCCAAACCTTCTGCGGCCTCATCGAAAACTTCTTAATGAGCCATAGTCCACATGGGTTACAGAGGTTGAGCTCCTCAAATGCATTATTTGACTTCGCCGCCATCAAATCCTTGTCTTCGCGGGTCAAGTTATTTTTGAAGATGCGGTATCTTGGCTCGCCATCGCTGTCGGTAGATGGTTCTACCAATTCATACGCAATGATGTCGGTACCGGCTGAATCAGTCGACAATTCAAGTCCAGTGGGCGAGCCATTCTCCACACGCGTATAGGCTTTCCTCCAAGTAGGTGTATCGATCTCTCCACAGTTAACACAATGTGGTGGCATCTCGCCTTTGGCAATGGCTGCCTCTAACCGGTCCTTGATGTATCTCTTCCTTTTAGCACCAGATCCGCTGCGAGGTCCACCATACTCTGAAGGTGTGGGCGCATCGGACATGGGCTCGCCTGTACCAGACCATGTATGCGACCTTGGAAGTCCTCTCGGTTTCGATGGTTTTGAATGCTTGACAGGGAGGTTCGGTGTGGCGGATCGACTAAATATCAGTGCCTCGCTTTCGGCGGTGGGAGAGACGTGCGACACCATGGCATCGGGAGAGCCGGCGGTAGATACAGTTGCGCGTGACAGATTCTGAACCTTGGTCTGACCCATCAAACCAGACGCACAAGCATCAGTAGTTCCGTTCTGCCCAGCCGCATGGTCATTGTCTTGTTGCAGCATGGACATCCTCGACATGAGATCATTGTCGTCTTTGGTATGATCCTCTTGGAAATAGACCGAATTGAACATATCCTGATCCATGCTATCAAAGTCGAAACCTTGTGTGCTCCCCAAATCCATCTCGATACTCTCGGCGATTGGCTGTATTGTAGATTTTCGATGCCATGATTTATCCCCAAGATCCATGCCCTCCCGTCCTGTAGGCATGTCGCTAACGAAGCCAGAGTCGTTCATGGATAACGTCGGTAGGTTGGGGCTGGAAGGAGCAGGCGATACGGTTCGCTGTGGTGCAATTGGAGGCGAGGAGGGCATTTCTCTAGGGGTCTCGCTAGGACTACCATCTCTTTCATCCGCTGATTCCATGGCGTTATCGGAGTAGGGCCCATTTTCATACGGAGACATGTACCGTGGTCTATCCATAGAACCATGTCGTAACGCACTTGGCGCTGGTGGACGACGCATTCCTCTCCTATTTTGCTTCTCGCCTGGGCGGGGGGTAGGTGCACGTGGTACCATATCAGCAGCAGCTCCTGAAGCACTGAGAGCCGGCTTGAGCAAGCGTACAGAGGCAGCTGTGCTGGCAGTCACCCGGAGTGAGTCGTTGTGAGCAGTCAGTGGCGTGTTTCTCGGTCTTGTAGTCTGGGTGATGCGTGCCCTTTTCTTTGGGGGTCCTTCTTCCTGTTGCTCGACGACATAGGGATCGCTGAACGGGAACGGCTGAGGGGGTGGAACTGCTTCACTTCGGACAGAGGTTCGGGATGCAGGGCGTGAGGGTGGATTGTATTGGTAATGGTGGAATGAGACGGTGCTCAGGGCAGGGCTCGAGGGTCGCATGGGTTGAGACATGTAGGGTACGCCCGTCTGGTCATAGAAAGAATCGTTACGGGAAGGCTCCTGGGATGGACTCTGGCGAGTAAGCATCTGATGAAACGGCTCGACACCACCGGTAGAAGCGCGTGGTGAAGGCTGTGCGGGGTAGCCGGGAGCTGGTTGGGCCAGATGGCTTAGCATTGGGTTCTCTTTGAGAAAGTCCGACCAGGCATTGTAGTCGAACCCTTCAGGCATCAGCTGACTGAGACTATGATATCGCTCCATGTTCTCGACATATTCCTTTTGCATACACGTTGGCACAGGGACTAGTTTCAGTTTCACCTCGAGAGTCTCCTTGATACCATTCGAGAAGATGCCAAGGATGTTCTTGCACACACGACCAGTGACCATTGTCTGGGAGTCTTTGGCGGGGGCATTGGGGGTCGACGATGCTGAAGCAAGAATCCAAGACAGCATGCCCTGGCCCACAAGCGGCGTTTCGTACTCGGAGAAGTCGTAAGCGTAGACGGTGTAATCATGACCTAGTTTGGCGACCAGCTCGGGACTACAGCGGTGAGCAATCAGTTCTGTAAGACCAATAAGAATCGGAGACGGCCCACCTTGCAGCAACAATAGCCTGAATGCACGTCTTGAGTTCGATGACTCCGACCTCGGTTGTCTCATCCAGGGACACTACAGGCACGCTGAGAACACTCGGCAGACGAGCCAGGCAATTCGACTTGTTCTCGTGGTCGAATGTGTAGAGTACCTTGACTGTACGGGGAGCTATGTTAGATGAGGACGTGATGGACGACTAGGTAGGCTTGCCTCTCATTTGCCTACGGGGTATCTCGTCCATTGAGCCCTCGTCAGCGCCAGCGGACGGTGTCGATGTTTGCGGCATCCCGTCCGTCTCCGGTGCAGTACTTGATGGAGTCGACATTGTTGCCTGCAAAGTGGACGATGGCAAAGCCAGGCCGTGTCGCAAAGGAGACAACAAGGGCGTCGCGGGCGGACTAGTCGTGGTCAATGTTGAATCGCGATCGGTGGTTGGCGTGCGATCATCGCGAACGCGTTTTTGGTGGACCAAGAAGGAAGCGAGACCAAGGGCGTCCAGGAAGGCGGGGAAACGTGACTCTTTAAATAGGTCGGAACGCAAAATCCTAGAACTAGGCAGCAGCACGCGTAGAACAGCGAAAGAAAAGGAGCGTAAGGGCGTCGTAAAGATGTCGTGTGTGAAAGTGAAGATGAGCTTGTCCATGTCGGAGGTTTAGCACTAGATACCCGCGCTAAGCTAACGCCGGGAAGGTACGACGCGTGACGCACCTTCCAGCCCAGCCCTGGGGTCCACAATACGACACGTCTTGATTGGCGGGTAAGCGAAAAGACTGCGGTCCCAGCTCCATCTAAGCCAAGCTCTCTCACTTCAATCGCCCTTCACGTCCATCGCCGACCGCTCCACCACCATCCAAGCTCGTTGCCGTGGTATTCCTCCTCTTTGTACTAGGTCAGTTATTTCTCCCTGGCCCGTGCAAGCTATCTGCTGCAAGTGCGTCACCCTTGCGCGTTGCCTCTTTAAGCTGCATATCAAATTTCTGTTGGCAGAAGCTCAAACGACGGGGAAACTTACGAGTAATAGTTACCGAGCTTGTCCCTCCTCCAGACCTGCTACCTACATTACACAAGTCGACATCATGGTAGACGCAAAGATTCAGTGCGTATCAATCCCCGCCGTCCATCTCAATATGCATGCTAATGTTGCGTAGAGAGCTTCTTTCTAAGCCACGCTCCGAGTTGACGTACATACAGTATAGCCTACCTTAGATTCATGTACTGACATTGCTACCTAGAGAATATGAGGTTGCTCAAGTCGAAGAGCATGAACTCACCACCGGCCCCCTCTCCATCCTCCAAACCGCCGTCAGATCGCGCACTCAGGTGCTGATCTCCTGCAGAAACAACAGGAAGATTCTTGCGCGCGTCAAGGCTTTTGACCGTCACTGCAACATGGTACTTGAAAATGCAAAGGAGATGTGGACTGAGACACCACGGTTAGCCAACGGTAGTTACGGGCGGAAGGTTAACAAGGACCGCTTCATTTCCAAGCTGTGTGTCTTATTGCCCCCTGTACACGAAAATATATGCTGACTATATTTAGGTTCTTGCGAGGAGACTCGGTCATTCTCGTTTTGTTGTCATAGACGTATCTGCGCTATGGACTGGATGGAAGTGAGAGACTATGGCGCATACGATTTGGGGCTGGATTGAATCAAAAGTTACATAGCCGTCACGATGACGGTTGTCACCGCCAAACGAATCAAGCAACGATACCCTCCTACGCCCTCATCAGTGCTCCATCCTACTTCTTCAATCCGTCATTCAGGCCCAGCAGAAGCTCCGCAAGCCCATGCGCGCCTGGGTCTGGCACTTCTTGGAACCCTTCGCCTCCGACATACACCGTTCGCCCCAAACTCGCTTTCATACCCTTGGTCCCTTGCGCTCCAATCTGCGCTGCTGCGGCCGCTTTGTCGATTTCGTCAGTCTTGGACAGTGTCTCCACGAACGGGTAGAGAGCGTCCATGAGCGTTCGATCCCCGGGTTTTGCAGGCGTATACTTGCCAAGTGCTTTGAGCGATGAGTCAAGAGCCTTGGCCCATATTGCAGGGGTCACTAGTTGTGGCGAGGAGGGTGCGTTCTGTCGCAGTCCATGGGCTAGGGCGTTCAAGAAGATGGCGTAGATGGCGCCTGATGTGCCATCCATTGCCACTTCGACCACTTGAATGATGTGATTCACAAGGATCAGCAGATCTTCTGTTTCCTTTGCCGTTTCGAGCATCTTCACGATTGCTGTAGGGTGTCAGCACCAGGCAACAATGCACACGTGACCAGATCCTACCTTCAGCTCCGCGCTTGAGTCCAATCCCGCAATCGCCGTCTCCCACTATCGTGTCATATCTAGTGACGTCTGGCTCCGCTTCTATTAGTCTATTCAACGCACTTGTCAAGGTCGACTTCGCCTGCGCATAATTGACTGCATCTAGGTTAGCACGCCCTACGCGACTTATCCAACAAACCCGTAACTTACCCCTCAAAGTGCTAGGCTGGATTTCTTCTTCGTCTACCTGTTCTTCACTCTTCTTTGCTTCCCCCTGTCTTGCCCATGTGCTACTACTGATCGCTGCAGACCAACCACTCGCTTCGGCGGGCGCGTCAAGCAGCTCTAGCATAGAAGCGCCTACTGATCCCGTATCGGCGACTCTAAGCAAGCTAATGCTAAAGCCCAATCCGTTCAAGCTGGTCATGAAAGTGCCCGCGAGTATGCGCACAGGCTTGATCTTGAAGCTCCTCGCCAACTGCTCGACCACCTCGTGCGTGATACCGCTCAACTCAAGCGGACTAACGCCTCCTAGGTTGTTAACCAGCAGCACAACCTCGTCTTTCTCGGTGATTTTAGAGAAGCTTCGATCTTGGTCCGCGACATCCAAACAATGCGACAACATCGTCTTAACAAGCCCCGGGAGGTCGGTCGATTTGCGTTCGGAGCCAGCTTCATTATGAATACCCATGCCAATCTCGACCTGGCCGTCCTTCAGCTCATCGTCCTCTGGCTCCCGGCGACCCGGAACGTGGACATGCGCCAGCGAGGATCCAATCGAAACGGTGTTATCCGCAACAAGTCGCGCAATTCTTGTCACATCTTTCAGACTCGCCCTGCACACCGTCAGCCTCTGATACCCAACGACGCAGCCACCAGACTCAACAACCTACCCTTTCGTCGCCAACGCCCCAGCAATCTTCTGTACCAACACCGTCCCCGCAATTCCTCTCCTCCCCACCTTGCCCCCCTTCGCCCTCCCCACCCCAGCATCATCCCCCACAACCACCATGTCGACCTCAAACCCCGCTGCGCGCGCCTTCTCCACTGCCATTCCAAAGTTCAATACGTCACCCGTGTAATTCATCACAATAACCAGTACACCCTTGTCCTTTTGCACCCGATGCAGTATACATCTTCGGATTTGCTCGGCGCTCGGCGACGCGAATATCGAACCTGCGACAGCGCCCGAGAGAAGCCCTGCGCCTACAAAGGACGCAAAGGAAGGCTCGTGCCCACTGCCGCCACCGGAGACGATGGAGACTTGCGAGGCGCTGCTACTGGGTTTACGGTAAATTATCTTGTTGGTGATGTCGCATTGGACAGAGGGGTTGGTCAGGGGAATGCTGAGGAGGGCAGTATTCACGAGGTGGGAGGGGTCGTGGATGAAGTGTTTGGCTGTGTGGTGGTAGTGGTTAGCTGCTGGCAATATGGTATAGGCGCATAGTTGGGACGTACATGACATGGTAGCGATTTCTGTAGGTGTTTACGCTATTCAATACTAGAAATTATGAGGCACAAGCAACTTTTCTCACGGTAACTCGGGCTTTTTTTAACAACCCGCTGTGGCGACTACAACGTCTTAAACGGCAGCGATGCGCCGAGTGTTCAATCCCCGATGCCGACGATAGCGACAAGGACGACGACGACGCCTCAGATTGCTTCATCTCGCCTAGCCTATCCACCCCCAGCCCAGTATTTACCTTGGCAAGCATGGTTTTTTTCCAAACACATCATATGCCGCGGGCAGGCGAGAACTGCAGCTGGGCCACTTGGATGCCTGCAGTCACTTTTCTGTGGGGTAGCGTGAGGGGTAAAACCTGTGGTGCGGTGGTGAGGTGGGGTAGGTTGGTCCGATGAGATTCCGTTGGGTGAGGGGCGGGTTGCTGTTTTGGGATGAGCCGGGATGTGTGCTGTGAGCTAATGCAAGAATTCTGGGGGCTGGTGTTGGTTATTTTGGGTTTTGGGTATTGATCGTGATGTGAGGTTTAGAAGTTGGGCATTTTGGGTACTCATGGTACTGATGCGCGAGAGAGAAGTTTGCCGTTTGGGGAATATGTGTGGTTACGCTGGTGAGGGGATGAGATGCGGTTGAAGGATGAAGTAGGAGGCGAATATGCCAGGCCAAACTCTATTGAAGTTGACTATGCAGGCTACGGTATCTTTTCATTGAAGTAACAATGTCGACTGGAGCGAATGAGGGGATGGGAGTCATGTAACGCACGGTACATGATGGAGTAGACGTAGAGTGGATGAACCTTGAGAGAACTCCGGGTAGACATGGGGTGATCGATGGTTCTGCAGTTTGGTATGCAAAGGTCTAACATCTAAGATAGCACGTAGGTAAGTTTTACATTTTGTAGTCTAAAGGAACTAGCTTCTCCATGTTGAGGGCACGGTCGAAGCGAGCTTCCTGCACTACCTACAGACCAGCAGCTGCATCTAAGTCGTATCATCGCTGATCCTATCTACTTCCAAAAGAGTGTCACTACGTATCGATGTAAGCCCTAGCTTTCAACTGCATCTCAACATTGGTTATGACCGCCATGTGTTGAGGCTTGAACTAATGCGCACGCGAGAACGTTGTTCGAAAAGCTCATCCGCCCAAATATTCGTAACACTCAGCGAGCCATTTTGAGCTGATGATGTCATGCCATATAAACAGATGAGATCCAAAAATGTTACCTCAGAACTGTAGGTCCGTGCACTCGATCTGTGGTGAAAGGCGCAGGCGTGGTTCTAACTGCTCGACTCGATGTTTTCTACGAATAATTCACTGGTAGCAGATATGCACAACTATTGCAATTAAAAACGTAACTTGCTTGTTGCGGCGGTATCATCCATGGATTTGGCTGACTGATCCACGCAAATATCGTCTCGGTACCATCAAAGTAGCTGTCTTGGCCACAACGAGCGGAAGTGATTATAAATATCATATGCGCAGACTGGATACAAGGGTATTTCAGTATCTTTCGGCAACCCCAACAAATACATCTGGCGTATACAAGCACCTGTCATGATACTCTTCCAAGCATTCTCGCGCGCACGAAGAAACTACAGAAAGAATACGCGATCATGTCCACTATACACTCTCCCAAACGAAATCGTCGAGCGCATTCGAGAATATCTCGACGAGGTCGATCGCAGCTGTCTCGCGCTTTCAACATCCAAATATCTCGAAGCCCTTTGTCCTAAAGGCCTAGCAATAGACCAGAAAAGCTCAGCGCCCTTATCCGACAGGATAAAACGCGATCACTTCTACAAAAGCCGAACCCAATGGCTCGATCGTAAACTTGGTTTTCTCTGGTGCGTCAGTTGCGCGTCTTCACACTCGCGCAAGAATTATCCCGACCACACCACCTCACTGCCACGGCACCTACGAATATGCTTCGAAAAGCTCGACGGCCCATTTAGGATTTGCCCCCACCGCCTTTTTCGATACAGCCACTTCATCCGATTGAAGAATCTCGCAAAGGCACGCCCTAAAGACAAAGCCACTCGATCCATGGCCTACGAATGCAAGGAATGTTGCTGCGTCTTCGATAGATCATGCACATATAGAGGAATGGAACTAGCTATCCGACCGGAGCGCAACTGGTCAACTAGATTGCCTCCAGCTACTCGACCCTTGTTCTTCTGCCGTCCTACCGTGTTCATCGAACGCAGGACCTCGAAGATCACAATCCGCTATACAGCGTTCCTCACGGCGCAAAACGTTAGGCTGCAGCTTACAGCGCCTAGATTGCGAAGGGCACTGCAGAAGTCGCGTCTTGAGATATGTCCACATATGGCGACCACCGACTCGTCGACTATAGAGCGCTTGGTGGATGAGTGGGAGAATGCTTCCGATGCGGGGAACGCATGGGAGCGGATTGGCATTGATTGCAAAGTTTGCAGTACGAAGATCTGTATAACGAAGGATTATATGCCGAACATATACGCCGTAGAGGTTGTGCGGAGATTGGGGAGTTTGAAGTCGCCGGGTGATCCGGTGTTCAGGAGTCATTGCTATCAGAGGGCAGAAGTCTTGAAAGAGACAGGAAAGTAAAGAGCATGATATATCAGCTCAGAAACACGATTGCGTAGGTTTACAGGTGTTCACGATACATATAATAGTAATGATTTCATATGGATATACTTGGTGCATTCCACAACTACCACTTAGATGAGCATATCTAGTCAACTGAAGCGCCTATATCCGCCCTTTCAACCATTTCTCCCACTAGATCCACTGCGGTCTATCCACGCGCCACGTGCTTATTTCTTCTTCCCCGTATACTTCTCGGGAGGGTACCTGAGAGAAGATTTGGTCGCGCCTCCATGCCACTCGCATTCCTGTGGAACTTGGATGTACGTTGGCCACCGAACCTGCATGTGCGTCGGACACTGTGGGTTGCATAGGACGAGGACGACTACTTCGACGCATCCGCACTGGTACTCTTCTTGCCAGGTCTCGCACATATTTATGTGGTGAAGAGCTTGAATGTATTGGTAGGTACTGAGTCGAGTGTTGTAACAGTAGAATGCTGTTCTTTGCGGTGTGGTTTGTGGTTGTTCAGGAGTCTTGCTTATTTTGTTGTAGGGAGGTGTTTCTCTGCCAGAGAGAAAATGATGCGGGATGTCGTTCAAGTTTTCGTATATATTGTAAGAAGGCGCAGTCACACAGCCTTTTATATCTTTCTCGTCGTCACAGATAGAGTTTTGTTGGTTTTCGTATTGCTCGCATTGAAGTAACTAGGTGATATCTGGTATTTCGCTGCTGACAGTGAACCCCAACATAGAAGCACGCTGGGAGACATGATCACAGCAATCTAAATTGTGAATAATGTCGTCAATGTTCAAAGTGAAATTTTGCACGATCATGGTGCAGCTTATTGACTGCTGAAATCGGGAACCGAACAGGTGCACATACAAAGCACCCAATTGCGAACCCTAAAGTAAATCGACAATCCCAAGGCCTACATCCTAGGACTCGCCGCTAGTAGTAAGTACGCAACCATGAATGACAACGGGGACTAATCGCGAAGTACTGAAACTGTAATTACAATTTAATCCCTTTTGCCCTGGGCGCTTCAACGTATCTTCCTATGGCCAAAGCTATCATGTCCCAATATCGCCATCAACATGTGTTCCGAAGGTTTTAATTTACGTCCCATCCCCACTTGTGCACTCCCAGCATTTAAGTGTGCTTTTCCTGATATTCTTTATCTTTGGGTCTGAACATGGAAATCCCCTCTTCGCAGGATCACATTGTCTGATCAGCTCCTTTTTGACATGATCGCAACCCATATAAGTGACTTCTTCATAATCGCACATGGATGTAGGTTGAATGATGCAGAAAGTATGCAGAAGGGATTATATTGGTGGCAGGGGGTTGTGTACGTCGCAGTCGCGGTTGCTTTATAAGACAGTAGAGCACTGGTAGGTTTGCTTGAGGTGTTGCGACGAAACTTCGAGATATCACGGTTGTGATTAGTGATGTAGCGTAAGAAGACAGAAGAATTGGAACCCAAGGGAGAAATATGTTGTTGTCGGCCAGCGGCTATCGTCAGAGATTGCGCTGCTGGCTTTCTGTAGATCTTGGCGTTCTCGGGTATCGCTCTTCACCGGTACATGAATGTATCGAAAGCTTGTGGATAGCAAACACCATACTGTGACGTTGAATTGAGTATGCTGACCCACCTACGTATTATAGAGATGCTGGAGGAAGACGAATGACTTCATGACCGGAGAAGTACCTGAAAATTCAAACGAAAATACTAGCAGGTAGAACATAAATCTCTTGGAATTAGAATAAGTCAGATGACAAAGTTAATGGAACTACTTGAGGAGATATATCGCAAAAGAAAAAGCAAAAGTAACAATGCGACTAGAACAAAGGTGACAACAAAGGAAACACCCGCCATTTGACCCATTCACCAACACTTATTCGACTGTGACCCTGTCACATTCAGAACATACCTTCATCAAGATCAGGGTGCCAGGGGTTAAGTCTGATCGGCCTGTTTTGATCCTCAGTGTTGTCACGATAGTTTTTACCCCAGACTCCAGACCTCAGCAGTTCCTTGATTATGTCCCATTTTTCCTTGGACATTTCCTCATCAGTAGGCTTCCTCTGTGTTCCTTCAGAGTCATAATACTTCTTGTATTCAAATACGGGTTGTGCAAACCTATCTTCTGCCCAGAGTCGGATGTAGGATCTTCCGCGTTCGCACAGCCGATCAGCAATGTACGCAGGTGCTGCATAGGAAACACCGGTGGTGGACCGCCCAAAGGTGTAGCAGAGCATTAGAGTCAGCTTCTGCAGATTGTTAACGTCGATCTGGGTGTCGTCGTCGAGCACATAGTAATGAGCCGAGCGTGCAGTGCCTTTGATGGCGGCATGTGATTGCAGGAAGAAGTTAATGGGTTTCGGCGCTGTGACCACGTGATCTACTAAAAGTTCAGGCTTCAGGTTGCCATTGACAAAGTTTCCAGCCTTCGTACTGACAAGGTAAGAGGTTTTATTATTCTTGGCGTAGAAACGTGTATGATGACACTTGCCAACAACCAAGAAACAAACACCGAGTTTCTTGTCATCGCCGCCGGCTTCAGCGTATGCTTTCTTGATCTGGGGGATTTCCTGTTCAGAAATAGTGACGAACTGGGATTCGGAAACACCATCTCGATAGAAAAAGATTCTCGTGGGTAGTTTCTTGTTATGTCCTTTCCAAACCTCGAGACGCTCCTTGATCATGCTACGAAAGTTGAAATCTTCGATTTGCTATTGCTGTTAGCTTGAAATAAACCATCGAAGCCACTGGTACGCACCTCTTGGCCACCTGCTTGGAGTCTCATTGAGCCACGGTAGCTCATAAAGCGGGAGTCGATCGTACCCACAACGCAGGCAATGCTGGGGGCTCCAATCTTGGAGCTACTGCCGGGGTGTATCACATCTGCTCCTAGTATCATCGTATTTTGCTTCTTATCCTTCCCACCCAAGACCTTCTCTAATTCATTTTCATCGAGCCAGTGGTTGTCGCCACCCAACTTCATGTTCATTTTGAGGGCCAAGTTGGAGAAGTGCTGCCAGCGTGGGCCGGACCTTCGATTGTCTTGCTCATTTCGATCCTTGATCCTTGATGCGACAGCGCATATGGTGTGGTTTCCCGAGAAGTCGCCATCTCGTTTGATCTTGGCGTATATGTCGAAGTCTTTTTCTCGCAGTAGAAAGAACGTACAGTCCTTCACTTTACACACTGGAAACCATCTTTTGAGCACCTTTTCCACAGTCTCACGCTGGGCTTGCTCGCCGACATATCCAACTTTCACATTGATACCATGTGTACCTAATTGCAGTACAAAGTCGTTTAGTATATTCTCCGGTGTCGACTTTTGCAATTTCTGTAGTGAACCTTGTAGCTTGCAGATATGTAAGTCGTTGAATGCCTTTGGATTGGTGAATACGGCTTCTTGTAAATTCCAAGATGCAGTGTACTCGCTAACGTTCTTTGATTTGCTTTGCTTTGCATAACGAAGAAGAGGCAGGGATAACTTCTTTGCTGACAAGGAGATTAGCTTGTTGTCGAGTTCTAAACTGAGGTCGTTCTGTATTTCGTCAGTAGAATTAACTGAATTGCTAGGTATACTTATAAGGTATTCACTCTTGACTCGGCCGTCTTCTTCTTTGAGTCCTAGTAGACCTAAGCCCTCCTTATCGATCAAAGCCGCATTCTCTGCTGGATAATGCAGAGCGTGCATCATCATCGCTGCGGTATGATCTGGACTCATTTGTCCAGTCATCGGCTGGTAAGGGAGTATCTCGAGCAGGCAAGCGGGAATCCACTGTGCGCCGTCCAAAGTGTGTTGCTGCATATCTTCTAAGTCGATCTTTTCAGGGTTGAATGAGCCAATACGTTTACCAACGTTGACGCACAGCAGATCATATCTGTCTTGCCCTTGTTTTGTTGGCCACTCCACTCTCATATCTATATCTAACATCAGTACAATCCAGGCCAACTACACGTATTGACATTACCTTCGAAGTACTTCAAAATAGTTGTACCAGTGTCAGCATGATTGACTGTGCGTGCACTGTCTCGATTATCAGGATCGCAGGCTAGGATCGTGAAAAACTTCTGCTTTCCTGCCTCTAGACCAAATTGTTGGAAAAATTTGGTGCACTGCAGATCACCATTCATGGAAATACCTTCTTCTATGGTCTCTTTGAACTCCTGCCTCTGATATGCTAATCTGACACTTGCACCCCTCAGCATTGTCTCGACATACCTTCTTTTGTTTAGGAACATGCGCAGGAATTCAGAAACCAAGATTGGTGGTAAAAAGGCCGTTGTCGCCACGTTGACGTTGAGTAAAGGACTCTTGGATCCAGATCTGATTGACATGTAGTATCCACGAACAGCTCTGAGGCCTAAGCTTTTTCCTTTAGACGTCATCTCATTGAAAGCTCGGTCAATGTAAAATTTGTTTGCGCCAAGTTGAGTGATCGATTTACCGCTCCGATCGTTGTATTCGCGGACGCGTTGTGCAACATGAGCATTCAGCGCTCTAATATGGTCGGTACACTCGTTGATGTCTGCTTCACCATGAAAGTTTTCAATATCGTTGAGTACGCCACTAGAAGTTACGGTGGCATAAACACCTTGGTGTTCCCGTCCATCTGAGAGCGTGCAGGGGAATTCTGGAGTATCCCATTCTGATTCCTCTTGCTGCGGTCCTTGAAGGCCGGAGCCGCACCAAATGCTCTTATAGTCAGTCGCCCATGATTTCTTATCGCTTCTTAGCGCCAAAGCGTCAGCTTCCATGAGAGCATCGAATACTCAATTGATGTCAACTCATTTGTTAAGCTCTACATGTGCCGAAGGCTTCGAAGGGTCGCGGCTCAGTCTCCAGTACGTCAAAGAGTAGACATACAACTGCGACGGAACTTTGAGTAGTTTGACGTAATTAGCAATAACTTCGATTTCGTCGGATTTGGCTGCTGATCCATAATGTGCACTTGATACGTTTGCCACACCATTTTTAGGTACGCCTTGCAGTACCTCCTCGGCCTGTGTTCCGTTTTTTGTGTAAATGAATTTGCCGACGTCTCTAGTCTCGACCGGTGTTCTTTTCTTGACTGGCTTGGGTTGTGGATTATTGGAACTATTATTAACAGGTCCACTTCCTGAGAGGATAGGCAGCGCTTTTGGGAGGAGGGCTTGGGACTTGTCTTTGATCTTAGGTTGTTTTTCTGGTACGGCTTTCGGGGTAAACCTTCCATCTTTGATAAGGTTTTCGCGTTCTGCTTGAAACCATACCTCAACAGCCTGCTTGTTGGTGAAATTACTGTCGCCCTTTGACCAGTGACCCTTTTTCGTTTTCTCGTCACAATGAAGCATATGACCATGAGAGAATTCATCGCATCTCGGACACCTGTCCCCATCGTAGCCGGCATTCATCCTCTTAAGCAGCTCAGTCTTTGCATCTTCGTCGAAGGGTTTACCAGCGTTACTTGTTGGTTGCTTCAGGCCGCCTTTTTTCTTGGGTGGCATCTTGTAGCTTTTTCGTTTGAGCAGACGGCGTAGAAATCAGTGTATCAGGATACTGTCGGTGATTTTCTGTGTTGGATGATGGTGTCCTTTTCTGGAAGACGCCCATACCTTTATACATTGACTCTAGATTGCTCCAACCTCTAGGCAATTATGTTATAATCGCACATGACGAAGGGCTTGTGTCTTTCTCATAAGTGCAAGCCGTATTACACAACGTAAAACTCGAATAATCACACAGCTTGACGATAGCAATCGAGTGATTCGATAAATCGATCGAGTATACTATTTGCTTCGAATGAGATTCTATGCAGAACAAACTGGTATTAGCAAAATCCCACTGCTTTCATTGCCGGATATTATTGAATGGCTGTACAGTACCGATGAATACCATCAGAATGAATGTAACAACCGTGCTTGTCAGAGTTGAGACCTGGGTTGAGACCTGGGAAATATAACGCTAGACATTCTAGGGCGCGGAGCGGTTTCACTATATCTGGGCATCATGTGCCGCCCCGTGCGTTTATCATACGTAAAGGTAAGGCTACAAGTGTATATGCATGTGTTCCCTGAGAGATATTAGGAGCCGTGATCGTTCTCTAGCGTGTTACACATATTAATCATTAACGCAACAGAGGGCAGCATTTATACAAAGTATCAAAAGAAATTCATCGTCAAAATAGCCCTAAAAAGCTCACTCGTTATAATAAATAGATTCTGCAAAAGGCAAGTTATGTCGGTCATATTATAAGATGGTTGAAGTGTATAATACGATGGCTTTTGCAACGACCGGGGTACGGTTGACCCACATGGAAAGAGCAAGCCACCACAGCCACCATTACCGAGCGGTACTAGCTAGTTAGTCGGTAACTACTTTCACCTGGGTGACATAAAATACTGGATAGTGTGAGTAAGCACCCAATAGAATGTCTGGCGACTACAGTGGTCTTTTTACACTAGTATGTCCAGTATTTTATGACACCCGGGTGCTTTCGTCCTTTAATTATATAGCATAACATCTCGAAGCAGATATCCTGTCGTCAGCAGGTTGGTGAAATTCCATTTCTATCCAAGCTTGCTGTACCATCCACAAAATCACAGTCTTCTCCCCGTAATACTAACAGTGCGTCTATTCCAACCCGAACTGATCTCTAACTGACCCGCCATTCAATTCTTCTACTCCATCTCATCCTTGCGCCAAATCCAAAATCTCAATCTCCCCCGCCCCGTTCAAAAAGTCCAACTTCCCCAAATCCACACCCTTCATCCTCAAAACCGCATAAGCAGTCGTAACATGAAACCTATACATCACAGTCAGCATAATTTCCCCCTTCTATACGATCCCACCCCCACATCCACACAAGTACCTACCAAAAATTCGGATGCGAATACCGTGCCACATGATCCGCCACCCCCATCCTAATCGCCTTCCCCCCGGGAAACTTGATCTCGATAACATCGTCATTGCTCACACCCTCAAAATCACTCGCCTTGTACTCCTCCAAATGGCGAAGTGTCTTTTGAATCCTCTCTAGCAGCTCCTCGAAGCTCTGCTCTTCGTCGGGGATTTTCAACTCGCGGTCCGCGAGGGCGGGGTTAAGGCGAATGGGTAGGAATTTTGCGGCGTCAGTGAAGCGGTAGACTTGATAGCGGAGGTCTTTCATGGTGGGGTGCAGAGAAGCGGTTAGGAAGTCTTCAGGCGGGGTGGAGGTTGTGGTGCAGTGGACAGAAGCTTTTGTGATGAATGCGTGGGCGTTTTTTAGGCCGGAGATGAGGGGGAGGATGGCGACGGTGTGGAGGGGGATGGGTGACATTGTTGCTGTTGGGTTGGGTTGAGTGTAGGGAGGATAGGGTTGGAACTTTGTGATGGTTGTTTTGGTTGATAGTCAAGTAGATGGATACTGTCTTTCGTACTTGACAACAAATGTCTGGGCGAGAAGCCGAGTATTTATCTATCTCCACACTGTCTGGCTCCACTTACTCCCGCTTCTTTCAGCGGACAGTTGCATACAGCCTTACCCACTATACCCACCCATCGTACCACCTTGCTTTGAAATTCCCTTCCCCATCACCAGATCTCACCACGTAAAGCCACGTGGACTTCCGTCCGGTGGTGACACGATAGGGATTTGGCTTACAAAGATGGTGGAGATAGATAACCGGTGTCCTGCATCGCACAGCCAATCACAGCAGAGCGCGACGGACCGATTAGGGTTTTGCGGAAGTCCGCTGCTCGCGCGCGAGATGCCGGCGTTAAAGGCCGCAAGGCCTCCAGTGTGCTGTATAAGCGGCTGAGTTCAGGGCTGTTAGGAAAGGGCTGAGGTGCGCATAGAGTGAGTTATTTTTGCTTGCAGTAAGTTTAAGTGGTTACTTTGGAACTGCCGTCGAAACTGGCGTAAGCTGTTGCCTTGTGGTATGCAGGGCGAATACTGGGCATCAACAAGACATACTCAAACACGTTGCATATCAACATCTTGTGTTCGCAGCCTTCTCATCTTCTAGAATGAGCGTCGGCTAGATTTTAAGGAGCAAGCCTCCAACATCACCTCCCACCGATCAGGTCCATGATTTCAAAAAACCGACCTCGCATTCACAAATTGTTGTTAATCTACCAACCCCCCCCCAAACATATTATTACGCATTAACAATCCATCTTCAGACTGTGGAACAGTTACGACACGGAACAAGCACAGCACCGATCAGTGCCTCCATAGCCGAACTCTGGGTACTCGCATTTGCAGGCTGGACAAAAGGTCCCGCCCAATCCACGCTAAACACATTCAATCCATTAACCAACACACCTCTGTCGTTTTTCCAGATGGAATCCGCGTTTGCATTGATCGCTTTCCTAAAGTCGTCCTTGCCTGCTCCCTGCAACTCGACGAGGTTGCGCATGAAAATGCCTTTGAACTGTGTACCGTCGGCACCACAGTTCGGTTCGCACTCATCGTGAATGACACCCTGTTGATCTGAGAGCTCGATGAGAGCGGCATTCGCAATGTGGGATGCGAGAGCAATGTACTGATTCTTTGGGTCTGGTGATGCCTTTTGAAGTTCCAACAGACCACCCAGGATGACGCCTTGGTTGTACGACCATGTTGTCTGTCCGTTGTTCTTGCAGTCTTTCGTCAGACCATCGTTGATGGTACCCTTCTGGTTGAGCATTCCAGTCTGCAAGAACCACTCCAGACTCTTTTCCGCCCATTCTCGGTAGACTGCTTGCTTTTGGAACTCGACACGAGTAGCCAGATGTGCGGCGGTGCTGAAGAACAGCTCATTCGCAATGGCGTTGACGTAGTTCTTCTCGTGGCTCCAGTATATACCGCCCTCGAAACAGTATGTTCCCCATGTACGCGCAACGGCGAGGAAGATGTCTTCGGCGAGTTTGAGATAGGGAGTGTTAAAGGTGACATCATAGGCGTTGATCCAGGCGAGTGCCCACCAAAGGTCGTCGTCGTAGTAGCCATCCAGCCAATCGCTTGCGTTAGGGGCAGAACTATTGACAACTGCCGCAGGAGCAATCGATACAGTATACCAGTTTGTCGGATACGAAGTGTGCGGCTCACCGGTGTTAGGATCCTTGTATTTCTTGTATTCACCTCCCCACGCTCCCCAGCGTCCTTGTCCCCAGTTGCCCTTTCCCCAGCGTCCCTGTCCCCAATGTCCCCAGCCCGTACTGCTAGGTTTTTCCTCTGCACCTCGATCTTCAATTCCTGGATTCGGGTTCTTCCCTGGCGCCTTTACCAACGTGGTTGCAAACACATTGCGAGCCAAAGTTTGAAGTGTATTGTTCTCAGGGTCCGCGTTCGCAAAGTTGCCAATGACAGTCATGACATTTGCACCATTCCACCACCCAGTAGTCTCCCAGAGACCGGTGTTAGGATTGTACCATGACTGTAAAGCATCGAGTGCAAGCGTCACACGTTGCGTTGGATTGGTAACGTTCGAGTCGCTTTGCGCAAAAGTGTTAGGGATCAGCGCTAATAAGAAAGACGACCATAACAATGACTTAGACAACATGGCTGAATGAATATGGAAATAAGATGGGTGTCGGCGGATTGGTATTGGTAGAAGCAGGTAGGCCTAATGTGCGCTACCTTGATGAGATACATATGGTGGCCATTCTTAGAACAAAAGGAATTAGGTGCGACCCGTACACGTCTTTTTGCGCATGTGCGACAGCTGCGCCGTGACGGAATAAAGAGTCGTACTTGCCACGACCCGTGCATCGTACGATAATCGTCGATGCAGCGTGAAGTCACGGATACAGACGATAATAGAAGGCGCCAAGGAAACACTGGTAGGTCTCACCTAGGACGAGCTTGTAGAGGTAGTTGGCCGTTAGCGTATTGATACCCGACTTTTTTTGGCTTCCCTTCCAACGGTATCAGAGGCTGATAGGGAGGAAGCAAACGAATTTGCTGTTCCGGAGGATGCGCAAATGTATTGAGTGCCACCAGGGCAATCGCGAAAAGCCATGTGCACATCGCTGTTGTATTTCCAATATGTCGGACAAAAGTGTCAAGCAAGCGCCTCAACGATCCATACTTATTGTGATTCGCACGTGCACATGAGGTCGAAGTAGGTGTTCGTCTGGCACCCTCGCAGATCTTGGGAGGTTGCACTGAGCCACACGCCCCAATCGCGTGCTGTACTCCGTGGGTCCGTGACGACCTGTTCGCCATGTTTCATTACCGGCTTAGTGGTAAACTTCGGCACCATTCACTAGCCAGGCATGAGCTTAATCCTTGGCAATCCACTATTCGCAGTGTTTGAGATGGCTATATTACTTCGATGAAAGTGATGAGCGTGACTCGTGCAGTATTATCAGGATATACCGATAGTTCAAAGATATGTTGAATGCGGGGATTGTGGCAACCGGGCGTTCCGTGCCACCTCGTGTATTTCCGTCTTGTGGCACGACATGCTTCCATGAGAACAACGCACGAAAAGCATCATTACCCAAAGCGAAACGTCAACTACCACGCGCTGTTGTCTTGGAGTTGTTTTTCTGTCGGGGCTTTTGTGTCGGAGCTTTTGTGCCGATCAAGCAATTAGAATCTCGTTCCCAAAGTCTTTGACCTCTTCGACCCAACAGTTAGGTGCGCCAACCCCAGCCTCGTCTTTGAGTCTCCATATTTCTTCCAGTACGCGCTTAGATGTATGCAGGTAGCCCCAGAACATCTGTCCATAGAGTTCGCCAAGCGTGTTCATGATCCATTCGCGCTGGTGAGGATCCTCAGACTCGGCGCCAGCAAGGAACAGCGGCCAGCAGATTGATTTGAAGAGAGCATCGCCAGGCTTGAGGTACGATATATGTTCAACAACGTCATTTGCTAAACCGGTGAGGCTGACTAGTGCACTACCGCTTGCTGGATCGAGAAGAGGGTTTGTCGAGGGTAGTACGCGTGCGAGATAGATGCAAACTGCCGAACGGTGTGCAGAGGCTATGCGGAAGCGTTGGTCAATGTTATCGAACGGTGCTGCGCGTTGAAATTCGCGAGACCAGTGCTCGGGTTGAAAGTCCAGCGCCCGTTGGAGCAGCACAGCCACTTGCTCGTCGATATTGATAGGCGCGGACGACGGCGATCCCTGTGTATCGGGTAATGCAAAAGATTCGAGCATGATACGTAGTAGTGGTCCAGGACACGAGAGGTAGTTGTTTGTCTCCGCATAACGAAGTATGGGTTCCAGTTCGATAGTGTCAGGGATCAACGCAGGTAGTGTGGTGAAGCTGAATGTCGAGCCGAGAATGTAGAATACTAAAAGGTCAGAAAGTATCGTCTGGCGAAGCCTGCTCATAGGCTGTTGCAAATACGGCGGGTCACCCAACAGCTTGATGAGATTCACCGCACCATCCATGTGAACCTTCCACTTATCTCGTCCGGATTCTACCAGAGCATAGTTGACAAACAGCAAGATTGTCATGAGTATCAAGTCAATGTTTGAAGTATTCACAGATGCCACGCTCTTTGCAAGGAGCGAAAGAGCTTGCTGCTTTGCCACGAGTGCATCTCTATAGCACGTAGCCGGCGGCCCCCCGAAACGACTGACAGCTTGGTGATATGCTGTCACACTTGGACTCTGTTCTCCCTGGTAGGGTGAGTGACCCATTGGATTGCGGGTAATGTTGAAAACGTGAAACGCGGAGTTTGCCACAATGATCTGCAATAGCAGCGGATACGTGGATGTTGCCGGTATAAGCTCCCGAATGGGGTTTTGTCCAGGCACATCATACACGACCATGACTTCGCACAGCTGGGTGGCAAAGTGATACAGATAGTAGCGTGAGTTGTGATCGAGGTCATTCACCAGTGGATCCGTCAACGGCCGTTGCACACCAGAAGTCATGGTCGTGTTGTGATGCTGACCTTGCACGGGCATTCGTGCAATGGCCGACGCAAAGTCCGCGTCTAGAACCTCAAAGTCGACATCTCGTTGATGTCGCGACGGTCCGTCGTTCTCCCATACCAAGGCCGGCACACGATGCGTCTTGGCCTCACGGTCCGAGGGTCCTACACCGCCGTCCCGACCCTGCTCCATCTTTTCCTCATACCCCTTCCCCATCATCTTTCCCCGGCTAGCCACCCCGCGGTTCCACACAAACAGTTTCCCGTAGCCGAGACATTCGGATCCGGCGGACAAACATTTCTGACAGCTTGGCAGCGACCGGTCGCATCTCCAGCGTCGCTTCCGACAGTTGTGGCAGGCTTTGGTGGGCAGATTGAAGGGCGTTGCGCTCATTGGATGGGAGCCATGCGAGATTTGCTGGTGGTTGACTGTATTAAGGTGCCGTGAGTTGGCGGGGGTGGATATCTTCTAGTTGTGGTTGTGACAGTGGAGCGATGTCCTTGATTCTATGACTAACGTTTTGGAGATTTAAGGCAGGCATAGCATTTCGTCACAGAAGCTTCAGCGAGCGGCAAATCATGCGGCTGCAATCGCTGATGGAGCTAAGCTCGAGTCGACACGATCTAACCTCTAAACAGCAGCCAAGACGCAAACCCCTGTTCCGCGAACATCGTCATGGCTTCATTTTTAAACGTCAGTCACCGGAAAAATCAAAATCTCACGTTATGTTGAAGTGTATCCAACATTCGTAAAGATGATTTACATCAAATATAGCCATGTCAATCGCGGACTTTGCGGAGTCCGGATACGGAGTCACATGAAAACTATTACGAAATTATAGAAACGAGTAGTATCGAAGTGGATCAATACGCCGGTCGCTAGCTAGTACATCACGGTTCTCCGTATTACTTACCACATCGCAGCTGTGGTAGAATTTGTTGACCGCGGAGTCTCGGCGCGTATCTTCTCAAACACCTCATATTCATACAAATATGACCACTTCACCCGAGCCTGAAGCCAGTTCATAACGGCCAGTATCGACCTAGGTCCCAAGATGGAATCTTCGCTCAACTCTCAGAGCAACCATCACCAAATGGATCCCTCATCAAACCCCCAAAGCAAAAAGCCTTCAATGGACACCCCAGACCTAGAGTCAAAACGACAATCCTCCTCGAGCCCTCAAACCTACACTCAGACTGACTTCGAACGCCTCGGCCGCGAACGCCCTGCTTCATTTAGCTCCCTTCCCCATGAGATAGGTTTCTGCTTCGCTCTCCTCGGCTCCATGTTCGTCGCCGAATACATGATCTCAGGCTTCAGCATCCTTCTTCCCCCCCTCGCCTCCGCCTTGTCCATCCCATCCAACGCAAAAACATGGCCATCATCCGTATTCTCCCTTATAACCGGCGCCTTCCTGCTTCCATTTGGCCGTCTCGCCGATATGTACGGCGGGTACATCGTTTTCAACGTGGGTCTGGCATGGTTTATAATCTGGTCCGTCATTGCGGGTTTCTCGCAGAATTACCAGATGTTGATTGCGTGTCGGGCGCTTCAAGGATTCGGGCCTGCGGCATTCTTGCCGTCAGGAATCATGCTGTTGGGCAGTATCTACCGGCCTGGACCGAGGAAGAACTTGGTGTTTAGCTTGTATGGTGCTTTCGCGCCAGTGGGCTTTTTCGCGGGCATTTTCCTCGCAGGTGTAGCGGCACAGTTCATCACGTGGCGTTGGTGGTTTTGGATCGGATCCATTATGCTCGCCATCGTGGCTTTGACGTCTTACTTCTGTATTCCGAAGCTAGGGGGACAGACACCGGAGGACTGGGACGCGAAGAAAAATATTACCATGGATTGGTGGGGCACTGCGACTGTTGTGCCGGGTTTGGTCCTCATCATCTTCGCCCTCACTGATGGAAGCCATGCGCCAGACGGGTGGGCAACACCATACATACCCGTCACCCTTGTCCTCGGCATCGCCTTTCTCGCGGTGTTTATCTACATCGAAGGCTGGGTAGCTGAACAGCCCTTCCTCCCCAGCTCCATGTTCCGCGTCAAGGGTATGAAAACATTAACCGTCGCCCTCTTCCTCTTCTACGGCACATTTGGAATTTTCATCTTCTACGCCAGTTTCTACATCGAAGATGTCGTTGGCGCAACCCCGCTACTCACCGCCACCTGGTTCACACCCATGTGTGTTGGCGGCTTAATCCTATCTACTGTCGGTGGACTAATCCTACATCTACTACCCGGCCGCGCGCTCTTACTCCTCAGTGGTGCCGCCTTTACCCTCACCCCCCTCCTCTTCGCCATCTTACCCAACAAATTCAACTATTGGGCGTACATCTTCCCCTCCATGATATGCTCCACCCTAGGTATCGACATCACCTACAACGTCAGCAACATCTTCATCACCACGTCCTTGCCAAAAGCCCAACAAGGTCTCGCAGGTTCTTTCATGAACTCTCTGCTTTTCCTCGGCATAGCCGTGTTTCTGTCGTTGGCGGATTTGGTTGTTAAGGAGACTGAGCACAGTGGAAAGAAGAAGAGCTACCAGTATGCGTTTTGGATGGCTACAGCGCTGGCTGGAGCGGGACTGATAATCATGTTTTTGGGAGTTAAGATTGGGAAAGCAAAGAGCGAGTTGACGCTTGAAGAGAAGGAGGATCTGGAGAAGGAGTTGATCAGGCACGGGTCAGATTAGTGAGTTTGGCTTGTAATATCAGATTTAGTTAGCCAAATAATGATTATTGTATTACTACCACTTCCAAGTAAGCTTATGATCTTAATGTGGTTGAAATCACCATCGTGGCGGCATGGGAGAGCGTGTAAGGTCTGCCCAGCAGTGAAAGGTGCAGTATGATTGCGACCCATCTACAATAACTTAACAGCAGACAGGCTTATACCAAAACCACACGTTCCCCCAAACAGAGCCCCAATCCCTCCCCAATCGTACTACACTTCCCTTTCACCCCACTCCACCCAACCCTTTTTCCATCAAAAGCTCACCGAAATTAACACATAAAGCACCCCTAAAGACTTGACAAAAATCCGTGATAAACTGGCGACAGTGACAAACAGAATACCCACCTATCTACCTACCCTAACCATCCTCATGTACAACACAGTCCTTTCCGACTACCCTATCTAGGTCCTGCAGCATACACAAAGAAGCCAGCTTAGCCGTTACATCATATGAGCGGTGATGAAAGTTACCAGTAATTATTCAACCAAGCAAAAAGAAATCGATGTCTGATGCGAATATATTTTAGACCCGGTATTCAGTGCATGGGTGGGTCTGGGATGAAATCGGAATCTAGTTGCCCTGCAGGCAGCCGAGTATGATATATGAAGCAAGAGAAAAGAAGAAGGGAAAAAGTAGTGTACGAAGATGATTTAACTACTTCCAGTAGTATGTAGATATCGAAAATGACAAACTTTTTTCCTGCAAGCATGAAAATGCTCCTGAACCCACGCAAGCGAACCAAGCTTGAGGATGTTCCCAGATAGAAGAAAGTAAAAGCCACCAAATCATCCATTCATCACCCTCACTCCCCACACAACCAGCCTACCACCTCACATCCCCCTCTTCCCCACCAAATGCGCAAAAGCCGGATCAAAATACCCCTTCGCACTTCCCCCCTTCCCCCACCTCTGCACCTGCCTCGTACCACCCTGACCCTGACCCTGACCCTTCCTCTGCATCTCCGCCCTCTTCCTCAACCCCTCCTGCACAACCCTCTCCTCCTCCCTCTTCGCTGCCCTCTCCTTCTCCTCAACCCCATCAAGCCACGCACTCGCACCCATAGTCCCGTTCCTAGTCAACACGCCTCCCATACCCGGTAGACCCAAGCTACCCCTCATGTAGCCATCTTCCTCATCCTGCGTATTACCTCCCACCATACCCAGACCTTGTTCCTGCGGGAACATACCAACAGGCATACCGGGTTTGGGTCGGCTGTAGATGAAGGGCTCGGTGTTGAAGAGTATGGCGCGGGACTTTTGTAGGTTCTTACCAGGGTCGAAACGTTCTTCCCATGTGAGCAGTGTGAGATCGCGGAAGGCGTGGCGGAAAACGGTATACGCCGTGTCGAAAGCGCTGTTGCGGGGGCAGAGCGTTGTTTGGTATGGCGCGCTTGATGTAGGGATGGTAAAAGAAGGAGGAGAGATGAGGGCTTGGAGGCGGGCGGCTTCAGGATGTATGTTGCTAGCTGCATTGTCGACTACTTGGGGAGATGCCTTTGCGGGTTTGTACTGTGCGATTGTCCAGTATACGTGTGGTTTGGAGTGGCTTTCCAAGAGTCCGATGTTGTATTGGGAGAAGCCGGCCGTGGTCAAGTCGCTGCGGACGAGTAAGATTTTGTATTCGAAACCGGTTTGGTCGTGGTAGTAGTGGTAGGAGTCTTTCCAGTGGGGTTTCTTAGCTAGTGTTTGGATAGTGGAGGGGGAAGGAGGTAGGAGCTGAGGCTTTTTGATGGGAGATGGTTTGTTGGGAGGGGCGGAGTTGGGGGTAGATGCAGTTGTAGATGAGGTGGTCCGAGTAGGGGTAACACCCTCTGACTCGTTTACTTCATCATCCCCAGATGCCGTAGAACCATCTGCTTTTGCAGTCTCCCTCTCAGCCTTCCTGCGCAAGAGATCTTCTTTGGCAGAAACAAACAGTGTGGGAGGGACAACAGGGTCTGACGTATCAAAGAAAAAGCTCTTGCTTTTGTTCTTTCTGGGTTTGCGCTTGACAGCAGTGGAATCTGACGTACCTGAACCAGTCAACTCTTTGATCCTCGCACAACCGTCTCTGAATTTCTTACCATCGGCCGCCTTTCCCAACCTCTTGAGTTCTTTCCTGGTTCTCCTCTCTTTTGTGAGAACTTCCCATTTGTACCTCCTAGTACTCAATTTTCTACGTGCCTGAAGAGAGTCGTCGAACCAGTCGTAGCTGACAACGTCAATGCCGAGATCAGTGGCTTGGCGGACGGCGTCGTTGCGTGCTTTGTAAGCTTCTTTGCTGGCGATGAGGTGTGTAACGTTTTTATTGACAACAACCGAGTATCTGCCATTATTCTTGTCGATCCATGATCGGATCTGTTTGGCATCGTGGGGATGGGTGCCGGTCACGGCGATGGTCAGGTTGTCGAGGACCCCCATTATGAACTGCTACGACAGAAACCGAGAAACAGACAGTGTTTGGAGGTAGTGCAGCTGATACCAATCAATTGTAGGCTGTTGTAGAAGGATTGGTCATGTTGTCAATGTAAAAGAAGAGAACAGGGCTGTTAAATAGCTAGGCGACAGTATGTGGTATCGATATTACTCTCTGGCCCATCTTACCTTTGTGTGGCAGACAGCAGCACAGGTGATATAGCCTCTATGGAGACCGCGCTATCATCATGGTAAGGTGAGAGACGGTCAGCCAACCTCCAGGACGCTCCAGACGGGTACTCGTCCCGTGCGTCAAAGACATACATGAGTATGGAACGAGCAGCGGCAGGTTTTGCAAAAGTCGAGGCGAAGCTGTGTGCGAAGGTAAATTCATAGTCGGTTTAACACGAAAACTTTTCAGATTGAACAGTGACATATGGATCACTTGTGTGGTTTACAACAACACTACTGGCCCTTCGCGGCCTTCACAAAGGCACGTATCTTATCGAGACTCTGTTGACCATCCTCTTCAACACCGCTGCTGACGTCGACGGCTACGACCCGGTCTCGGTACTCATCAAGTCCGGTGAACGTAGTCTTTACGTTGTCCGGGTTTAAGCCTCCAGCCAATATGGCCTTTACACCATTGTCTTTTGCAAATACCGCTTTAACATCTGATAGGTCCAGCTGTTGACCCGAACCTCCAGATCCAGCGTCCAGAAGGGGCAAGGCGTGATAGCCTCGTGCACCAATGCCATGATCATGTGGGTTGAAGGCTCTGAGAACAGGGACCGGCACGAGCTTAGCCCACTCTAGTGGCTCTTGGCCGTGGAACTGGACAATATCCAAATTTAGCAGCCGCTGCTGCTCAAGTACATACTCTAATGACTGGTTGCGGAACACACCAACCAAAAGGGCGCGGCTGTCGCTTGATACAAGTCGTGACGCACCATGTTCGAAGAAGTCAGACGCGACCTTGGAGTCAGCCAGCAAGCCTGACTTAGATACATTTGGCTTCGTAGTCTTGTGCACAGTTTCGGAAATTGCAAGCGCCGTCTCCGCTGTTACTGTGCGCTTGGTGCCAGGCGCCAGGATCATGCCGATTAGGTCAGCACCAGCGTCGATTGCAGCCTTTGCAGCCTCCGCACTTCGTGTCCCACATATCTTGACCATTGGCGTGGAAGACTTCTGAGATGCCTTCGCCGATGAGCCACCCAGAAGCTCAGCGATAAATTGGGCAGTGTCGGACGCGCGCATTAGCGCCTCGCCAACCAAGACTGCACCCACGCCACTCTTGATGTACGGCTCGACGTCCTTTGGTCCAGCGATACCACTCAGCGCACACAGAATTGTTTCCTTGGGGACCATGTTGATGAGGCGGTTTGTCGTTTCCATGTCAACTTCAAAGTTGACAAGGTTTCGATTGTTCACGCCAATGACCTGAGCGCCCAGCTTCACAGCAATCTCAGTTTCGTCCGCGTTTTGTACTTCAACCAGAGGCTCCATTCCAAGCGACCGGGAGTAGTCGTAGAGCTTCTTTAGGATGGGTTCCTCCAACATCTTGACAATAAGCAACACGGTATCAGCACCTGCGAGTCGGGCCTCGAGGATCTGGTATTCCTCGAAGATGAACTCCTTGCGCAAAACAGCAGGCCGGTTTGGCATTCCCTCGAGACTTTGTCGGACAGCTTTCAGATCATCAATGCTTCCCTTGAACCACTCGGGTTCAGTGAGTACAGAGATGGTACTAGCTCCAGCTTTTGCGTATAGCCTTGCCTGAGCAGGTGCACAGGCGGATAGAGAAATGATGCCCTTGGAAGGCGACGCGCGCTTGATCTCGGCCATGAGTGAAAGTCGGAAGGGAGACTGGCGAAGGCGTTCCGGGAAGTTGAGTTGCGGAGGGGCCAGATTCAGGTCGTATGAAGCCTGTAGGTCGCTAGGTCTTTGGGAGGGAATCTTCTTTTGCTCAGCGACAGCTGCCCTGCGATGCGCGTAGATTTTCTCCAGTATAGACGTCTGCTTATCCTTTGTGGCATTAGTAGCCGTCCCAACCGCTTGGGCCTGTGCCTCTTTCTGCAACCGCTCGTTCTCAGCCCAGGTTCCTCCCTGCATCTTGAGAAAGTTTCGCATCATGATGCGTCCATGTTCGGTCAAGATGCTCTCCGGGTGGAACTGCACACCTTCCACGACGTATTCTTTGTGGCGTACACCCATTATGACCTCCTTGACTTCGGCATCCTCGTTTGCGGGGATGGTAGCGGTTACCTCGAGGCATTCGGGAAGCGATCCGTGAGTGCCAGCGAGCGAATGGTATCTGGTAACGGGTACGTCCTGAGGAACGTTGGCGAACACGCCCTTGCCGTCGTGCTTGAGGGGAGACGTCTTTCCGTGTAGGATTTGACCGGTTACATCTACAGTGCCGCCGTAGCTATAAAAGATACATTGCCTGTATAGACTTAGCAATGCTATTAAGGGCCATATTTGAATCACTCACTCTCCCATGCATACACCGAAGATGGGAATCTTTCCACTAAAGTGCTTGATGGCGTCATTGCTAATACCCGCGTCTTTCTCTGGATGTCCTGGGCCCGGGCTGATTACCAGTTGGGTAGGTTTCTTGGCAATCAATTCATCCAAGGTGATTTCGTCGTTGCGATATACCGTCACCACGGCGCCCTCGAAGACGAGGTACTGATATACATTCCAGGTGAACGAATCATAGTTGTCAATGAGTACGACGTTTGAGGCGGTCGGTATGGGTGGAGAGGGGTTGGGATTGCGCGGCGAGTGGTCGGTCAGTCCAAGGGAAGGCATGGTGGGTAATCGTCTTGTCTCTGTTAATGGCGTGTATTGTGTCCCGCGCTGTTATATAGTTTTCTTCACGTAACAGCTGACAGGAGGGGCTTGTCGGTCCGTTACCGTTACCGGCAGTTGAGTTGTCTTGAATAAATTGCTGACATGCAGAGAGCACGGTCGGGGGCGGAAAAGAGCGGATGTGTACAAAGGTAGCGGGGTGACTCAGGATGCGATGCGCCTATTCAGACATTGAGGTTGCGGAGTTAACACGGAGGTGGCACTTCCATGGCCCTGCCACGGACCTTTGTCCACGACAGCTTCGACAAGTATCACTGCATGATGCGATTGTTGAAGAAGGTGTGTTTTGAGAATGGAGTGTACAAAAAAGAGACTGTTTTACATTTCCATCCCGTATAACACGTGATAGTGTGTGGTGGTGCAGCCGACTAACAAACGTCCCCTTGTGATGATCCCTGCACGTCTTAGCTTGACTTTCGCGTGAGCTTTCGCGACTTTCGTACATGGACTCAAACAATCGGCTTCTCCCCACCCACGCCGATACTAAACCTTCATGGCCTCTGGCTAACTGACCTTCACATCGCGCACTGTAGCGCAGACATGGCCCCCAATCAATTGCCCGAGTTCGATGTGGGCAAGTGCCTTAAAGGCGAACAGCAGCTGGTGTAGGTGTTTACCTTGATTGATGCAGCCAGACGACTGACACCATCAGGACGTGGGATATCGCCTATCGCGCCCTTTGCGACCCGGAAACCGCATCCAAGAGCGAGGCCCTACGCGCCTTCCTCACCGCTAGCGAAAACACCGGCATCCTCAGCCGGCCATGGAAGCCCTTTGCAGACCCATCGCCGCAGGAAGAGACGAAATTTGAAACCAAAACCTCGCCCATTTGCGTCACACCCGCCAAGAGCGACCACTACGATGTGGCTGAGATAAAAGAGGATACTTTGTGGCTATCCAAAGAGGCGCAAATCTCGGAATATGCAGCCCTGCGACTGGTTGTCCAAGAATGGCAGGGCAGGCCAACCGCCCAGCTTCTGAGCGGCCTGACTGAGGAAGAAGCGCTCAGCGTACAGGAAGCGGCAGGTGTTGCGAACCTAGGAGCCTCGACTTTCGTCTCAAACTCGTCCATTCTCGCTACACCGCTCGCCTCAAAGACGGCGCATCTCGAAACCAAGCACCAGCGTCGCCTCCGTATTCTCGATCTATATCACTCCACATGCGCCTCCATCATACGCATCAGCCAGCTCCTCGTTTCCTGGGGCTGCGCGTCCAGCTTGCGCAACCAAACAATTTACGGCAACGACTATCTCAGCATCGGTGCAGGCTGGATCGAAGAGCTTGGCCAGGCTATTACAGCAGCACAAGATGGAGCGGGAAATGGAAAAGCGCTAGACGAGTGCCTCAGGGCGTTTTCAACGAGATGCGATGCCTTGGATACCGGTTATGGCTGGGATGTGGACGAGGCCATAATAGACGCTGCTTCCGAGAAGTGGGTTGTCGCCCAAACCACCGAGCTGTTGCACATTCTTCATCTGGCCCTAGTCCACGCCGACTTGGTTGTCAAAGACTTTTTGCCTGCAGCCACCATTGAGGACTGGCTCAAGGCATTTAATTTCCGCGGCTTCTTTCGCGAGTTTCCAGCAGTCACGCCTCGCCAGGAGCCCCTCATCCCAGTCATACAGCTCTTGACCTCCCTCATGTCATTGACCATCTTGAAAGTGGACAAGATCATGGACGACCTGGAATCTGGAGACTGCAACACTTGGCACCCCTCGTCGTACATTCTCAACTCTGCCGTTGTAGAGAGCATCACCACCATATTTGGAGAAGCAAAGCTACTGGGTGCTAGTCCAGCCACACCACCTATCTTTGCCTGGGCCATCCTGACTTGGAAACTGACAAGCCGGGCGGGCTATCAAGAAGAAGAACGTATGCGTCTTCTTGAAGCATCAGATGGCGCTGGCAACCAGGAATCAGAACCTTCAGTGCTTGAAGAAGCTGCATTGACTGTCGGAAGACTTGAAAGCCACGAGTTGTTTGACGGCAAGATGCCATTTGAGGACCTTGCCACTGCCTGTTCAGCGGTAGGTGTTCTGGCTATTGTCAATCAGCTCGTTGAAATGAGTTTGCCTGCGTTTGGGACGTCAATCGACCGAATTACCCAAGATCGCATCCGTTTGTTATTCCTTCATCTTGTTCGCGCTGCTGTTGGCAGTGATATTGTCGCATACAGTCCGGATCTTATAGTGACTGCATACACCATTCTAGCCGGTGACAACACTTTCCGAAAGTGGGAGAATGGCGAAGTCTCTCGCCATGCTGACCCTGTTGTTGCATACTTTTTGGAAGACGAATATGTCCTCAGACCGCAACTACTAAACGAAGCTCGCCTGCGCTACCCCTATGAGATGGTTCCATTCCTCAAATTCTGCAGTGCCTTGACACGTGGAGACAAAACAATGCAGAACGGTATGCCTACATTTGTGGACAAGCTCGCAAACCACAATCGACTCATGCAACGCCTTCCGGACGGGTTCAACGGCTACGCACTAACACGTGAAGAAGAAAACCTCAACTGGGTCGAGCTTACCGCAGATCTTCCACTGTTCTCTTCAGGGGCTTCTTCCGGCTTTCGCGGTCAACGTCGCCTACTAACTTCAGGCGCCTCAATACAGTCACATGGACTTTCGGTAATCCCAGCCGGCACAGAGGGAATGATCGTTGACGACAACTCCGTGCCGTACGTGGCGGTATGGCACCACCAGCATTCCACGTTATCGTACCTTGTGGAATTACTGTCAACGTATCCTGTAGGAAGCAGCAAGGTGGAGACTGCTACGCAGCAGCCGGCATCGCGTGAAAGCGTGGTCGAAGTTGTTGGGCTCTTTGCAGACCTGATACACTCTTCTTTACACACATCTGATGGCGTATGCTCGCCTGAGTTCCTCGAAACAATCGGCATTGGCGCCGAGGGTAGCCATGATACCATCAGTCTCGTGCTCGCAATCTTCGAAGAGGAACTCTTACATCTCTGCCAGGAACCGAGCGATGACTTATCGCTTGAGCTGTTGGTCAACTGTACACACTTCTTAGAGGCCTTGGTTATCATTGCCCCACAACGAGTCTGGCCTTGGCTCGCTCGGAGTAAATTGCTAGAGGGCGATGGAAACGGAAGCTTGGCAACTATCTTGATTGGCACTGAGATGGTTCTTGGACGATACGACTTCCTCATCGGATGCATTCGGCTATACAGAGGGCTTGTAAAGGATGCAGTGGGAAGATCGGTATCACGCAAAGTCCCTACAAAGGCATTGAGTCGGTTCAACGCACTTGCGCCATCCGAAAGCGGGACTTCGGATAAAATCATGAGCACTATTCTGTTCACCTTTGGTCGGACACTTGCCAGCGTTTACGAGACCTCATTGAGCTGGAAATACTCTCAGCCCAACCACCGCCCTGAGATTAACATCGCCATCTGCGAAGTCTTCAGGACAATCCTGGACCTTGCCTACAGCGTAGACGACTCGCCACAACTATCCGCTAAGCTGACAAAACCTATTGCGCCCATTGCAGAGTACATCACTCAGTTATATCTAACGCGTTCTGACGCAGAGCGCCCGGCGAACCCACTGATGACGTCGCTACTTATCGGGGTGAGCCCCAGCGACACTACATTGCTCACAACATCGACCGCACTATGGAACCAGCAGACTCAGACAACGCTAGCGTTTGCCGACGTGCTTGTCCGAATTGCTATACTACACAACAAGCCCTGGACACATTTGGAGCAGCAACTTTTCAAGGCCACGCCACTATTAGCACGTCTGTACGCTACGAGTGATAAGTGGAAGTCGCAGGTCGTATTGTTACTAGAGGCTCTCGTGCGCGGCGCCGTACGTGTTACCGAACAAGATGACTCGGAAATGGCAGACGGAGACCTGAAGCTGTCCACCCGGAAGAAGGCCGAGCATCGAGAACCCCCTTCGCTACTTGGTCACTTGGGTCCCCGCACTGCGAAGAACTTTTTGAGTGTGCTCTCTCAGCTAGATGAACCGTTGAGGATTGTGGACATTCAGACGAATGTGTGGAACCTGCTTTCAGCGGTGGTCACTTGCAAGCAGCAATGGTTTTCTCTGTTCCTGCTTAATGGAAGCACTCCACGGGAGTTTATCCGTAGCAAAAAAGACGCAACGCACGATTCGAGAAACAAGGCGTTGCTTACGCGAGCTCTCGACGCGCTATCTGATATGCCGCTTCCAGAGAAAGAGCCTAGTGGTCTTCCATGGCCGTTATATACTGCCATGCTAGAGTTTGTGTCATCTGCGCAAAACAACTGGTCATGGGCAATGGGCGACCTGCGACAACGCAAAGACTTGATCCAGAAGTTGCTCGCGTTTCTTAAGTGGATGGCGAAGCAACCCAAGCAACCGCGGATGAGCAACAACATCGAAACCCTAGAACGTTCCTTCGAGAACAGGTTTGCGTCTTTGGCTTGCGAAGTCATTGCCATGTATCTTCATAGTTCGCGGCAAGCGGGCGACATCACCGTACTCAAGGAAGTCGTTCCAGCTTTGACATATCTACAAGATATGGCCCTGGATCTACCTTCTTACAGCACGTCGTTGCACAGTTACCTGAAGCAGAACCTGGAGCAGCAATACCCTGGTGTTTTGCTATCCAACTTCAAGCGAACCACTCTGTACCCAGAAACCTTTGGTCGTGCTTTCTTCTACCACGTCGATCTCGCTCAGCAACTCCTCGGCTTCAACAGCAAGTGGGCTGGTCCTAGAGAAGGCACTGGCTTTGCGTCTGAAGTCGAAAAGGCCAACTACAACTTGGGGCTGGTGGAGTCGCAAGTTCTGCTACTTCATGGCTGGAAGCTGCTGGCTCTGGAGTTGAGTCAGGTATTTGCAAAGGACGAGCGGATTGTGAAGGTACTCACTGGCGTCATTTCTAAGTGTATGAATGCCAATTCGCAGTCGAACCTCCCAGAAGCTTTGTTCGGCCAGCTCATGATCGTTCGAGCGGACCTGTCATTAGCTTTGTTGAAGAAGCTTGTTGAGGCCAAAGTCCGGACGACGGAAGCGCGCCAACTACTTGGCCCAGTATGGAAAGCAATTCGCCAATCTACCCCCGACTTCGACAATGTGTTTTCTAGCGACTCTGTGCATTACTACCGGTCTCTATTGCGCATTCTCTACCTCGTCTTGCACTTCCATCTCATCGACGATACAGACCAATCCGAGGATGCAAACTTCCGCTCGAGCTTCCGCGGCACCATGCCCACAAGTCACAACACCTACACCGAGCCTATTTCCACTCAGCTCCTCGAAATCCTCCAAGACACCGTTGCCAAAGGCTTCCGCAGTCTCGCCACCCAACTGCACACCGACCCCGCAACCGTCTCACCCTCCGACTTTGCCCTCCTCACCGCCCTCCTCCAACGAATCATTGCCATTCCAGAGATGTCGAAATGGCAACAACAAGCCGCACTCCAATTTGCAAACAGCAACACTGTCCGCTACGCCACCAGTCTCTTCTCGTGGGCCGACCGCCTCACCATACCCCATCAGCAACACGCCTCCGGCATGCCCGACCCCATCTACGGCGAACTAAGCATCCTCTTCATTCTCTCCCTCTCCAGTATCCCCACCCTCGCCGAAACAATGGCCGTAGAAGGTATCCTCTCACAACTCAACACGGCGAACATCATGCAATATTTCCGTCGCCCCTGCGGCTCCGGCCCCTTTGACAACCCACCCCGCATGCACAGCATCTGGACAAAAGGCATCCTACCCCTCTGCCTCAACCTCCTGCTATCCGTTGGCCCGCCCATTGCAGCAGAAATATCTGGTTTCCTAAACCAATTCCCCAAACAACTCGCTCGCTCCGTCGGTAGCATCAATTCAAACCCGCCCAGCTCCCGCAACCCCGCCGCCAGCAAAATCACAGCCGCCATCGCGAGTGAAATCCATAGTCTGGCGCTCTTACATAGCATTCTGGAGAATGTGAGGAAGCAAGGGCCCAAACTCGGTATTCAAGCTAATGAGGTGGAGAGCTTGGATTGGGATCATGAGGCTGTGAAGGAGGATGTCGAGTCCTGGTTGGGCAGGAAGGGCGCGCTGAGAGAGCGTATTGTGGCGACTGATGAGAGGGAGTTGGAGTTGCTGGGTAAGAGGAATGGCGAGGGTGAGGATGCGTTGAGTTTGCTTGAGAGTAGGATTTTGGAAGAGTTGGAGGATGCAGGGAGGTGCTTGGGTGTTGGGAATGGGAATGGGAATGGTGGGGCGAAGAAGTAGGGAAGTGATGGGGGTGGAAAAGAATTGGTAGCATTGGTGTTTGGTGTAGGTTATGTTTATCTATGCAAATGTGCTTGTTTTTTAATGGATCTTCTCATTGCCATTCATCTCATTGCATCATGAACGAACGCTGTCTGTCTGCCCATGTGTCTGCGTGAGGATATCCTGTGTCCTAACTCTCTGTACTCCTGCACCTAATATACCTCCAGACAGCTAGACACACGTGCTACCTCGCATAATGGACCCCATATACACCGCTACGGCGCATACCCCGTATCAGACAAGACATCATCTGGTGACATACAAGCGATCCTCCTAGAGAACAGCCCATCCGCCCTCCACCTCCCTGACCTCCAGTGTCGTCAAGCCACCCGCCAAATCAACAGTATCACTATCAATCATATACTCCTCCTCGGACTCGGACTCGCTCTCCGTAAAGGTATCCGTCTCAGTTCCGTAGTGCACACGGTTGTACATATCGATCACAAATTGTTTCTCGTATTCTTCCGACCACTTTGAAGATATCTCATACACCGCCACTCTACGAATCATCTTCTTGCCCACAGTTTGGGCGTCAGCGTCCGCGTCGGTGCCAGCGTAAATGTCGCCAACCTCACCACCCAAGGCAATATGCAAAGGCTCAACAACCAACTGAGTCTCCTCATACATCTCATCAATATACAGGTACGTCATGATACCGACCAGAAGTACGAGCTCAGCCGCAAGAGCTGCACGAAACAGTAGTGGCCCTTTGATGCAGAAGCCGGGCGCGATGATGAAGATGAGGCATTGGAACGCCAGCATGGCTATCAGGATGCAGACTTCGGACTTGTTGGAGGCAAAGGTTTCAAGGAATGTGCGGTCGGCGAAGGTGGGGAGCACCATTATGAGGATGAGGAGGGCGATCTGGGTGCGGTAGATTAGGTTGATGAGGGCTGTAGTGATCCGGGGAAGTTCTTTGGGGTCGTTGATGATTGTAAAGAGTTTGGTTTGGCGCGTGGTGAGATGGTTGAAGAGGGCGATGGTAATGTTCGATGTTGAATTTGCCTCAGAGGTAGCCTGGTCGGTTCCGTTGGGATATGTTAGACGACAAGGTCTCCCGTCTTCACAGACAAATGCGAAGCCAAAGGGAACATCTGGAAGGACCTTTGCTGGAACAGTGGTGTCGGCGACAATGCGTTCCTTAAGCTTCGCAACATCAACATCATGCCGGTGCAGATCGCCGATGATATAACGGACGTAAGCCTGGAACATCTCCTGCTTAAATTCCCTGAAGAAAGATGGCACTCTCTCAGCCAAATACCTAGACCGGTACGCAAAGTTCACCCAATGCTGCTCCAGTCGCTGCTTCGCCGTAGACGCCTTGGCAACAATCAGCGGGCTGAAGACTTGTCTACCGCAGTGCTCATCCGCCCACTCGGTAACGCGGTCGCGGATATTCGGGTATTGGAAGCCAGGGCCCGAGGAGAGGGAGGCGTTGGCAACGTACAGACTGCGGACGAGGCATCGTTCATGGGGTTCCATGAAGCGGCGGGATAAGGGCAGAGAGTCGATGGTGTCTAGTTGGGTGTCAAAGAGGGACTTTACTGACGCCTCAGAGATGTGGGCGTGGGACATGTCGGTCGTGGCGTTGTAGAGTTCCATGTTGTGTCCGGCGGCTATGGAGAGCTGTTTGTTGAAGTACAGGAGGCGTATGGCGATGAAAGAGAGGCACGTGGTGAGGAGGACTAGGCGCGTGAATGCGCGGCCGATCTTGATGCTGTATGTGCTGGTGTGCTTCTTGTCTTTCTTTTTCTTGTCGTCGGAGTCGTCTTTGCCGCTATACTCTGGTCCAGTTTGATCGCCATCGGACAAAGTAGTGTATTCACTACCTGTCTCCTGCATGTCAGCAGGGTCCTCCGGCACAGCTACTGCTGCCACGTCCTTTTCGACGTTCATATTTCTGTCTTCTTGTAGAATTAGTAAATCGTTCGTTAGTTTGTATGGAGATCTGTCGGTCTGGCAAAGTGGGCGAGTCAACGAGTGCGGTTACTGGTGTCGTGCTGCAGCGGGTAATAAGTGTTGGAGTGCGCAAAGTGTTGATGTACCACGGTCGGGGCTGTGGGGCTAGCGACAAATGAACCTGGAACTAGGCAGCACTGGAAAGCAAAAGAAGTCAATGGTATGGTTCGCGGGGAGAGGCTCGTGCGGGAAAGAGATCCAATGGGGGACTGCGCGTATGAGACTCCATACACTGATGATGCGATGGACTGGCTGATTCGTCAGAAGCTCGCAATAGTCCTGCATTTTCTGGAAAGTTCAGATCAGTGTCTATGAGCTAACGAGTAGATTCTGGACGCATGCGAGGCAGTCCCACTTTTACGGATGAATGCAGCTGATGCGAAGTCGACGCGAGAAAACGTGACAAGGTTGGAATCATATTTACACTTTTGATCTGAAAGGCGGTATAAACATGTGATAGGACAACTAGAGAATCATGGGTTTATAGAGTGAGTACTTACTACTTCTTCCGTGTTGATCGTTTGCGGGGCACTTTCCCAATGTCCTCGATATCCAGCATTGCACCTGCCACATCCTCGGCTTTGACCTCAGCAAACTCAGCAGCTACTACCTTCTCCTGCACCGCAACTTCACCCCCAGGCGCTTCGACTTTTACTACAGCTTCTTCTCTCTTGACCTTTGTACTTTTCGATACCACTGCAGATGGACACAGACCTCTATCCGCAAGTTTGCAGTTTCCACATTTCCTTCCAACGGCAAGCATATGGTTTGTCCAAAGCCCACCAGCAAATTGTTGATATCATGCCATTTTTCTTTAGGCAACCATGATTCTAGTGCTGCGCGGGGTTTGTTCGGGTGTTTGGGTCTTGTGCCATTTCCATAGGTTGACTATTCGGTGCACATGAACGTCGACGCCTATACCTTCGGTCCGACCCCAGGCTGCGCTCAGACAGAGATATCCCATCTTTGGTCCGACACCCGGTAGTGATACTAGGCCTTCAATACTATCGGGTATGTCCGAGTTCCACTTGTCTCTAAGTATCTCTGCCGTCTGCTTGATGTACTTTGTCTTGAGGTTGTGGAACCCCACCTTATTGATGAATGCATTCAGCGCTGGTGGTTCGAGTGCAAGAACTGATTCAAGGTTGAAGCCCTGTTTATGTTAGCTGTGAGTGGACAATAGAGCGTGCTTGACCTACGCCTGGCATCTTCTCCTGCATGTTCCGCATAACAGGTGCCAGAACGGTATCCTTGGTCTGGCTGCTGAGCATCAAGGCTATAAGCGTCTGGAATCGTTGGTCGCGCGGCGTCCTCTGCCTCTCCGCCAGACTCTCACATCCCATGGTATCCACCGGAGCAACGTTTTCATTGCGCATCTCCCTGGTTAGGGCATACATCTCCTCCCAGTTCGCCGGCGGTTCAATCTTGACTGTTCCATCACTAGTTTTGGTCTTTTTCGCAGGCGCAGCGCGCGCTTTCTTCGTCTTTGGAGCTTTCTTCGGTGACGTGATCGCAGTGATTGAAGTTTCCTCTACTTCATGCTTAATAACAACTGGATTGCTTTGGCCCCTTTTCCTCTTCTTGGGTGCTGGTTGCGTGTCATTGTCCGAGCTCGGATCCGGCGGCACAGAACTCAATGCAGAATCAGACGCGTTCATCGTATCATTTTCAGCTTCTGCCTTGATCATGCTTGCTCCGGCACTGGGGTTCGCTGCATTCGATGCGGTTCGGGGTTGACGCAAGGCTCTCCGCGTGCTGCTCGCAGCAAGGATTCGCGCTGTATCGCGGGAGATGCGTGAGGTCCGCATCGTAGGCTGGAGATGGTTGATGCCCCTGAAAGAAAGCCCGTCGTGACAACCTGGGGAGGTGAAGCTGCGCGACAGTAATGACGACGACGCGCATCCTTGTACGTAAGCAGCCAATAAGCGCAGATGGAGCTTAGCACGATAGCGCGACATCACGTGCAAAACTCAAAGTCCGGTTTTCTCTTTGCGTATGACGTCATTAGAGTTATCTAAGATTTCTAGTGAAAATAGTCCAGCTAGAATCAATAGATTTACTAATTTCCCGATTAATAAAAACTTAGCATCTAATTCTCTCTTTACATATGACGTCATTTAAACTACTAGAGATTTCTAGTGAAAAAGGCTCAGCTAGAATCAACAGATTTCCCGATTGCCTAATTAGGAAATGACCAAAATTCTAGCTGAATCACGCTTCAGGGTCTCCCTTCACCCAAAATACCAGCTATCCATAACTGTGGGCGTGCCCGACACGTCTCTTCAGATGTCTTGTGTCGCGTATGTCCTTTTTTTTCAAGTTACTCGCCTGTGACATCTTACGACATGGAGTGATACCATGATTATGGTGTTCTACGCGGTTTTGCTACAAATCTTCCACGATGGCGCATCCTGTTCCGGCTGGACCAAACAACGCAGCATTTGAATCTTGCAATACATCCTCGTATCATATCTTACAGTAGAACCCGAGCAGTTGGTTCGTGCAGGGCCGATGCAAGCTAATTTGGCGCGTGCGGGGACTCGGCAAAATGTCGCAACGTCACGACTTCAAGACACATTGTGTCGTCTACCCTGAACCGAAAGAAGGTGACTACATACCAAGCTCAGACATATAATCACCTACATCAACAAGTGTTATGCTGCGAGAACGAATGAAACAAGTGGAACTCCTGATCCTAGGCGCTGGCTGGACGTCCAACTTCCTAGTCCCGCAACTGGAAGAGGCCAACATACCATACGCTGCAACTACGACTACGGGAAGAGATGGCACAATACCTTTCAAGTTTGACCCAGAGTCAGGAGATTCGGAGCCTTATAAACGCCTGCCCGCTGCCGAGACGGTGCTCATCACCTTTCCTTTGGTGGGCCACAACCAGTCGAAGGCTCTAGTCGGATTGTATCGCTCCTTACACGGAGCGAAGAACAACTGGATCCAGCTGGGCTCGACTGGTATTTTTAACCAGCTTCCCAATGAGTGGAGCACTTCTGACTCCCACTATGACAAGCACAATAAGCGAGCCATCGCAGAAGACGAGCTACTCTCACTACACGGCTGCGTGTTGAACCTCTCTGGACTTTATGGTGGCGAGCGCGTCCCTTCAAGGTGGCTCTCTCGTATTGTCAAGTCAAAAGAGGATATACAAAAGCGTGGGGCAGTACATTTCGTCCACGGCGATGACGTCGCGCGTGCCATCATCGCTACTCATCGGAATTTTACTCCGGGAAAACGCTGGATTGTATCAGATCTACGTGTCTACGATTGGTGGGATCTCATCATGAGTTTCAGTGCCACAGTCAGTTTGTCTGCCGGAGAAGAGCAGCAGCTCGCTCAAAAATGTGCTGGGTGGGTTGGCGAGCTCATGGCGGAGGAAAACGTTCGCGCTCTGCCCCGCGACACGAGTACTTTGGGTCTGAAGTTAGACTCTAGAGAATTTTGGCAGCATCACGCGATGTGGCCTCAGCATAAACGATTATCCTGAGGTCGTAGAGGTCGTTTTGAGCAGTTTAGTATGTAATCATACTTTTTGTAGGCGTCTGTGTGGCTGCTGCTATGAAAGTTCTGCTGCAAAACAAACACACAAATTTATAGACCCTGACGTTTTTAGGCGTTTTCTCGGCTGTGCCATGGAAACGAAGACATCGCCCAAGGAATAGCCTACATAGACGTATGATTACTGCCTACAATCCACTAGCGTCTCTCGCATTATTGGTAGTTCATATTTATAAGTGAGGACTTGGACAGTCAAGCGGTAATACTTACCTAAGTCATGACTGCCCCGTAATTTATCCACTGTTAGACCTACCGCACATGTGTCCATCCTCGCTTCGCAGAGTATAAAAAGTGTACCTCCCACTCATCCTTTCCTCTTAGTCTCCAGTGTCTTAATATTCTTGCACTGATCCCAACGTCTCAAAGCCCTTCTAGCAAGCAATACTCTCATAGACACACATACACAAAAACACATACTCCCTCTACATCAATACCCTCTTCCAGCGCAATCATGCCGCGCCTACCCAAGAACAATCAACAAGGCGGCTCGAGCGTGACCAAGGTCACCAAAAAAAGACAAACTCGCCGTAAGACATCATCACCACCATCTTCGCCTTCTCCTCCTCCCACTACTCACTGGAGTGACGAAATGGGGCAAACCCTTAACTTTGGGCGTCCGGTTCCCTTCCAGGACAACTGGCGGCCGTCTCCTCCGGCTCCAGCACCACAACCTCAACAACATGGGGTTTATGCCCAGGGCCCTTTTCCTGGGCAAGCGCAAAATGAACATTCTGTTGCGAATACCCATTTTTACTCCTACACTGCGCAGGAGTCGCAGGGATACGGACAGGTACAGGGTACCCAGAACAACTTCGCTGCCCCGTCACAGCAGCAACCCTACTTTTCACAAGACCCTCAGATGGTCTTCGCTGCACAGATGCAGCCACAAGGTATTGGTACATACCAGACCCACAACAACTTCGCTGCCCCGACACAGCAGCAGCCGTACCCTCAAATACAGGGTATGCCGAATACATTGGCTGCTATGTCAGAGCAGCAAGAACAAAATTCATTCCTGCCTCTCCAGGAGCCAAGCCAGGAGATACCTGCTCCCCTCCCCGAGCTGTACCAAGACCCCCCGGTGCAGACCACTCAGCAGCGAGATGATGTGTCTGCGCCTACCGCGCCGGATACGATCGACCCATTTTTGCTGGACACAAGCGCAAATGTGCCGGCTACGCAAGGCGCGTCTATCCCAGACGCAAACCAACCCATCGTCGCATTCACTACCTCCTCCAAACAAGAACTCCTCGAATGGATTCCCACCGAGCCCGTCTACTCCAACCCCGACTTCGACGCCTCGCTCGACGTCTTTGACTACGACGCCTACGCAGAACAATAGACTGCGTTGCATATTTGGGATGACGTGATAAAGGGATGGCTGTACCCTGTACCGGGTTGAGTGCCGTTACAACGTTTGATTGACAGATGATGGTTGTTATTATATACAGTAGTTTTGAATGAAGTTTCGATTATACTCATGTCTTTGAACGTGTCTGTGTGTGCATCGATATGTATAATATTTTCAGTATTCTCTAAAGAAAATCCGCTCTTTCACTCATGGTATAAGCAATACGAACAGAGATATAATACCCCGCTAACTTGAGAACTCCTGCGAAAGAAAAAAGAAACAAAAACAACCCACCAATACCTCCCCCTTCTACCACAAGTAATCAGGAAACGGAGTACATGTATGTTTACACCAACCGCCATTTTAATGGCGGTGCTTCTCTTCTGTGGAGAATTCGTTGCTTTGATATAAATTAAAAAAAAAATTGGTTGCGATAGTTTCGGGTCGACTGTACCACGGTACCAACGTCGCTGCTATCCGCTATTCTCACGTGCGAACCATACATCATGATCTAACTACATCATCATATGCAACATCACGATGACCAACTCTCAACGTACTCATCATTACAACTACCTTTTTTCCCAAAGAACCACCGCATGTAACTCAGAGATTAAATGCATCACAATAGACATGTGTGTATGATTAGCTAACCAGTTGGTATTGTGAAGTGGCATGTAGCACGAACCCGGGCATTACCAAGGAGCAACCTTTTCAACATCGCTCCTTGGTAATGCCCGTGTGTGTATGTGTATGCGATCTATTCTATGCTGACGCTGATGTGAGAAAGATGTTGGATGCGACAATGGATGTGATACTGTTTTGGTGATGAACGCTCAAAATATGGTACCATGGTACAGTCGACCTTAGAGCGAGGCACCCGAGACTACCGCATCCAAAGATTACATCAAAGCAGCAAATTTGCGGTCGAAGAGAACCCCTATCAGGTGATGCATAAACATGTGGTAGATGGATACAAAAGCAAGCCCCCCGCAACGCTATGCAAGCCAGAAAATGCTTCGGCCAGTCCAGGCCATGAGTAACACTGAGAAAAAAACAAAACTCTAAAGGTATAAAAAGATAATCTAGGCTCAGCCCCATCTACAAAATAGCAAAGTAACACTTGTTCGTCTTCATGCTCTTCTCTATTACACCTCAATATTCTCAAAAGGATCGCGATCCGGCGGCAATCCTCGATAGATAACTTTGCCCCCCGCATCCAACCGCGCATTCACACTCGTAATCCACACGCGCTTAGTAAACGCACTCGTACGCTCAATCTCGTCCTTAGCGACACCGAGCTCGTCGTGCGGGATCCAGACGGCGGGCTGAATGGCGCGGGAAGCCGGGTGTTGAAACGAGCGCTTGATGAGTTTTTGGCGGGCTTCGGGTTCAATATCTGCGAGCTCGTCGTCGACTTCGTCGAAGAGGTTGCCGGCGGGGAGGACCTGAGCTTCGGCATCACGGATAGGCTTGGCTACGTCGTCGAGGCCCTTTTTCAGCGTGTTGGCGAGGATGTCGAGGGGATCCTTGTGTTTTTGAGATTTCTTTTGCGAGCGCGAGTGGGAGCTTCGGCGGGAGCGGTTAGCCCAGCTGGTTTTGCGGGAAGTGTTGGGGCGGGGTGATTGGGCGTAGCCAGCGGATTGTATGTTGCCGTCGAGGTTGCTGAGCTCGTAGGATTCGTGTTGTTGCTTGTTCTGCTCGTTGCGCTGTGCTTGTTCGTGCTCATCCGCTGGCCAATAACCGTCTTGTTGGGAATTGAGAGACTGGTGTTCGGAATTGTTGTTCTTCTCCCAGCGACTGGCCTGTGCTCGCTGCCACTCTTCATCTCTCATGACCGCCTCGTCCTCAAACGTGATCGGTAGGTACGTGAACAGAGGACCGAAAGCTCTGTTGAGCACAACCTGGAAAAGAACAGTGAAAATGCCCATGATGATCATGATGACAGCATGAGGGAAACATGATTGTCTGCCTTGAGTGTCTTCTTGAAGGAAGAATAAACCAACAAGGCACAGCTCCAGAAAGTAAAGCCCAGTAAAGAGTTGGTTGACCGCCTTTGGAAAAATAAGGCCATTGGTTTCGGCCTTGGCATAACTCACGTAGATCATCTGGTAACGGTAGGTGAACCAGAAGAGACTGAATGTTATCAACATCATTATAAGGATAAGGGGCGAAACCACAGAGTAGATGATACCGATTGCACCAAAATTGGTGTAAACAGGTATCATGGTACCCCAGTTGATGCCAGGCCTTTGCAGCACCCTAGACACCTTCTCTCGCGGCGTGGTGTCGAGGAAACGGAGAAAAATGATGACGACGACAGCACCAATCTGTAGCAGAGTACCAGAGCTGATACTAAGAGATTGTAGAATCATGTAAGAGAAGAAGTAGTTGGCCGCCTTGGGCAAGTTCTTCGCCAAGGTTTGTGGGACGCTGGTAGGATTTTGGAGAAGGGTGTCGATGGTGGCAGTGATACCGGTCGAAATGGACACGACGAGGAATAATTGGACGAACACGAAGGCGAAGTAGAAGTTCTGGACGAGCAACTCTCGTTCGCCTAGCGTGGTTGTACCCGTAACACCAGCGAGGAATCGCAGGATCAGAGGTAGTACAGCGAAGAGAATAGCCAAAAACGCCGGCGGCAACACACCCTGGATGAAACTAAGCAACCATCCGGGGAGTGTTTCGAGCCATCGCAGCCAGTGCAGCGTATCGGTAAGTGTCTCGATCTGGGATAAGGCTCCCGTGAACGTGACAGGGATACCCCAAAAGATGATGAGTCCGACGATGATGAGAACGACACCAAACATGCGGAGATAGCGCTCCCACCACTTCATGGTCAAATTCTCCCACATGACGTAGTTGGGGTTGACCTCTACAGTTCGCGGGTTCATTTGTCGAGGAATATGGTAGCTGAGCGATTGACAAGCCATGTGCGCTGCAACCTGGTGGTTGAACTGAATAAAGGCCGAGTTCATCAACGGGAACCGCTCCGGGTGAGCCTGATCATCAGCAATCTCAGCGTTGAGGCGCGCGAGTTCCTTGCGGCAGTAATAAATCGTGTCCACCTTCTTGCCAATGAGCGGAAGGGAGGGCCACCATGACCAGTTGAACAATGGGATACGCATGGTTTCTCGGTCCTTTGGCCTCAAGTACTTTCTCCAAAGAGCGTCTTCGCCATCCTCTTCCATGGACTCGTCGTACAGTCCAGACATATTATATTTGGTCTTTTCAGGGTCCTTGACTTCTAGTGGCAGTTCTTCTCCCTCTTTCTGGAAAGGCTTTGGGCTCACAAAGTCGCCATGACCAACGTAGACAGCCTTGAGCGTCTGGAAAGGATGCTTCCACCCGATATTAGCAGGTTTCTGTTCATCCTCCTCGGCTGCCGGTGCCTTGAGTTCCGTCTTGGGCGAATTTGGGCCGCTCGCAGTACCGTCAGAACCAAAGGTTTCTTTTTTCGCAAGCGGGGTATCAGTATCGGTACTTGCACCTCGCTGTTGAAAGTCGGCGGAGAGTGGCGAGGTTTCTATAGCGGCATCGATGCCGTCGACGTTGCCATCGGGTTTGGCTGGTTCTTGGTTTTGTGGCTGAACACGACGCTGCTTTCCCACAAATACACCTCGTACACCGCCGTAAACCTTCTTATTGAAGCGGTCAACCCCTTCACCCACGTCACGAAATCCCTCGCCAACAGCGTGCATGCCATCCCCTAGAAAGGCGATGGGTAATTTGGCACGCTTACGATCCGGGGAACTTGACCGCGAGGAAGAGGACGACGATGACGGGGACTCCTCAAGGACCTTTTGAAGTTGTTGTTCGATTTCGTGAGGGTTACCAGCATCCACACCGTGGTCGTGGGTTTCCTGATTGATAGCATGGTTCTGCATGGCCTCGTCCTGCTTCTTCTCTTTTCTGGTCTTTTTCTTTTTGCCCGCTTCTTTCGCTGCCTTCTCTTCCATTTTCTTGTGCTTCTGGGTGCATGCGATGATGAGGTTCGTCTCGGCGGCTTCGAGCGCGCGCGCGATCTTGGTTCGCTTCTCGACTTTCTCCATGAGTTCGTCGTAGTCGCGATTGATCCAGATATCCTTGATGCCACCCGGGAAAACATCATAAAGCGCATCCAGAGCGGCGACGGTGAGCCACTTCTTAGGAATGCTCTGGACAAGAATCGTGGTCGCGGAAGCTCGAATGCGATGATCAGGCCTTGTAAGTACAGTCTGCCTTAGGCGCACAAACTGCCTAAGGGCTAGATAAAAGTTGAAGCACACCCAGACAATAACGCATACGGCCAAGATTAAGTGCGCCCATAGGCGATTGTGCTTTTCTGGAACGCCTACATTAGGCCATGCAAAGGAATCCAAGCCCGATATCTCGGGCTCGTCGCCTATTCGGTTTATGGGCAGAAGGATGGGCAATATGACGAGTGCCATGGGTACGAAGATGCGGAGCAGGAGCTGCAGGTATTGGAGAAAGAGATAGCCATCGACGCCAGCGATGCGAACAAGCTCCGAGTCACTAATGGTGAATACATTCTTGAATGATTCGATTGCGGTTACGGGAGCCGAGATGCGCTTGGCTACTGGTACAAAGGCCGTCTTGTAGTAGCTGTATTTTGTTAGTGCATGTTGGTCATTGTGAGTGTTGTCGCATACTAGATTTTGTGGAACAGGCTTTGTCGCGTTACTGCCTTGTCATTTTGATCGGCATGACGAGGTTTTGTCTTGTGTAGCTTCCAGTTGCCACTGAGGATTAAGAAAAAGGCGATCTGCACACCGAAAATAACAGCTGCAGTCGACAGCGAAGCTGCGAAGTTTTCTATGCTCTGGTTCTGGTTTTCAAGAGCCGCTCCTGCGCCACCCTTGACCGGCGACGTCGAAGACGGGTCAGCAGAAGTGGTGGTAACCATGGTGTCGGCCGCAGAGGGTTGTGGTGTTGCAGGGCGCGCAGATTGTGGAGACGCGAATTAACCCCTGTCGTTATATGCCGGTGGCCATGAACGAATTCGGCGAGGCAAGCAGCCGCTACTGTGTGCAGTTGCAATGGGAGAGCAAAAGTATGTGTAGGGTGAGTACCTAGTATCGTGGAGAGAAAATGAGAGTGAATTAGGAAAGCGAACGAGGGTCCGAGGGAGTTATCAGAAGGCGTTATTGATTCATACACGACCGGGGTATTCGGCGCGTTTCAAGCCTTTGCATTCCCTGATGCGCGCTTGGACAAAGCCTTGGCGGCGTCACTGGCTTTCATGGCTGTCCATGGTCTCGCTAGCCGCCCGCCGTTTGAGCCAAACGATAAGTGTCCTTGGTGAGGATGCGAAACGGCTAGTTCTACTCCAACAAAGACCCTTTGGTCGTTTGATACTCTACAAAGACATCTGCATTGTTTGCGCTCGGCATAACAACGAATCTCCAGATACCACAGTCGCGACAGACCCGCCTTTGTGGGTACAGGAGCATGACAGATAGTGGGCACAGGAGTGCATCTGATCTGAGCCTCGCCCCGGCCATATGACGTTAGGCTGTATCCGCTGTACCAAGAACATCACTCCGTATTTACGCCGCAATGCACGTGCCGATAGGGTGGGGGCTCTGGGGACTACGTGGCGCAGAGTGGCGCAGGAGTCGTTGGAAAGAGCAATGAGGTTAAGATTGCCAAACAATGACAAGGAAAATTTTAGCAGTGATCGGGCGATATGCAATCATGTTGATGAAGATCATGTGCAGAACTTGCGGTGAGTTATGAAGAGTGACATTCACAGGACACTATATTACCAACTTTTCCACTGCATTCCATACATGCCAGACAGACGGCCGAATTGAAGATGAATGAAGGCGTTCGCGGAAAAATAACCCCGTCATGCCAGTAGTTAGATAGTGCTTGCGGCTTCAATCTCCGCCTTCACTAACGCTACATGTGCAGTGCGTTGTCAGAAACCAGGTTGGAGACTGGGCAGATGCAACCTTCCCAATCAGGCAAGTTGTAATAGCTGTTGATTGCGGCCCTATTCAATCGACCTCAATTCTCATTACGTCATCAAACCAGATCCTTCCTAAAGAGGCAACTTTTTGTTTCATGCGTCGAACCCGGTATGCAGGTTGGTGAATTGACCCTTGTCATCCGAACTAGGGCAAGCGCCCATCTCGACGCGTCCCCGCAATCCGATCAACATATTCCCAAATTCTAATTCAACGAACCGCCCAACAATCGTATAATGGATCGACGCGTACCGGCAGCAGCATCCAAGCAGGCCACGGTCGTTGAGCAAAAGCAGCTTTTCTTACAGACACGCAAACATATCCTATCGCGTGGAATTCCGCCCTCAGAACGACTGCGCACGCTTGCACAAGATGGCGGTATCGAGCTTAGTGTCATGAAGGGAGTTTTGGAAAAAGGTAGAAGACGAAGACATGTTTGGATGCCATTTCATGCTGATATGGCTTTCCAGTAAATCGCGACTTGAAACAACACTCGCGCAAAGTATACAGCCGCCAGATGATAGAGCACGTCGTCGAGCAGATCGACACTCTTTACTGGGAGTCGGGCGCACAACACATCGACGACGAAGACACACATGCCACATCCGATACACATGAAGACGATGCGAACGCGCTGTATCAGGGCGACGACCTCACACTCGATGAGAATATTGCGAAACTGCCTGCTACATGGCATGGCCGTGATGCGAACAGCGATATAACACGAGACGAATACCTCTCCTCCCTGTCCCGTCTCCAAGAACTCTCCGCACATCGACAAACGCTGCAGAACCGGCTTGACTCGTATCGCACCCTACTATCGCTCCTTGAACCGTATCGCGCGCCAAAGGAGAATATACAGCCAAATTTGGTATGGAAGGATGCGCCGCTTGCGCCAGAGTTGGCAAAGACGCGGACGTTGGCTATACGTGTTGCAGCGAGGGTAGAGGAGCGATTCGGTGATGTACAGGTTCCAGCGACTGCGGAGGATGAGGAGGACGTTGACATGGAAGACCTCGGGAATCGCGGGCGAAACAAAGTAGATGCAGTCCTGGCGAGCTGGTAGTTGTTTTCGCTTTCCCCAGCGTGATTCGGTTATGGCGTTTGGATAAAGATACCCTTGTTGCAATTATCATGGACATCCCAGAAAGCCTTCTTCGGCCCTCCACCATCTGCGGGACTGTTACATATCTCGTGTCCTCCATCAAGCTCCCAATATCATGATGGGACTTCTTTCCGCCGACCTCAACCCTCAACCCCACCGGAACTAGTTTCCTGTAGCCGAAGGGGGCCAGGTCAGGAATGTGAGGAATCTTATGAGCAGTCAGTAAACCACCTGATTGAATTTGTAAATAGAGAACAACTTGCATACAGCTGCAGGGTCGCGGGTAGAAAGTTGGATTGGGACATGGTAGAGTCGTGTACTTCCATGGTACAGCTGACCAAGCTGAGGTGCAAATCACTCTGTCGCTATCTGGAGCATCAATGGTATAACACACGGTCACAGCTACCGGATTGTTTACAGATAACTTAGAAAAACGCATGCTTCCTTGCGGGGCATGAAGACGCAACTTAATGTTCAGGATGGTCTGGCGCATGAATATCCATCAAAAGCTAATCATCATGGCTCGACATCATCGAAGGACATGTGTCTGTAGTCATCGTGATAGGCAGGGGATATCGGGAGTGGCGGCGGCGGCGAGGTACGACCGAGACCCGCCGCTAGTCAGCTCGACGGTCCACTAACGTGAGACGTAACACATCTACTTCAACTCAATCAATCCTTCATCGAACGAGCAAAATGTTTCTTCTTATAGTGTTCTTATTGATCATCATCCCCATTTGCACATACAATGTATCCAAGGCGCGCTTCGATCGAGGCTCGCAAAGCACCGCGTTGCAACGGCCACCAACGGTTCCCTATCTAGTTCCCGGGGTCTTTCACGCTTTCAGCCTAGCATTTGACGGACCGCAGAAGTACTTTGCGACTTTGATGTATGTAGCTTAACCCCTCTCCTGGAACATACTGACGATTGGAAGTAAGGAACATGGCAAATTTGCACCTTTTGCTGTCAAGGCAGGATTACGATCATTCGTCGTTCTCCGGGATCCTGAACACGTGAAGAAGATCATCGATGCATCCAAGCAACAAGGGTCAGATGTCTCCGACAGTCGCATTCATGAAGTCACTTTTGGTTCATCCAAAGCGGTTACAAATCTGCTTGCCGGTAGTACGCCAAGTGATGGAAAAAAGGAAAAGACCAGACAAGTGCGCACGGCATTGACGCAAAAGTACCTAACCGGCACATCGCTGGCTAACAAGACTAATACCTATGTCAACACACTTTCGCGTAATATGAATGACAAAATGTTCCAAGTCGGGAGCTGGACTCAGATCGAGGACGTTTGGTCCTTCTTCCAACAAGTCCTCACCAGATGCTCTGTAGAAACATTCTTTGGATCGGCAATATTCAAACAATACCCTAAGCTCATCAAGGATTACTGGCTATTCGAAGATGCGGTCGAAGGCTTTGTACCAGGCATGCCACTTCTCCTCGTATCAGGCTCATACAAAGAGCCTCGCGATCGCTTGTGTCAGAACATCGAGAAATGGCTGAAACTAAATCACAGCGGTACTGAGTTTGCAAAGGTTGGGGAGGAAGATCCGGATGTGGATGAACACAAGGGTTCGAAGTTTATCCAAGAAAGCGATGATCTTCTTGCCAAGACCGCACTGCCCCTAGAGGCTCGGACAGCAGAGATGCTGGACATCATACACTGGTATACATGGGCAGTTACATAAGCTGAGCGCAGGATAACTAACACTTGTTTATAGCTCCAACGCGAACTTCATTCCTTCCACAATTTGGACACTGATCGAAATTTTACGCAAACCTCATTTAGCCGAACACCTCACTAGTATCATCACCGAATACCGCTCACCAAAACTAGGCACGTACGATGTAACTGGTATCGCAACTCTGCCTCTGATGAAATCACTGAAAGAGGAGATTAGCCGTCTACGTGTGGCACAGTACATGGCCTACACCAACGATTCCAGCGATATCGTCTTGGATAAGCGTTCGGTCCTTCCCAAAGGTTGTACAGCGATAGCGTTTTCGCAAGACTTTGCGCTCAATGCGGAGTTGTGGGCTAGTGCGCGACCCCGCGTTGTTGAGAAATCCTTGGAGGAGTTCTGGGCTGAGCGCTTTCTGATACCAGAATATCAGAATACAAAAGTATCAAGTAAGCAGCGAAAGAGCAAGGATGGCATCGAAACAGGGCAGTTCAGTATGGAGGGGCTAGAGCAGTTGGCACCAGCTTTTGGAAATGCGCATGCTATTGGATTGGGCAGGGAATACACTGAGGCCATGCAGACTGCGACTTTGGCCGTCTTGTTGAGCGAGTTTGAGTTTGAACTTTGCGACCCGGATGCGACGGACGCAGCAATGCCGCAACTGCGTGAGGTCGCTTTCGGAACCGTGCGACCACAGGAAGGTGTAACTGCGCGCATACGAAAACGGAAAGCTGGTGGGAAGGTTTGATGTCCTTCAATATTGTAGGTCAAAGTTGGTTCCAATGGTGGCGCATGGCAACCATGCACCTGCATCTCGTAAGCACATGTCATTAGTTGGTACAACTGAGTATGGGTGGGATGACAATTTAGACGCCGTATTCAGCCACAATCTACGCTGCAGTGTACATTCTTGTATGTAAGACATTTTCTGTGGCATCATTACCCCACTTTGTGTGGCTTTGTGTAATGTTCCTCGCTCGCCCCCGGAACTCTCACAACAACAGACACAATCACCTACTAAACATTAACAATTATGCTATCAGTTATTGCAATAGTGAGTGCCTTTGCTGGTACCTTCGTTTCATATTGGATCTACAAAGCTATCTACAACCTTTGTTTCCACCCTTTGGCCAAGTTCCCCGGTCCCCGTTGGGCTGCTGCATCTTACCTTGCCGAATTCTACTACGATGTCGTACAAGGTGGACAGTACTTCAAGAAGATTATTGAAATGCACGAGAAATATGGTAAGCCTCATATCCGCAGCTGTCCACCTCACATCGCCTAACAAGGCACAGGTCCGCTCGTCAGGATAAACCCCCACGAGCTCTCCTTCAACGACCCCTTCTTCTACGACAAAGTCTTCTCCAGCAGCGCCCAAAAACGCGACAAAGACCGGTACCAAACCACCCAGGGCGGCCTCCCCTCGACTGCAATCACGACAATCGACCACGACCTGCACCGCCAACGCCGCGGCTACGTCTCGCACCTCTTCTCGAAAAAAGCTATATCCTCACTCGAACCCGTAATCCAAAGTAAAGTCGACCTCCTCGTTTCAAAGTTAAAACAAGCCCACGCCAAACAAGAGATCCTGGCCGCCGCCTTCGTCTTCGGCGCCCTTACCACCGACGTCGTGTCGCACTTTTCCTACGGCGAGTCTTTCAATGAGCTGTCTAAACCGGGTTTTCCGTGTGAACTTGTGATCGTCATGAGGGGTTTGCTGTTATCGTACCACTGGCGTCGGTTTTTCCCCGCGATAGATGGCGTGTTGAAAAGACTACCCTCGCGGTTTCTCACATGGCTGAATCCCAATCTCATCGCTTACCTGCAGTTTGACTCTCGTATTACACAATTATCCAAAGACGCGCTAGAAAAGAATAGTAAAGCGCCGGTGCCGGAGAAACCGAGGACGCTGTTCGACGCCCTTACTAACCCTGACATCCCGGTCCATGAGCGCACATTGGAACGAATGAAGAATGAAAGCGCGGTTGTGCTGTTAGCGGGGCTAGATACTACGGCAAGATTTTTGACGGTTATGACGGCTTATCTTGTTGAGTTTCCGGATGTGTTGGCGAACTTGAAGGAGGAAATGAGGGGGCTGGTGGAGAAGGGGGTGGAGAGGCCGAGTTGGAGTCAGTTGGAGGGGCTGCCTTATCTGGTAAACTCCGTTTTGCTTCCGTTTTGATATGTGGCATTGTAGCTGATATGATACACAGACGGCGTTTATCAACGAGTCACTTCGGTACCGCTGTTACCTTACCGGACGTTTCGCACGCGTCCCTTTACAGCCACTAGCGTATAAAGAATGGGTTATTCCCCCTCAGGTACGTCTTCCTCGCTCACTCTCCTCCCTCATCGTAGTCATGCATTGACATTTTGCCAGACGAGCGTAACTGCAATGCCGTACCTCCTGAACAGCCACCCGGACGTCTTCCCCGATCCAGACACCTTCCGCCCCGAGCGCTGGATCGAAGCCAGCGCCAGAGGCGAACATCTAGAGAGGTACCTAGTGACGTTTACAAAGGGAAGTAGGATTTGTCTGGGTATCAAGTAAGTTTTCTACCCGACACCTTTCAGCGATTCAAGTACTAAATACATGTGTAGCCTTGCGTATGCGGAGTTGTATCTTACGGTTGCGGCACTGGTGAGAAACTTTGAGCTAGAGCTTGTAGGGTGCTCGATCAAGGATGTTGTGTCGTATAGGGACTTTGGGCTGGGATTTAATAAGGAGTATGATTTTGGTGTGGATTTTAGGGTTAAGAGGGTGTTGTAGGTGGGGATGGGATGGACGTGGAGCCTCGCAGTAGCAGAGGGTAATGATTCTGATGTGTGTAATATGGGAGGTGGATTCAAGTGTAGATTGGTATTTGAATGGACGAGCAAGAATTGTATTGCAACGACTAGCCCTGAATAACTCATACACAGGCCTTCAGCTTGCATCACCTGTTTTCCACTTTGCATCCATCACTCTTACTTCTTTTCATTTAATTCATACCTCCCGATTTTCTGGATCCTACCTCTATCTCTTCGTAAGCCTTGTCATTTCCGTCAATTCAGCTTCTTGGAGTACTTACTGGCGTGTCTGCTCCATCTACCAACTGAGATCCAGTCAGATCCTCACAACTTAACCGCTGTGCCTTCTTCCAACTCGATTGTGTCCACTTTGGGCGGTGCGTTGAAGGGTGGCGCCGGATTAGCGAGGAGGCGATTAAGCTGCGGCGGTGCAGCGAGGGTACGCGCGACGAGCAGAAGTATCGTAAGGAAGAGCATTGTAGCTGAAAGACTTTTGTGAGAGCAGTGCGCCATTTTGTCGCTTATCTGCCTGATACGGTGATCTTCGGCTGCTTGGAGCTTCTCGTATCGCTTGTATGTAGAAGAACAACCGCTGAGCTTGCTGAACTTTCACACTGCGCTGCAAGATCTCGGGAGCACTGCGCTTATGACCACAACCCTTCGGATCTATGATGCCTAGACCAAATCAACCCATTTTTTCTAGCGGCATACGAGCTTGGTAAGTGTTGGATACATGGGTGTACACGGGTAAGCGGCGTTGTGGTACGGATGATTGCAGAGAGTCAAGGGTATTTGCGTATGGATCTTTGTGTTGTACACAGTAGAAACACGGCCATGGAATTTTCGGGGATGGATTTGAGTAACGGGGCGTGTGTTACGCTCACTGGATGACGCAAGATATTCGTTAAGCGCTTGTAACGCGTGCGACTGTATGTGTCGGTTGTGTTGATGCACTTGCGAGGATGCGGGCTAGTGAGGAGATATCCTTCCAGGCCAGATTTTAGCGGGCTTTGACTGCGGGATGGTTGCAGCGTAGGCATGTATGTTGTTGCCTAGATGTGTATGGGGAACAGTGTCAAGTGTAGTGAATGGTAGTAGTCGTCGCATGGTCGGATATTTCTCGGTATATCAGAGATTACCTAGAACACTGCAGGGCTGCGGGGATGTCACTGCGAAGTACCTTCAAACCAATGGTGCTATTACTTGGTGACTATATCTATTTTTGTGTCGTTTCTGTAAGAGCCTCGCCTTCTGCTGTAGTCGTTCCTTCAGGATGGTGATGTCGTCATTAGGGGTGAGCCTGATCACGTGATAGTTCAAGGACACATGCCAAAAAGAAGACCTCCGTCGATCTCTCTGAATTGTTTATGTCAGAATAGATGCTTGTCATGACTGAAGGGGCACATTAGCGGGATGTGGGCGGCCATCCAAGGCAGAAGGGGCTATGCGCAGATCGTACTAGCCCATCCCAGCTCAGGCGCCCAACCTTGAACACTTACTTCTACAAGCTGGTGCAATTATCGATGATAAAACCTCCTCATAATTTTGACCGTTCAATTGTAGACAAGATTTGCATCGCTCTTCCACTACCTTCACCACTCAGCAGCGCCTTCGCGATGCGTCTTCTGCAGTTGAAGGCCGATGACAGCCTCAGCCTTGTCGAATTCATGGACAGAGATCCCGAGACTTATGCCATTCTCTCATATACCTGGGGCCCGAATAACGAGGAAATCACGTATCAGGACTTGCTCAGCGGCACAGGAGGCAGAAAAATGCTACGTCTATCTCTCTGATGTGTCATGCGGAGCAGACAGCGTGGCTTTATTCCCATAAAACAGATGGTTCACCCGAGTATGGACGCTTCAAGAGCTTCTTGCACCAAACAGCGTGGAACTCTTTTCGCTAGAAGGAAACATTCTCGGAGACAAGCATACAAGAGCGCAAGAGATATCTGAGGTTATAGACATAGCAATTGAAGCTATCAGAGGAGAGCCTATGTCTCAATACAGCGTTGGAGAAAGAATGACATGGGCCAAAAGAAGAACGACTACGCGCAAGGAAGATGCGGTATACTCTCTGCTAGGAATCTTCGATATCCAAATGCCTCTCTTATACGGCGAAGGCGAAGAGAAAACTCGTAGACGACTACACAAAGAAATAAGAGAATTTTCAACAGATACTTCAATGGATACCAAAGACCTTGCTAGAGAGGTACAGATTAGCAAAATACACCGGTGGCTGTCACCACCGGATCCATCAGTCAGCTACCAGAAGGCTCTCAGACAACGGCAGCATGGCACAGGCCTCTGGTTTCTATGTGGAGAACAGTACAAGATCTGGAAGACAAGCGCTGCATCATTATTGTGGCTGTATGGCATTCCAGGCTGCGGCAAGACTATCCTTGGTTCGACTACTCTACAGGATCTTCTCCAATATTGTGATCATCATACAGGCAACATCGTGGCGTACTTTTACTTCGACTTCAGCGATGTGCAGAAGCAGAACGAGGAGTGGATGCTGCGCTCGTTGTTCTGTCAACTCTTACGTCACACTGAGGGCTCATCTCCCAAAGTTGAGGATTTCTATACCTCACACGGAAACGGGGCCACACAGCCTTCGCTTGATGCACTCCTAGATATGTTGCGAGCGACGATAGAGCAATTACCACAAGTCTATGTCGTGCTTGATGCATTGGATGAGTGTAGCCAACGGGATGATTTGATGGAGATCATCGAGACTGTAACTAGATGGGACCTTCAGAACATGCATCTCATTATAACGAGTCGGCGGGAGCGAGACATCGAAAGTTCACTAGATGGGCTTGTCGATACACATAATGCCATCTGCCTCCAGAGCGACGAGGTGGACAAAGATATACACCAGTACGTTCGGCAGCGCCTCTCTGATGACAAAGGCTTGAGTAAATGGGCAAGAGACGTCACACTCCAGCAAGAGATCGAGACTGCCATATTGAAGGGTTCCAAGGGAATGTTTGTCTCTCTAAACCCCAAGAATCTTCCAAGATTGATGATAGTGCTAGGTTTCGACGGGCTGTGTGCCAGCTTGACACCCTAGGAAAATGCCGTAACCGAGCAAAGCTACGGACAGCGCTCGCGACAATATCGTCAACACTAGACAAGACATATGAGCGTATATTAGCTAACATCTCTGAAGAAGATACCGGATACGCCATTCGCATTCTGCAATAGGTGGCGTTTTCCGAAGACCACTATCGTTGGACGAACTCGCAGAAGTGATCGCCATCGATGTAGCACGCAAACCGGCATTTGATAGCGACGAAATACTAGAAGACCCTCAAGAGGTTTTCAATATCTGCTCTAGTCTTGTGACTATCTCAACAGAAACTACGCACTATCGAGGTACCCTAGAAGGACCATATACTAGCTCAACAAGGCAAGTGGTTATACTTGCGCACTACTCCGTCAAGGAATACCTCGTATCTGACAGGATTCGGCGATGTCAGACAGCACATTATGACATACAAGCAATAGAATGCCATAACAGGATAGCTGTAGCCTACCTAAGCTACCTTGAACAGTTCCAGGATCCTAGAATCATGGATCAAGATGTTCTAAGTCAGTACCCACTAGCAAGCTACTCCGCGGAATACTGGGCAAACCACATCAACAGATCCGAACATCCCTCGGCATCGACTAGCTCAGCCGCACTACGACTACTGTCAAAAGACAACATTGCTTACTTGATTTGGAATCGCATATGTGATGGATTCAGTCACTTTTCTACGCCAGGCCACAAAGGAGATTTAAAAGATCCCATATATCATGCTTCTAGCTTGGGTCGTGAAGAGATAGTGAAGTTGCTACTCGAGCGAGACACTGACATCAACGGAGGACATCAAGACCTTGGGGGCGCTCTTGTTGCAGCTTGCGAAATAAGTCACGAGGCAATAGTGACTTTGTTGCTCAATCGAGGGGCTGACCCCAATAGCAATTCAGATGGCTATACTGCTCTTAAAAGGGCTGTGGATTCCTGCCACAAAGCAATAGTAAAGCTGTTGATCAACCAAGGCGCTAGTGTGAATGATTTGGACGGAAACAGTTCTGCTCTTGTGCGCGCTGTGACATTGAACGAGAGAGGGATATCAGAATTATTACTTGATGGGGGCGCTGCCTTGAATGATGGGTATGGAGATAGTCGAGCTCTTGAGGAAGCCACAAGCTGGGGCGATAAAGAGATGGTGAATCTATTACTCAGTCGAGGTGCTTCTGTGGGAAACACGAACGGAAAAAGTTACTCTCTCGAAGAGGCTACAATGATGGATAGAAGGGAGATTGTAACGTTATTGCTCGATCGGGGTGCTTCTGTGAACAATACGAACAGAGAAAGCAACCCTCTCAATACGGCTATATTGCTAGGCAGAAAGGAGATAGTAGCGCTATTTCTCGATCGAGGTGCTGCTACTAACTGGGATGATGGAACTAGTGCTCTTGAGATAGCACTAAAATCTCCCTGTGAGGAGATTGTAGTGCTATTACTTGATCGAGGTGCTGCAGATAACGGGCCAGATGGCTGTAGTGACGCTCTCGATGTGGCTTTGAAACGCGGAAAACAGGAGCTAGTGGATCTGTTGATAGCAAACGGGGCGAAGCTAAGACCTAACAACGACATGGATATGGATTTCAATTAACGACACGGATACAGATAGCAATGAGTGCTAGTCCAAAGATATCTCTCAATCATCACATCATAGTACAGTCTATTTGGTGTTACCGGTATCGCTCACTCACTCAATTCATATAGGTCGTAAGCATTGCATCGCTGCAGAACAAGAAGTGTGCATAGCATACTATCGAGATATTTTCGACTTCATTTTGGTAATAAAACGAATATATGTGACAGTCCTATCACAAACTGAAAGTGCGGTACCATACGCTCACATCCTATGGATTCATCAGCCTACTACTCTCCACACCATATCTTACCGAGAACCGTCGTACCAACCAAAAAGAAAAGCTAGTCGACTTTGATTGCGGTGTCGAGCTTAGGCTTTAAAGCTTTCCAAGGGAACTATATGGACGTAAGGAATCTCGAGGGCTTGTCGCCCACGTAGTTTTAAACTCCCCTTTGGCCAGAATACTCTTTTTCCATGAATTAGCCTTGAGGAAAGTAATACAGTGATACAGCGTACACATTATTGATGACAAGATGACTGAAGCATGAAAACTCATTGCTGGTATATTAATCTAAAACTCCACAAATGCCAGACCGCCACACGACACGTTCCTCCCATACGAAAGCAAAAAGGGTATTACTCGCTCAAACGTCGAACTCTCTATGATAACGCCACGCTATAAATGCAAATACGCCCGCCCACGCCAACAGAGAAGAAACGAGTAGGGGTTCTCTTCGATCACAAATTTGCTACGTCGATGTAATCATTTAAGGACTTTTGGATGCGGGCTCCCATATCAGACCTCGAAATTGTCAAGCCAGTGCTTGACCACGACCCTACCCTCATCGAACGAGCTTTTATCTGTGCGAACGATGATAGCAGCGTGGGAGTGACGGTGCTTATGAATGTACACAGGATTTTTCTTGAACCCGACACTATCGAGCGCCTCGATCATCTTGAATTGGTCGTCTGTGAGTGCTAGAGTGGGGAACTCGAGGGCCAGGCCCTGTTTTCGCTCTTGAATAGAGCTGGTGCCGGAACTAGACGCTTTCTGGACAGACTGTGCATTCGATTCGACGTCGGTACTAGCGTCACTCAGATACTCCTGTCCTTGCGCGTGGTTTGCATGCTCGACGGCCTGGATCATGAGCGGTATGCGGTAGCGGGCGTAGTCGATGCCGGATTTGCCTTGCTCGTGGAGTTGAATGCGCTGGTGGCTACGGATCGACTGAACGGCGGAATGGATGAGGAATGCCGACACGCCAATCGGGATAAAAACACTGAGAACGGCGACCATGGATGCGCGTCCCAATATCGTCCTTGTGCCCTGTGCAAATCGTTGCACAAAAGCTGGTGGTTCTTCCGGCTCCTTTGGCGATACCGGATTGTCACTGTCGACTATGACCTCCTCATAACCCGATATGTAGTTTATTTTGAAGCTGTCTAATTCCACATAAGGATCGGTCCGTGAAATAGCGGCAGTGTAGTAGGTGACGGAGCGATCGCCGCGGATATTTGCGTATAGGCTTCTGTGCTTGAACTGCGCGAGCGCTCTGATAAATATGCTCTCGGGGTCTGCGAGGACAGCTAGTAGTGGTCGACCGGTATCTTTAAATTGGTCTACACAGAAAAGTTGTCTGCCGCTGAGAGATAGTGTGCGACCGGCGAGGACGTTCCATAGGTGGCTGGGGTAGCCTTTGAGAGGTGTTCTTACGCCGAGATGCGGTGTCGCAAAGGTTGTAAAGTTCTGGAAAGATTAGGAAACGTTGGCAGATTTCCATGGATATACGTACAACGGGCTGTATCTTCTCAAATACCCCGCGGTGATAGAGCAGGCCGATCGCATAGCGTGCTATTAAACCTCCCAATGAGTATCCAACTATACTAATCTTAGTTATGTCGTGCCCACTGTCTGCCAGCTGTTCCAGTGCGTCCTCGACCTCTTCAGCGACGCGCTCGCCGCCCGTGTTTACACCATCGTATGTAAATGTTCCGGCGTTGCGCTTGGTTACGAGTACGTGGACTTTGTCTTGAGGAAATCTCTCGCTCAAAGTGTCGCTCACGTATTTCAGATGCTCTGGGACTCCCCATAGGCTGGTCGTGGTCAGCGCAGGTGTTCTTTCCTTGCTACGATATGGAGTGGCGGGACGTTCTGGGAGACGTACCCATGGACGAGGACACAAAGGTGGTCGGCTTTTTTAGCTGTAGTATTCATGTTTATATTACGCGATTTCCTGGTCTAAGGGGTGCAAAGCGCGGGTTGAATGTGATGTCCTGTGAAGATAGTGTTGGTGAAAGGCGCGAGCAGTCTCGAAAGCCAGGCGAGTGCCAATGGTGTTGAGTAAGACGGTGAAATTGATGGTTTCGGTTTAAATTGGAAATCTAGACATACAATCATCCAGGGTGGCGCAGGACTTATACGTCTCTAGCAATTGAAGGCGACGACGAGAAGTGGCTTCGCGGCGTCATGACATCGGGGTTAAGCAGCTGCATCTCCGGCGCATTCGCCGCATCTTTCGCCCGTCCTGGCCTGGACCCGAGGCTTAGCGCTGTCTCGGGACAACCCAGACCCGTTGCCGCTCGCAAGGCTGTGGCTGAGGCAAACTCACCCGTCCAGCGTCACCTTCACTGTCTGGCTAGCGTTAGCTTCGTTGGGGGGTCCACTGAGGCTATACAGTTGAGTTCTTCTTGCGGCTTAGATTGTCAACACGACACGGTTTTAGACAGCAAACGCGAACACTACTAGCGCGTGCACGCTTTCACCTGTCGCCCTTGCATTCGCACGTATTGACGCGCAGTAAGCTCTCGCATCAATTACACATACTTTATTTCATCAAATTGACAAACTCTTAACATCGACAGCTTGGTAGGTTATGCGCGCACCAATTACTTTTTCACTGTCAACAAAGAGCTCATCGGACTTGTATCAGCCATGTGGCCCTCAATACCCGCATACAGGAGCTTCGCAAGCATAGCATGTCCATCGGCAGCAACTTGTGAGCTACCCAACTGCATCTTCAGTCATGATGCGTTGAAGAAAACTACGGCACGGCGCTCCCCAGTACCAGTCACAACAACATATGATCGCGAGCAAAACGCTAAGCGCCTGAAGCTCGAAGACGATGTCAAGGAGCGTGTGGTTCAGGACGTTCCCGTGCCTGCCAAGACAAAACCGGATATCTTTGTTGATTTGACCAAGGACAAAGCAACCCCAGCAGTCAAAAATGCGACTACAGTCAAGACAGCACCTTCAAAAACACATCCCATGAATGATACACCTCCTGCGCTCCCGTCGTCTGCGACGCGGCCAATATCACCACCCCCCGCTGCAACCATGGCCAAAGCTGTTATCAATCCCGATGCTCCAGTCGCTCTATTGCCACGCAAACTAAACAAAGAGCCGGCAAACTTCACTAAGAGAGTCACTCTCCTCAAAGCGTTACATGGTTATATGAAACCGCAAAACGACAAGCTGCTCAAGGCAGTCAAGCCTGAGATAAGAGCTCTGCACTTGTCTGCAAACCAACTCAATAAGCTGGCAGTCGACGAGGAAGAGAAAATAGCTACATCAAACCCTTCAGTATATGAGAATATTCTGAAGCAGCGGCTAATGAAACTCAAGACCATGACACCAGAAGTATGGGTCAAGGAAAGGCGGGAGGCTATGGCTAAGCAGAGTGGAGAGCCAGCAAAGAAGCCACCGCCCAAGAAAGTTCATACAGGACTGACACCGAAAGAAGAAGTCACGTTCCTCTCTGTCCTCAAGTGCCCACAGGAGGGTCTGGATGCGCATGGTTATGTTACGAAACTGCCTGCAGACGCTGATTTGACCGAGACACATTCAGCACTCGAGTTAGCTGATTGCTGGGAACAATGTGACCGCTGCAGCACTCGCTTCCAAGTATTTCCGGAACGAAGGGAAGAAGACGGTATGTTTACAACAGGAGGAGAATGCAAATATCATTGGGGCAAACGCATCTTTCCTAAGAAGTCAAGAGGTGCTCCCGCAGAACCAACCCGCTTGACTTGCTGTAGCGCCGAAGTGGGTTCACCCGGCTGCACTACCCACGACACTCATGTCTATAGCGTCAAAAACTCCAAACGACTTTCCCTCATCATGCCGTTCATCGAGACGCCAGAAAATGAAAAGGTTCCTGAGAAATCGGCTGTTTGCTTCGACTGTGAGATGGGTTATACCACCAATGGCCTAGAGATGCTTCGTCTGACGGCCATATCATGGCCACAGCACAAGCCACTCGTGGATGTTCTGGTTCGTCCTCTGGGTCATTTGTTAGACGTCAACACCCGTTTCTCTGGTATTACCATGGATCAATTCGTCAACGCCAAGCCCTACGACCCGGAAAATCCCAAGCCTATCCGCAAAGACCTCCGCATCGTTGAGTCACCGTATGTAGCACGCGATCTCTTCCTTTCCCACGTCTCTCCCCAGACACCGGTCGTAGGTCACGCCCTGGAAAACGACCTCAACACTATCCGCCTCATCCATCCCAACATCATCGACACCGTTCTTCTGTTTCCAACACGCCAAGGCCTGCCTTTTCGCCATGGTCTGCGCAAGCTCGCAAAAGACTACCTTGAAGAAGATATTCAGCAGGGCGGGGCCGCCGGACACGACAGTTTTGAGGATGCTCGAACCACAGGCGAATTAGTTAGGTTCAAGGTCAAAGAGAAGTGGCAGCTTATGAAGGCGGAAGGATGGGAGATAAGGGATGATGGTGTACATCCGCCTATACCCGCCGAGGCTCCGCCAAAGCATGCTCCGTCTGCTCCGTCCATGGTACCAGAGGCCAAGATGGCGGTCCTTGAAGGGGCTCCAGCAGTCAAAAGGAAGATTGAGGAGGATGGAACTCTTAATAAGCTTCCGGCTAAGAAGCTGGAGGAAGAGTGATTTTGCTGAGCATGGGGACGAAATGTATATTATGGAGACATGGGAGGCATTGGACAGGGAGCGACCCGCGTGCGAAAATGGTATGAAGGGGAGGTTGATGCAGGAAGCTTGATAGGGGAAGCATGTGCCTTTCTGAACCTAGCAATTCTGGGTAAAAGACTACAGGTAGATGTAGCATGGCATGTGCTATGCACTATGCGATCATGTGACACCGACATAGCTTCGAATGCCTCCCCATGGAACTCAGAAGCTGAGTTTTGAGTAAAGATACACCTCAAAAATCGTGTCTCCTCAGGATGGCCAACCCTTTTCCTTCCCCCATCGCCCTCTGGCTCAAATTCTTCTCACCCCTGCGCCCGCTCCTCCATTCGCTGCCTGATCCTCTTCATCCGCCTCATGCCCACACAACCCATCTTCCAGATGCCGTGACAGCATCTCCCTACGCGAGATCAAAAAGAAATAACCCTATCTCTCCCCCTTCCCTCTTCACCCCACCTTCAACCCCTGCACCCCATCCAGCCCCTCTCTCGTCGCCTCATAAACAACATCCGTATCCAAATCCTTCATCACGCCGATAACAACGCCGATGCTTTCTATGAAGCCGTTTACAGCGACACGTAGCATGCGGTTTGTGGTGGCAGCGTAGTTTACTTTGAGGACTGATGTTTCGGCGTCGGAGTTGGTGCTGTTGGGATTTGAGGGTGCGGGGTCCGATGTGGAATTGGAGGGGGTGGTGAGGGAAAAGGAGCGCCAGACGAGGGGTGAGAGTTCTGCGTCAACGGAGAGGGCGCGGAGGGCGGTGCTGGCGAGGTGTGTGCTGGGGAAGGGGATGTGGAGGGTTCTGTGGGAGGGGGGGGGTTAGTTGGTTGGTGTAGGAGATGGGATGGGAGAGTGATGGGGAACGGGGAACGTACAGAGTGCAGGGAAATTCGGTTGCGTTCCAGTCTGGTTGGCTTGCCATGATGATCTTGTTTCGGTGGTATATGCGACTGTGACTCTAGATGAGGTTTTCCGCGCTTGACTTCGAGAGGGATTGGAGAGTGGTAGTATTGTGTTGTGACTTTGTGGTGTTTGCTGGAGCTTGTACCGAGCAGTTGGCCGTGAAGTTTGAAAACGTAAGCGTAGTTTGCTGCAATTAATTGTAGGGATCAATACTACTTACAGTTCGCTATCGATTGCGATGAGGCTCAAATCGCAAAATGTGGGGGAGGGGTAAGATCACGTCTTGATGCAGTAAGGCGCAGAAGCTATGACGATCTAAACCCATGTCAGGTACATTTCAACAGCGTCATACATCATCATATGCTAGCTTCACGGTACAAGCGCGTCATGTCTATCTTGCCATGGCATACCTCGGCCATTTCCTTTTCTTCCCTGTTATCATCCTCAATCTCAATCTCATAAAAGCACCAACCTAATCAATTCCATCTCGATTGACTCACAACATCCAACACCTCAACAACACTCCACGAAGCCACCAAGCATGTTCCGCACCACCATGATCAGGTCCACACGGACCCTGCGTCTCAGCGTCCCCTCAGCACGTCCTTTCTCGCTCTCAACATCACGAAACGTCGAGCAGTACCCGAACGATCTAAGCACAAACTCCAAGACCAAAACGGACAAATACGACAGCGATAGCCCGCATGCGGTACAAGATAAGGTCAAACAGGGCGATACGCACAACGTGCAAGAAAGCAATGCGAAGGCAGGTATAGAGTAAGCGGTCCCAGGTCTTTCCTCCAAGGGAAAGACATCATGGTTCCACGAGGCAAGAACAGCTAACTCAACGTAGTAGCGCGCGCAAGGAGGGGTCAGGTGGCCATGCGACTGAGGGCAAAGACTCAGCGGGTGGAAAAGAGACGGCGAAGAAAGAGTTCCCTGAAGCTCCGGATCCAGCGATTGGTATGCAGGATGAGAGGGGTGGACGGGGTGCTTAGGCTGGTGGCCGAAGATGGTGTAACTTCCAAGGTTGAAAATGAATGTTGTTATGCAGGGGCCAATGAGTTTGCACGTGTTATGTTAACTTCGCACTAACAACTATACGGGAATTCATCTTCAATATGCCAAGAAGTATTGTATCATGCAACCAATGGGGGTATCACAAAAACCAAAAAAATCAGAGCCGTTACGATCCTTGACCGGTTTCCATGCGTTAAGCAGGTTACTCACAGCTTGTATCAATCTTCCTCACGTTCCCTCGCGCCTGTACATGGTAAGTTATACGTTCCTAAAATTCTGACAGGACGCTTTATTCTTACTTTTTGTGGCAAAAGCACGAGCAGTTGCTAGATCCTCCAGAATAACACATGTATACAGCGACCATGTCTGTGAATGCTCAGTGTGGAAAAGAAAGTTGCTCCCTGACGTTAGTCTGCATGATGGTTGTGCGTGTGTCGGTAAGAGCCCATCTGCTTCTAGGTAAAATATTAACTCTCCAGTTTCTTATCAGGCAGACTTTGGAAGAAGCGTATACTTACGAAGGTGGGTTTGTTTAGATTGACGTCGAACGTACATCTTGTAGACCAGCCATATTGTCGACGGGCAAGACACGAGCAGTGCGATGATGGCGATGATGCTCTGGGTGTCGAGAGCCATTTTTCTTTCTTTCAGGGGCGTATTTTCTCGTCGTTTGCTTGCGTTTGGTGGGTAATGTAGGCAATATTTATGATTCTTTTTTCGGTTTGAGGTTTACGATGATAATGCTATAGGAAATGTATATGTCGTTAGACTAGGCTGTTTCCACGCATGGCAGTATGTTGTGCTACCAGAGAGTTACACCATCGTGGATGTCCTGTTTCCGTCCTCAGAAGAACGGGCTGACCCTGGTCACCATAACCCGTTGGTCGGACCCGTGGCTAACAACATGCATATGCCTACTCTCCAGACTCCGCAACAATCAATCGATTGACATGATTGATTCCTATATAGGTTAAAGAATTACTTCATTAGGCAGCCTTTAACCTAGATAGGAATCAATCATGCCGATCCGATTGATTGTTGCGGAGTCTGCTACTCTCACTCTGCTCGTAGAAAGATGGGCGCACAGACCACCTGCGAGTGTCTGATTTGTATCCCGTATTTTACCCTTTGACTACCAGGGTGTTGTGCCTGTGCAGCTATACCTTGACGAATCCCAGAGCAATCACACTTATACGTTAAATAACCAAAGGTGGTGACGAGCAAACCTTCACACGCCTGCCACGAAAACACGATAATACGGTAAACAGATTCTCAGTGTTTTCATAAGGTCCCTGTTACCGATGCACCGCTGCAGAAGACTTATGGTATGGCACGCCGGAGTAGGGGTGCAATGAGGCAACAGCAGGAAACGGACGCATTGATCCTTGTCACTGTCCACGTTCGGTCTTGACATTCGCATGTGCAACTTTTAAGATGCGCCTACGACCGTCTCGACTACAACGACCAAATGCGGTTTTCTCAGTAGTAGTAGACAAGGTGATGCGGCTTGCCGAACAATTAGTTACCTCTCCTAACACCACGTCTGCACTGTACCACCGCAGGCGTTACACATGATACATCAATGTAAGCAGAGCCATTCCTAACCGGGTAGTAATCTGAAATTCCGTGCCCCCATCCGAGCTGTCACGAATCTCGAAGTTGAGAATATTCGTGTACCGACGTGCTGGCTACGACCGCTCCTTGGGCAACAAAGGCTGACAGCCCGATATGTCCTATAATACAAGTAGTACTATAATCGCCTCACTGATTTCTTCCCAGGTAGAATAGCATAGCCTCGTGCCTGCGGATACCACAAATGTCACATGATCAGACTAGTACGGATCCGGGCCACAACGGTGACCTACCCTACATGTGTTGTTCTGCAGGGTATCTCGTTCGTTCAAACTTTATGAATACATACATCGAATGCCTATATCTTGCACCAGAATTCCCTGTATATCACTCTCATTTTCACCCTTACCCGACGGTATGTAATCTACTGGCTATCGGTTTGCCGCTTCCTTCGTGAGCACAAACCCAGGCTTTACACTGCTGGTGACACAACAGGTTAGAATGCCAAGGAGAACAGACGAGGACTAGTTAGAATGAAAATCGTGCGAAGATAACGTTCTGAGTCTCTAGATTGGTAGAGACAACCCGCTGCCCTAAGATATGCAGGCCATGGCAACTCAAGCCTTTAAGAGAAGGAGGCCACTAAAGTCATCAACCAAGGCTGCTTTGTTGGTTTTACTCAGTAAGTGACAACATCTACATGATGGTTTTCAAGAGATGAGGTATCGCCAAAGGTATAGGCAATGATGAGTGTAGGTTTATCCTTGTGACAGTGGAGAAACGCAGTTCCCAGCGAGTGTCAGATAATAATAAATTCACCTGTTACGTTGAATCGAAATCAGATGGTAGGACAGCATTTACTTTATTAAATAGAAAATTTGCGTAGAAGTTATGTAAGTGGGCATGACTCCATCTTGGACACTTGAATAAACATTGTCATATATATGTACATAACTAGGTATAGAGAGCAAATTGAAATACATAACAGACCCACAGAATCATGGATGCTATAATGACTCATAATATCTGTGCAACGAAAAAAAGCAAGTTTTTTTCTTACTTTTAACACACCTTTTGCTAGGCTAAGATCTAGAATCGTACAAAACTGTTGGATGTACTACCACTCCATTTTCCCGATTTCCGGGTAAATAGACCCAACTACGACTGTTCATCGTTTTTGAAGACAACAGCAGCTGTTTTTAACATTGTAGTGTCTGATTATCTAGTAACTAGATATTCATATGCGCAAAGCTTCTCAACTATAATCATAGCTATAGGATATTTAGATATACAGTTCATGAAGCGTTTGAAAGCCGCGGGGGCCAATCCTGATGGACGTATTTTGTCAGAGAGACAAAGCTACAAAATAGCTAAACCATCCCATCTTCACATTGCAATAGACGAAAACACTGGAACCAGAGCAAATTCAACCCTCAAGTACAGGTTCTCCCGTTCTACCCCTTGCAGATAACCGTTATTGGCGATCATCTAGGTATCATCCGAGTGCTACACAATCATTCAGCCAGCGTGTACATCACGCTTCCCGAATGTAAGATGTGGAAACTAAGCAGGTGGCGAAAACGCTCATATCTAGATAAAACGTTGACATGGATCGCGCAGTGGCACGGACGTTGCCAATGTTGTGGATATAACTACTGGGTCCATACTCTGGGGGAAACATGTGGGAAGAAGCACATACAACCTTTGCGGTCCAGGATGTTCCCTCGCAACATCCCTATCTCAGGGCTACACTTATCCCTCAGTACACTTGGATAGCCATTACCTTACGGTAGCCAATGTATCACGACCCAAGTCAAAACCACTCAACCGAGACCGACAATCCCATTTGTAGTGCTGGAGAACACGACTACAGTAATCTCTCACACATAAATATATCATTCGAACCCCATTCTCTCTCAACCGCCCATCATCCAAATAATTCCCTGGGCCATCCCGTCTCAACACCCATCCCCATCTCCCAACTGCCAAAATTCATCCCACAATCCCACGCAAACCACCCAACGGCCACCCAACGGTCACCAACCCGCCTAACTCGCCTAACATACCCTCCTCTCATTTCCCCGCCGCCACGTCCGCGTCCGCAACAGTGGGTCCCCACTCCCCCTCAATCGGCCCGAAACCACGTACCCAGCACATCCATCCATCAACCCAACCACTCCCATGCCCTTTCCCTCTGCGCAACATTATCCCGTCCTACATATGCAGAGCGAAAAAGCTTATTCACGCATGCCCGTTTCAGGCACGCGACAGTGATTGGATCTCATGCAAATGCGGGTCGGAGATAAAGGGCCACCGGTAGAGTTACCGCGTGTTTGGCGTTTTGGGCTTGGCGGTTCGTATGTAGTACCTTGGATTATGCGTTTGGCATAGACGGTCGCGATGGCGGAAGATACGACGGATGGGAGGCGATGCGCGGGGATGCGCGGAGAACAACAAACGTCATGCCAATGCAGACATGCAGTAAGATGATGGCAGAAACGGGGGTTTTCGGAGATACCAAGTGCATACATATTGCGTATACCGGCACGTATTCTGGCCTTTTTTTTCTTGGTCCTGGGCATGGGTCATGGGGAATGGGCAGATAGTGGTATGAAGGGTGGGGTTCGAAGGAACGATCACTAGGGGATATTTCGGTGGGTTAGTTGGGGGGATCTGCGAAAAAGGCGAAAAAAGGGCCTGTTGTGCTGTTGACTGCCGTACGTATGCCGGCGCGAGGCGGCTCTTTGAACACGATTGCCATAGCGGTGTGCAGATAATCTTCACGGCGATCGAAACAAAAAGACTGTGACGTATGTCCATATTTCTGTGTAAGATTCAGGACAATCTGGATATAATCTCGCTTATTTGGTATCAAAAAAAGTAAAAGACAAGACAACAGTAAGTCATGAGAGAGATTTGAAAAAGAAAAGCACCCCCAGAGCAAAAATGTTGCGTTGTTGTTCCAAAACTGGCCCTGCCGTGCGGATGCAAATGCATGTGTAGTACGCCGTGTGTGGGTGTTGCTGCTCCCGTTTGTTGCGCGCTCGTTGAGTTGGTATAAAATGCTGTCCCCCTTGCTTCCCGAAAAAGTCATATGCGCCTTTTGCATTTTCCAATGCTCATAGCCCCGTGTGATAGTGGTGGCGTTTGGTGGTTCCTACTGCGCCGATAAACGCCTGATTTAAAGATTTCCGTTAGATAAAAGGGTCCGAAGTCGGGTGGTGTTGTTGCCCCTAAGTTTTACTGCTCGTAATAGAAGAAAATATGTACATGGAAAGGTATCGAGCTGTTGAAAGGGACACTCAGTAGTCCATGGTCTTCTGCGGTGGGTAATCGGGGTAGTCGATGTCATCTTGTGGTTTGCCTTCTTTGAGACAGAGTCCTTCACGCCCGACTTTCTCCTGCAGGTAATGGAGTCGTTCGAGATCGTCTTTTTCAAATGAAAAGGCGCCGCTCCAGAATCCACAGTCAATATTGGTTGTCTCGTTCCGGTAGAAGACCTGAAATTCGGCCGCACGGTCTACTGGCGGGGGGCCGGGCTTCTCTCCTGACGCCTCCGAGAGTGAGTCGATTTCGCTGCGTCCAGGCATGTGATGGAATAGCTCCGAGTTGAGCGTCCAGCAGCGCAGACCAGGGCTTGGATATTTGCTGCGCATTTTGGGGTCTGCATTGGGCCGCTGCCACTCGGGTGTAGGCGAGGGTGTATTCTCTCCCTTGTTGCAGGCGTGGAGAAGGGCTACGTCAAAGGCGCGCGCGCCATCCTTTTTCAGTTTTGGTGGCGCAAGATCGTTGAGAAGTCGTTCGGCGGCGGGGCGGGTAACGGCGTATCCGAAGGAGCAGAGGGGGAATTTGGAGCGGTGCATAACTCGATTGCGCTCGGGCATGCCCAGGAGGCGGAATAGCGACTGTGTGAAGGGATGCAGATTTAGCCATGAGGGCATGGTAGGGTCCTCGTAGAGGACATGTGGCATAGCGGTGAGGTTGTAATCCTGGCGATCAGTCTTGGGGCCGTCGTCGTCGACGATATCAAAGTAGTCGCCACAATGGCCGAGGTAGAGTAGGTCCCATGCCTCCTGATCTCCCCAGTACTGGGTGCGATTGCTGGCGTAGTTTACAAAGGGATGTTGGTTGGGGGCCGGGGGAAGGAGGCGACGGGCAGCGCTTGCTGCGAGAGGTATCTGGACGCTGCGCAGGCGAATGTCAAAGTCGACGTCGTCTTCGAGAATGAGAGCCGTCTCTAGGCCAGAAGCGAGAAACCTGTCACACAAGTCAGCTACAGGTTGCCGCCAAGGGACTGGCGAGGAACGTGTTGCTTACCACCTCAGGGCGTTGTGGTGCCCTAGCCACGCTAATATAGAACCTTTGACGGCGTTGTCCTGACCGTTGATGAAGCGCTGGACGTCGCCTTCGGTCCAGGCAGGCTGTTCCGGAATGGTGATGTCGAAGTCGGTGACGTTTGCGGCTTGCAAGAGCGGCTCGCGGCGCGGCGAGCCTTCTTTGGATACGACGATAACGGCGCCGAAGCCTAAAGTTCTATTCGCGGGGATCTTTATAGGGCGCGCCTCAATCGACGACATCCACTGCAAGTATACGCGATCCGTGTCTCTATGGTGGTACCATATTCCGATGAGGACCAGGACTGTGAGTAGAAACAGCGGCATAGGCCGCTTCCTGGGAGCAAGCATGTCGGGCTAAGAAAGGGAGCCAAATGTCGAGTAAACGAGAGTGGTATTAGACATGTCTCTGCGGAGGCTGGTGGGGGAGGGCTGAGGGTTGAATATCAACTCGGGACGATATTACTAGCACGGCATGGTTTAGGCGTGTTGCACAGCGGCAGGACCGAAGCAGATCTGGCTGGGCGACGCCTATCTCTAAATGTCGCAGGAAGCGGCGAGAACAATGGAGGCCTGGCCGGGGTGTGGCACCGATATTGCTTCTTGTAACGACTGTATCAGGCTACCTTAGATTGCCGGCGCACATGCAGCCGGGATTGTCATCATTTCACGATAGGATAAGTGGAGATGCTGTTGCGTCCGCGCGGCGAGTCACTGTGTGCGTATGCTGCGATCTGTCACTCTCCGTCAGCGCTGGCGCACCACGACGCAGCTGAAACTGAAGATGCTGGCATCAGCGAGGCTTGCTATAGTCAGAATAGATCACGCTTGCATCAGCTTATTGTTTGCGCAACCAGAACCAACATTAGCTCCATGGTACCGACACCGGTACGTCGTAACATGGGATGGTACCAATTGTACCTATGTGCATACAAAAGGCTGAACGCGGCATCACGTGCCCGGCGCGGCTCACCCTGGTCAGGCCCTCCAGACAAGGCGCAGCCATGGACGACGCTAACAACATGAAGAAGAAGACGACGACGACGACGACGACGACTGCAACGACTGCGGGACGACGAAACTCGACGTCAAATTCCACGGGCATTGGCTTGTGGACCGCATTCTTCTTCTTCCTGTAGCCTCAGCATTTCTATTCTAACCACCTGCCTAACCCTCCCCGTCGCGTTCGTATTCTGTGAGACATGCTGTGCATCGCTGCGCCCTGAAACTAGTCGTGCAGCCGGCTTGCTTGTCCTCCGCGTCCTGTTGCTACCTCAGACCTTTTTTCTCCAGCCATCTCGGACGACGTTACGGTTACACAAATCAGTGCCTCGCAGAAACAAACGCTTACCGTACTTGCAACACACACGACCGCACCACATGCCCGGCCACTCGCTGCGCCCATAGTCATGGCCACGTTGGGCACGCCCTCTCCCCCGTCATCCCCCTCAAGAACCATGCGCCGCCGCGGGTGGGCAAGAAAGGTTGAGCGGTATTGCTGCACCGCCGTCACCTACTTTCCGCTGCTGTTTGTCTATGGCCTGACGTCCTGGGCCATCTGGGTCCAGGCAGGCATCGGCTTCGTGCCTTCCAAGAATGGTTGGACCGGTGCGTCTCCCTCTGCGCCGCATGCGACGCATTCTTGTGACGTGGAATGCGACTCCATTACTAACGTCTGCATCAGGCAAGTTTTCGTCCGGTCTGGGCCTCTTCTTCTACCTTATGCTCAATTGGAGCTACACGACCGCCGTATTCACCGATCCGGGCTCGCCCCTCAACATCAAGAATGGTTACAGCCATCTGCCGTCGCAAGAAGGGGGCGACATCCAATACACGTCGTTCACCGTCAAAGCGTCGACGGGTGAATTGCGCTTCTGCAACAAGTGCCAGTCCAAGAAGCCCGACCGGTCCCACCACTGCTCGACATGCAAGCGCTGTGTCCTGAAAATGGACCATCATTGCCCATGGCTTGCCACGTGCGTTGGGCTGCGCAACTACAAGGCCTTTTTGCTATTCCTCATATACCTCAGCTTCTTTTGCTGGGTATGCTTTGCGACATCTGCCACTTGGGTCTGGAGTGAGATCCTGAATGATGGAACATACACCGAGTCGTTTATGCCCGTCAACTATGTCTTGCTTGCCGTGCTCTCTGGCATCATTGGCATCGTCATTACAGGCTTCACTGCCTGGCATTTGTGGCTTACAGTTAGGGGCCAAACTACCATCGAGAGCTTGGAGAAGACGCGCTACCTGTCCCCGCTCAGGAACACAATGAAACATCAGCTCAACGACCGAAACTACGTCGAAGCGCAAGCAAATGGCCGCCTGAGCATGAGCGAGCAATTGCGCGAGATACACGCCAATGCGCTCCCAGGCGTCACCCGACCCGAAGAAGGCGAGACCCCTCCTCGTACCACGTCCCGCTCTCCCGTCCCAGGCCACGCCAATGGCTACTCGCATCCGCAATACCAATCCTACGAATACCGCGACCGTCAACAACAGCAAGACCGATACGACAGCTACCTCGACGAGCGCGACAACGAAGCACTCCCTAATGCCTTCGATCTGGGCTGGAAGCGCAACATTGGCCACGTGTTCGGCCCCTCGCCGATCAAGTGGTTCGTGCCCATAAGCAACACGACGGGAGACGGGTGGTCGTGGGAACCAAGTCCGAAGTGGCTGGCAGCCAGGGAGCGCATAAAGAGGGAAAGAGAAAGAGAAGAGCAAATACAAAAGCAGCGTGAGCGAGCTGCCAGTTGGGGCATTGATTCTCCTACTGAAGCAGAGTTCAGGCGTCCCACACGCGGTCCCGAAGGATGGATGCCTGGTCAATACAGCCAGCCCCCGCGAGCCACACGTCGTCCCGAGTGGCAATCACCACTCCGTCAAAGCGAACCAAACCAATACCTTGCCCCCACCGTCGTGAGGGGATCACTGGAAGGTCGCAGAAGCCCCAGCAAGGCCGATCAGATCCTGGGACGGGAACGGGGCATGTACGCGGATGGCGACGTGCAATTGCAAACCATTGACCGGAAGAAGTTTGACCAGTATAGTTACATCTCAGAAGACGAGGACGATGAATACGAGGTTTCCAGTGACGAGCAAGCGGTAGACCAGAGGAGAGCGAAACAGACGCAAAGAGCATCTGCGCCGCCCCAAGAAACGTCGAATTGGAATGACATACCCGAGGGCTTTCTGGACCCTTCACCTGCGGGAAAAAAGAGTGGACGAAGATCGCCGAAAAAGACGGGCGAATGGGACGAATGGCGAGCATAGCACAAGCCGTCGCATTTTGGGTTGTAATGGATATGAGGGAATGTGGTATGTATGTATATGAGGCGTTGCATAGCATGACATGGCGTTTGTTGCATACACGACGGAATCTCCGTTACTGTATAGGAAGAATACAGGCAGTTTACCTATTTCTGTCATAGTTGTTGATCATTGTTGCTATCTTATCGTTGTCGTACGAATCCAAATGGTTGTAGCCCGCTTCTCATCGTAACACGAGGTTTGCTCACATTATGCATGTCTCTTCTCCGCCCAGTTATTCCGCCTCACCGTCCCGCTGGAAGCAAACATTTTGTACAACCATCGGTCAAGAAGTCTATGGCACTAATGGCGGCTCACCGGTCCATGGCCGTTCTCTGATCATATATACTTGCACTGGAATGCCTTTTCTTCTTACTCCTAAGAAGTGATTTCAAGCCATGGATCCCAACGCAGCATCAAACTTACCCGAGCGCCTCCTTCGACAGCGCGAACTCCCGAGTCTACGAGGCGAAGATGAAACTGAACTACGCTATCTGGTTGACTTGATAGAATGTACCATACCGCTATTCGCCTCCTCCCAACCCCTCCTAACACCTCACAGCAACATCATGGATACTCTCCCCCATCTCGCCTCCAACCTGTATCCTAGGCCGACACCCCCCTCCCAAAAACCCACCCCTATCCACATCAACCCTGTCCAACCCATCCGCAACCAACGCTTTCTGCGCCTCGCTCTACACGATAGGTAAAGCGGGGGCTAGAACACTCGAGCTAGGTCCTGAGGTGGGTAAGACGAGGAAGGAGACACTGGGGAGGCTGTTGGAGTGTGTAGAGGTGGAGGTTGGGAGGCTGATGCTTAATGATGAGTGGAGGGGGAGGAAGGGGAGTGGGAAGGGTGAGGGGAAGTAGAGATGTTGGGAGATGGGTAGGTGGGTATGGAGGGGAGGGGGTGGGGATAAGAGGGGAGTAGGAGTGGAACGGCTAGGAGAGATGAAATTACTAAACTCAGCCTCAACGCGAACTTAACACTATTGGGCCCCTGATCCGCCCATCTCGGCGCCTCGCTTCAACATATCCAGTCCGGGATACTTCCTGAATATCACTATCTACACTTTGATCGCGAGCCCCGCTACCACTGTCTCCTTTGTCTTTGCTACTGTCATCTTTGACCTTGTTAATGTCTTCTTTGCCTTTATTGACATCTCCTTTTCCCTTGCTACTGTCTTCTTTGCCTTTAGTGATGTCTCCTCTGTCATTTTCAGTATCTCCTCTAGCTTTGTTAGTGTCTCCTCTAGCTTTTTCAGTGTCTCCTCTGCCTTTGCGTGCTCTTAGGTTGAATCGTCTAATGGTGCTGGGTTCAGCTATCTTCTGCTGTGATTATCCCTCGACTGGTTTTGCTTTCCCCTTTTCCTTGGGTTCGCTTGGATTCTCCATGGGCTCTTTGGTTTGGACTAGGTCCTTCGCTGGTTCTTTGCGAGCGGTTCCAGGAATCACTCTAGGGTTCATTGGGGGTTTGTTCGCTTGAGGTTTATCCGCTGCTGCCTTTTTTTGAGATTGATTTGCTTTTTTCGGGGTTGAGTATTCCTTATCCTTTTCATCGTCCTCTTCACTATCCTCTGGACTGGACAATATACTCAAAGATAAACTAGTCACTTCATTGGACTCTCCCTCCTCATCCCCCATAGCCTTTGTCACTTCTTCTATTTCTGGCATATCTGGATCATCTTCCAGCTGGTCCCCCATTTTTCGTTCAACTTCTTCTAGCAGCGCTTGCAATACGTATCCACGAGATATGCCAGTGTAAATGCTCGTTAGACTCTGAAACTTCCCGCTACGTCTTTTCTGAGAGCTTTTGACTGCGGCCCAGTATCGGGTGACATTGTTTTCGTCGAGGCGGCTTCCAAGATGTATGACGGGGTATTCGGGTGCGCGGAAGAGCGTTCTTATGTGAGATTGGAGGATGGCGTGGGCGTAGAATTCCTCTGCTGTTACGTATGGACCGGACATGCTGTGGAATGATGGAGAGATGAGGATGAGGATGGGGAGTGGGAGACTACACGCTTTATAGACAGCGGCTTGGGCGTTTGGTCTTAGCACATCTATCTTGCAATCTTCGCTGTCACAAGACTTTTCATGTGATGAATATTCAAGGGGATACTCTTGTCATATATAGTTACCTACCGCAGATCCAGTCTTCTCCTCCGCCATGACTACCACGAAATAATCCACTCCCCCCAAGCCGCCCGCTTCTCTCTCCCATCCCATCCATCTCTAATGCTTCATCACCTTATCAAATGTTGTCGCCAAATCCCCCATCATTTGCTCATCCTCCTCCTGGCATTCAACCGTCTCTTCCATCTTCTCCCACGAAAGTTCCTCCACAGACCCCAACAACATCAATAGTACCTCACTCCGCGAATCTCCTTCTTGCATGGGTACAAGAGGAATATTCCTCCGTCTACTCTGGTCTGCGTAGCCCATAACTGTGGCGCGATATTCAAGATTGCCCAAGGCGTTCCAGTGACGGCCGACACGTATGGTGGGGAAAGCTTCGTCGTGGAAGAAGCGGGCCATGAGGGATTTAATGAGGTCGTAGGTAGTCTTGTCTGTCGATGTGACGGGTCCGTTGTACATGGTTAGATGTGAGACTGAGATGTGAGAGATGGTTTGGAGTTTGGATTTGTGAGAGTGGGTTGATAGAGTTCAGGGTTTATAGACTGTTTAGGTTTGTGCGGATGGCTATGGTAAATTTTTTTTGCACGCTTTTGCTTCCATGAGACTCTTTGAGTGATGATTGTATGTGCTAGATTTTGTCTAACGATTGCGTCGACGTACAAACAAAAGAACTGCAAACGTACAAACGGGTAAAGGCTAGGAAGAAAGTTGAAACATAGTGTATGTTATAACAAGATCTAAAAGAGAGCAACTCGCAAGTATGTACATGTGATACCTTGTGAGTTATTCTTTCATAGATCTGGGCATGACGCATATTCCACTTACAACCTAGCCTTGTCGTCTAATAACGGTATCCCCACCGCCGCCTCCAACTCCTTGACAGCATCCTTTGTCTTGCCCAGATTCACCTTGATAGTCCTCAACCCCGTCTTCTTAGCAAACTTCAGATTGATACCGATATCATCCAAGAACAGCGTATCTTCTGCCGTCACAATTCCCATGCCCCTCTCCCTCGCAATCTTATCCATCTCCCTCACCGCCAACTTATACGCCTCTGGATCTGGTTTTCTCACACCGACCGCCGCGGAGCCAAGGAATATGTCGAAACACTTTGTAATGTCCCCGGAATCATTCGCATACGGGTTCGGCGCAGGGGGATGAATGATATCCTTGGTGTACAGCTCTCCCTCATCGTCCAGGATACCGGCGGGGAAGGTGACGTTGTTGCTAAAAGCACCAAGAACAAACCTGCCGCTTTGCCCTAGCTTTCGCAGCGCAGGATACATGTATGGATCCGGTGCACGGCTGAGCTTCATCATACGCCAAAACAGCTTCTTCGCATCAATTTCAGGGACCGTCGGCTTGCCACCGGCAGTCGCCTGCCCGCCTCCAGCGCTTTCTTGTTGTGCGAGGCGCTGAAAGTACTCGGACCATACTTCCGGTCGCGATAGTTGTTGTTTGAACGAAGCGAACCAGTCGTCGTTCAGTTCAACTTCGCCGCGCTCGATGAGCTGCCATGCTCCTGTGTCGTGGGGCCCTTTTTGGATCGCGAAGTTGATGTAGCCAACGGGTATCTTGTTTTCGATCTCGTAGTCGAGGATTGCTTGGAAGGGGCTTTTGAGCTTTGAGCAGGACATGTTAGCGGATTTGTCCAAGCACAAGAGGTACTGCCACGGTGAGGAAGCGTGAGATGTTTGAACGTACGACTACCCCGCCAATGTCGAAAAGGATGGCCTTGGGTGGCTTTGATGCAGAATTCATGCTTGATGGAGATCAGAGAAACGACAGGCCTCACTATGAAGGTATCATGGCGGTTTGTACGGGTACATTGCGTTCGGCGATAGAGGAGGCATGGAGGTCGAGGGACCTCGGCACGGATAAGCTCTCTCGCTAACTTAGTCTGATCGTCATTCGTTGCCGACCCGGAATGACATCAACAAGTAGTGACCTACTACTACTGAGTCTATTTCCATCGAACGACCGATTAACTCACACTGGCACATCAGGTGCCGGATGAAGCTTTGGCTCTGGTTCTTAACTCAACAAAAATTGCTGGCACATCCTGTTCCCTGCCTTCTCCAGCGTACGTGGGTTAGCACATTGATTGAAAACGACACGACTATGTCTCATAAACGCTTGGACGGCGCGATTGGATCCCGAAGCAATCAAACTACCCAATGCTGCTCGTATATCACATTACCCCAAAATTTCGAATTGGTGTAAATGTTCATATTCATTTTCTATGGTATATACCCAGGTACCAGCCTGAGTAACCCAATTCCCCTCTAAATCCATATATAAGCGAGTAAAAAATGTTACGTCTAATCTTGGTATCCAAGTCAAGCAACACCTAACTCCAAAAGAAAAAAACAGCCCGTCCGACTCACCTCGAAGCACTCAAGACCTCGGAGGCAGCTTGACTACGATCGTAGCCGACTTCTTCTCCTTGAACAGGAATTTGGTGTCTGGCTTCGTCTTGGTCCACTGCAAATCCTTCTCCTCGGCAAGAGTCTCACCCATGATTGGGTCATCAGGCTTCGTCCACACCTTCCGAGTTGACTCCTCAGGCAACTTGACCACAATCTTGGCCAACTTCTTCTCCTTGAACAGAAATTTGGTGTCAGGCTTCGACTTGATCCACTGCAGGTCCGTTTCCTCAACCTGCAGCTCCGTCTCCTCGATAAGTGACTGGACCATGATCGCGGCACCAGGCTTCGTTCACACCTCCCGAGTGTCGTTCTTCGGCAGGCAAAAAGTCGCTTTCTTGTCGTACAAACCCGGCCCATTGTGGAGCCGAGTCTGAGCAAAGGATTCTCCAGTCGGATAGCCCGCATGGCGAACAGAGGCAGGAGTCTGATGCTTTGGAGCATTCTTGGTTTTCTTGCTCTTCTTGCTCTCGGTCCGTACCGGGGGTTCGATGTGCTCGAGACCCTGGTGGCCCAGGTCTTGGAGAGAAGCTTGGTGGTTGAAGTAAGCGATCTGGGAGTTTGTTAGCTCGTACAGTTCATGATAGACTTCCCCTTTGATTAGGATGTGAATCAACATCTGCTCAACCTCTACAGGAGTGATGAAGCCGTAGACGCTGAAATAGCCAATGTTCTCGGCCAGCTTGTCCATGAGAGCATGCTCTTCGATAAACGCTGATACCAAGGCCTCAACATCAGCCACCGTGGATGGGTAGTAGTGCAGGTAGGCTGTAAGTGCGGACACACCCGATATGGGTAGGCTTATCATCTGCTGCACGCGGTATTTTGCACCGGAATCGGCGAAGTGCTGTCCGAAGTGCCTGCCGTCATCAATCAAAGATGCCAACAAGCAAGTCAAGCTGGCTTGATTCTTATCGATTGCAGATCACAGACCATTCTCTGGGACGTGCCACTGTGCACGAGCCTCTATATTGTCTGTGATCTGCAATCGATAAGAATCAAGCCAGCTTGACTTGCTTGTTGACATCTCTGCTCATCATCAGTCCTATGTTCTGAATCGCGTGTCTCAGACACTGGCGATGAAGACGCGGATGAATCTGGCGTGACATCAATGATGAACCGAGTCAAACGCATGAGAGACATTCGAGATCGAAGTCTGTTCATCGTGATGAATTGATTTCGTGGTATGAATGGGAGTTGTTGTGGGTAGAACCTGTTGTGGGTAGAACTACATAATCTGATTACACTTATATAGCCATGATCGTTGAATCATTCTAGGCGAACCATAAGCTGCACATAGGTGAAATTTGAAACATTGTAAGTGAAGTATAGGCTGCACATGGTTGAAAGCTGGCGCATTGTAAGTGAACCATAAGTTCAACATGGTGATTTCACAATGGTCAGAAAGAAGTACTACACAATGAGATTGATTGGTACTGAATATCGTCAACCAGTGAATATGTGTTTCAGATTGCTATATACAATGTCCCATGCCTCCAAGGGCAATACTTGTTTCAGAATACTACATAAAATGCCTTATACCTCCGAGGGCATCTCGAAAGACTCTATTTCTCTGAACATGTAGTTAGATATTAAAACACAAAACAGTGCTGATATATACTATAGCACTTCTCCACGCCGACTATTGGTACTGAGACCTCGGCAATCCCAAAAAACCTCCTAATTCTTCTTCAAGAAGTCGTGAAACACAGCACGGATGTACAGCTCCTTGCCCTTCTGCTTAACCAGGTCATAAGCCTGCTGAGTACGGCAATAGATAAGACCCTTCAACTTCGCAGCCGTCGGAAAATGGCGAGAAAGCATATGCTTCTGCCAAATCCCGATCAGCTGGTTCTGTCCGCGCTCATGCATCTGTTGCATCTCCGTCTCAATGAACAGATCGATGTAGCCCCCTGCAGGCTGGGTGCTCAAAACATCAAACTTGATGATGTTGCCGATCACAGCGTCAATCATCTCAGGAGTGTTGACAATCTTCCAAACCGTTTCAACATCAATCTCATTGACGGGCTCAGTGCGGAGACGAAACTTGATGTGGGATAGATAAGAATCGGCACCGTTGTCGTTGTTCGTTGCCAGGAAGTGGTAGGTAAGAATTTCCTCAGCGATGGTTGGGTGCGCTGGGTCGGCCGCGAAGTCGCAAGATTGGTTTGGCATGTTGGGCTGACTTTTTGGTTGCAGGTTGAGACCCAGGCAGTTGCGTTCTAGGAAACTGAGTATGGGGAGATTATGCGTGCCTTTTTCCCTACACGAGCTGACATTGTGAAGATAAGTCTGCAAGCCTGCGGCGCCTTGAGTGAAGACTGCCATGAGGGGTACTCTGACCTTTCCTGCAGAGTTCCTTGCCCGAGTACAAGGTGAAACAACCCTCCCGAGTATGTTGCCTTTCACAGAAGTTCTGCGAACACTGTTATAGTGGTCTGATGACATTGTGTTTTGTATATATAGTTAAGATGCATCGTTTATTTCACCTGGGTATATGTATTGGAATGCACGAAAGCTATTCAGTCGAGAATGTCAATTTCAGGTGTTGTTCAGACCCTTATATTTCTTTCGTTAATCAGTTCAGCGCCTCCCAACTCAGCTCATAGCCAAAGACAGTACGGCGGAGAAGCTCATCCTAATTCTCGTCAGTGACATTGTGAAATATCTGCTCGGAACACTTACTCCTGGGTCTTCTTCGAACATTACCTTGTCCATGACATGCTCAAATGTCTTGGTAACGGTGAAACCAGACTCTTTGGCCAAAGTGAAAAAGGCCAAGTCCTTTTCGTAAAGCCATGGTCGATAGGGAGTAAAGAAGACGTAGGCTCGCGATGCCGGTGATTTCTTCAATGTCAGTTGCACAGTCTTGATAAGTTTGCCATGCTCTGAGTGGTTGAAGAGGAGATCGGCCAAGATGAGTACATCGAAGCCGGACTTATCAGTCAGATGTTTCGTCAAGTCTTCGATAGATGCACCCCAAAGATAGCCCTGTACATGCATCAGTGACGTTCGCCAACACTAGGCGCAGTCACAAACCTCTGCTACAATTTTGGGCGGCTGAGACAAAAGTTCGCAATGGTCAATGTTGTACCGTAGGTTTTCAACCAATTCGGCATCTGGGTAGTCCGTGACAACTGTCTGGGCAGCACCATTCAGAGCACAGACAAGGCTGGGAAGCCCGGCTCCAGCGCCAAGTTCGAGTATTGTTCGGCCTTTTACGAGCTCCCCTGCTCTCTCTTCAAGATATGCGGAGATAATCCGCCCCGCATTCCACAGGAAGTGACCCTAAACGTGTCAGTGAGTGAGTGTGGAATAGCATGGAGCCGCCAGAAATGCATAAGCCTATCTGATGACTCGTGTCCCCGAGAGAGTTGTGTGTCCTTGTGGATGACAAAAAAAGTTCCATAGTTTGTTTCGGGCTGGATGAGGCTAAACAGAGTCTTACCCACAACGGATTGTGTCCCACAAGTCGAACAGTGAGCTCCTTACCGGAAAGCAGTTGATGAGACGCGAACGTCGCCTGCTTTTCTGGTTCATAAAAACCCGTGGGTTCTTGGAACAGGTCCAAGCCCTCCTCATCAGCCTCTGAAGACATTGCGAAAATTGTACGGTGACGAGACGGTGGTCTTGGCGAAGATGGTATTTTGGTATTTTGACGGAACCGCCATCGCAAGTGGCACGTGCCCCACTAGCCACCACTTGGCCTATCTGGGCAGCCTTCCAGAAGACCCTTTGTCTGCTAGACTGGGCGTCATCACCGTCATCTAGTTAGCACATCTTCAGGCACCATGTCTGTATCATTGCCATTCCGTAGCCTTAGAACCGAGTGCCGCGCTGATGCCGTGGTGAAGCCCAGCTCGAAGCCAATCCGTAGCGACGTCATGCTGTTCAAGCCGCGATACCGTACCCGCTGCTTGCCACTGTAGAGCTATTCGCATATATCCGGAGGTCCAGTCGCACGCACACAGGGCAGCGACAGGAGTCATCGCTGCGTTCACCTGATCAAAGCGAGATGTAGTAGGGTTTCATTCGGCGACGCCCGAAGCCTATATCCGGCAGTCGCAGCATTGTTTCCACGGTTCCTCAAGCGACGATAGTAGGCGTCGGCCCTCGACGGTCAACAACCTGACATCCAGGACACCCGTCATAACACCGCCATAATTTCTCCGCTCATTTAAGACACACCGGTCAAGCTTTGTTTCTCAAGACAGTCCTTTGTTTCTCAAACAAAGCCTCTACTTCTGAAGCAACTAAGACCACTTAGTAAGAAACTTGCTCACGCTAAGACACTAAGCCTAATTCATCTCTCGTCGAACGTCGCAACCATCCACTTCACGATAGCCCTCAGCACCCACGAGCGAGTTCCCGCGCCTTGCCTCCGCAGTCCCACCCCGCCGCGCGAAGAAGCAAGTGGGAAGATCCCTTTTGCGGCCTGGGATATCATCGCTCCAAGCCTCGGCCGACGCTGATCTCAGGCAAATCGTCTTTCTCTTGACAACACCTTGGATGGGAATTTAGTCATCTGGACCTCTACCGTACTTCTCGTCCCAGTCCATCCTACCCGATAACCCTGGCGCTATCGCTGGGCCTAGGTAATTCCGACGGTTGCCGTGCATGCGACCCAGATCCAGCTTGCACCCGTCCCCTGCCAAAGATCGCTGCATTAACCAACCCGTGCGCTTACACAGTCTCAACGCCAACATTGCGGTAGGCCGTGGGCTATCTTCAGGGTCCTCAACTTTCCAGCCACCCGGAGCTGGACCCTTCATTACGCAGGCTAGGTCGGTAGCGAAACCTGTCTCACATTAGGACACCCACAGCAGATCACCAGCGAGCTCGAGGGCCACTTTCCCATCTGACTAGAACCGGACGTCTCGCCAGGCTACCTGTGGGATCCCGCGCGACACGCCACTGTACCCCTCTGTGACCCGTTTTCACGTGCGCGGTGCACCCTAAAACCGGCCACCACTCCCGCCCAACAGCTGGATTATTCTTCGCTCCCGACACGGCGCAACTGGTGCTTCCTTGTTGCAAAGTGAGCACGTTTCTTTGAGCTCAATTTTTCCCGCGTCATGTGGGCCGAAGTTAATGGAGAGCGCAAGAAGGTCGCATGGTAGGCTTACTTTTTCTCCTTCCCCGCTGTATCGTCTTTCCGTCTTGCAATCTTAGCTCGTGCTCTTCGTTGTACACACCCAGCACGCCTTTATGACCTACATACAGCGCCGTTACTCTTCCACAATTTATACACACTAACACAGTGTAGCGGTCCATGCATCCGCGGTCATCGCTCGTCCAAATGCGATCACAGAGATCGAGTGTTGGTGGAAGTTCGAAAACCCGGTCGACCATTGAGCAGCTGCCCACACCCGACTGGCTCTTGTAGTTGTGAGCGTGTTGTTATCAATTATACGATACCAAAAAGCTCGGAATGTGGCTGTCCTTCTGAGAGAGCACCGCCTACAGCTACTGTCGTTGGCAACAGTCGAATCTCGAAACCTAGACGGAAGTCTGCCGCAGTCAACACCTTCAACATAGAGAAGGCTATTCGAACTGGCCTGGATGCCGACACCGAGACTTCATCGATCACGCACACCCCCTCCGAGACTAGCGGTAGCAATGCAACTTCACTCCCTTCAAGTGCCAGCTCGACTCCACGCTTACTCCCGGCGCAACATGAGGCCATTTCCAGCTGTTGTAAACCCAAACCGGCTCTGCCACCAGTTCAAGAAGGAGGGTGCTGTGGTAAGAAATCAAAACCTGCCCCAGAGCCGCCGGTGCAAAATAAGTCTTGTTGTTCCAGCTCGAGCAAACCAGCAAGCGCGCCTGCAAACCATCAGCCTAATGGTTACCAACACATCGGACAGCAGTTTCAGTTCCCCGCACAGCCACAGTTCATGATGTCACAGTATCAGAATTTCCAACCACAGACGTCAACTGCACCAGCCCCTTTCGGTCTTGGCACACCTATCTACAACCATGCTGCAGCAGCTTACCACCAACACAATTCGATGCCGTTGAGCCCTGTCGCAGACACTCCCATAACGTCCCATGGTGTCAGCCCCCAACCACACCAACATGTGCCCGAACACAACTGTCACTGCGGCGAATCATGCAGCTGTTTTGGGTGTGCGGCTCATCCGAACAACGCTACGATGATGGAGTACCTTAGAGTCATGGCTCAATTTCAATATACCGGTAGTTACGGTGGCATGGCCCCGCCTTTCTACGATGTACCTACCTACCCTCACCAAGCTGGATATGGAGCCGAGGCGACACAAGGCATGCCATTCAGCTTG